AATTTAGCGACGTTGTTTAGTCTAGTTTTCGCATACTTATCCGAGATTTATCGTAAAATATCTTCAATATTATTATTTAGTAAGAATTTACAAATTTTGGCATGATATTTATAGCAGTGAATGATGAAATAAAAATGTCCGTACTTTATTTAAAATAGTTGATTACCCATTATTTACATGACGTTTCTTGATGGAAGAGTTGACCCAAATTATTAACAGCTGAAAATTAGCCTACGTTTCCAAATGACAGCGGCTTGCACAGACACACATGTGATGTTGCACCATGGTACATGTGGCTACCATTAATGACATGTTTGTATCATATTTTTTACAACAGGGTCATTATGCTTTTTTACATGACTGAATATTAAAAACTTAAACCTGCTTGAACCATTCTACCTTGCCGAGATTCATGTGAATCTGATTATTTATGGAGAATCAATAAAATGCGTTTTTTAAACCTTCAACCATCCTTTGTTGACCATTTTCTTTGACATATTAGGTTATTATTCAGTACAGTTACACTGTACATGTATGTGCATTAATTTGCTATCTAAAACACTAACTTATCATTACGAGATAATAAATGCTTTAACCTCGAGTCCTTTTTCGCTTTAAAGTTTTGGGCAAGTGGAAATATTGTTTGGGCAAGTAAATTGAAAACCCACTTGCCCGACAGGGCAAGTGGTGAAAAAAATTCTTGTAGCACCCTGTCATGGCATTGAAAGCATTGTATTTTGTGTATTTTGTGTGTGCACAGTTTAGTCTTATTAGGGACCCATTTCAAGGCTTTCACAATGTCTGACTGCAATATGCTCATTATTGCTTTAATACAATAAAATAATACATAACTGATTCCATGTTGGCAAGGTACATGGACATTTTGTCTGGGCCCTAAACCGAGTAAAATACCACATTTCTGACATTACATGCTAAGTATAGTATTGATTAAATACATGCCAAGAACATTAGATTGTGATTGCAAATATTCCTTCAGAGTTTGTTTTGTGGAGCAAACATGAATTGCAGTCAATATTGATCATTTTGTTCTCAGTATGGAACGGATTAGATAACCCAATTCACTGCACTGCATTCAAGTTCAGTTCATTAATTTTGATGTTATTTGATATTGTAATAACTTTTGGGAATTCTTTTATAAGAAAATGGGGAATTTAAAGACTGCAGGGTAGATGTTTAGTCTAGCCTAAATTAATGCTCACGTAAGGCCAGGGCCAAGTCATACACACATACGATTACAGTCTCTGGGAGAAAGGAGTTATCGAACAATGGTTTTTAAGTAACTGATGTTTATTCACAAGAAACATGGTGGTGATATCCAATATATTTACTTGCCACAACCTAATAACAGCTACATTTAACTCACATTTATACTGGTTCTTGCCCTTTGGCTTTGATGATGCTGCCGAGCAACATCCTCCCAGCTCCTTCTAACTCTAAGGTCTAACAAAATCTGTCTGCCTAAAAACTAGCTCGGCCTCAGCTCCAAACTTTTTACACACTCCCAAAAACCTTGCCCAAATTAAAGCTAGTCTCCAATTCAGACCTCTCTTTTAAATCGTTCGAGCATCCAATTTCTGTAACACTATGAATGTTTTTATGTATTGTATTTTACACTTGTAAAACACTGCCCAATTTGGCTGTTTAGGCTGCGATGCACTGTTGTTCTTATAATCTCAATAAAACCATTATCAATTCAATTGAATTCAAAAGTACATTTATCTAAAGTAATAATTGTGTTATAGTTTTATAGACTTGATAGAAATTCATTCTTTTTTTTTTGCTCAATGTTTCATAAACAAAGAGATAAAGTACATGTAGGTTAATTAATCGTCATATTGGATGAAAAACCACCAAATGACACTGATTAAGTTTGAATAGAAAATTGTGAAATGGAAACTAGTCTACATCAGTACATGTTACAAGAAAGAAATGTGTGCATACATTCACTGGTACATGTACATGTTCAGTACGCAGGTTGTTTTGTTGAATTTTCAATGTTATCAAGAATTCCTTCCAGCTTTGCATTTTGTATTGGACATGTATTTATAGGACTTGTTATTGCTGCATTTAATCCTTTTGATGTATGACAAAATGAGCTGACAACATTGATCATCAAAACGATTGCATATTGGACAGTCTGATGTGAACAAGAAAAGTTCTTCTATAAACATCAGAAGTCTATGGTCATGAAATATATAGTAGCTAGTAATAGCTACATGCGTAATGTATACATGTATCCATCCCAGGGGATGCTCAATGTGTGCACAAACTAATACATGTCTGAAGATAATGTTTCATAAATACTGAACATACAACTTTAAGGATACCTAAAGAATAAGTGTAGGTATTCTAAAAAATGAGAATTCCTTACAAAAGTGTAAACGAGATCTACATGTATAAATGAAGATATTCTTGGCATGATGTAATGCCTTTTAGCATGAAATTGGGGCAGCCATTTTCTTGATTTGAAGTACCAGGCGAACTTGTACATGTATCATGCACCAAGCTTTTATTTTAGTTGGAAAGACCTTTCAATCCAATAGCAAAACTTTTTTTTTTAATGAGGGAAAATCATAGCTGAGAAGGTAAAAATCATATTTGGTGAAAAATATATAACAGGGTAACAATTGCAATTCATTTATTTAGAAAATTAAAATGTAGCAGTTCAGAAAATCTATTTCATTTATGAGAAACCTTCACCCCAGAAGACACCAACTTATTTATGCAATTCTGCTTCTGGCATTTGAAGTACAAAGGATAATAGCAGGTGAATGAAAAGCCTCATCACCACACACACCTGGGAGGAAGCATCCATAACTTTTAATACATTTAGTTGATAAACGACCTCGCATAGTTCGTCACATTATCAAGAAGAGGTACATTATTTTTGCTTTAATACCTCTCCCGTACACTTTGTAGATTGATGGGCAAGATCGAATACAATAAAGCTCTCCGAACAACTTAGGCCTATATCTTGGGGTGGGGTTTCCTTTAAAGCTTATCTGCCATAGTTTACAGGAGGGATTAGACCGCCCTACAAGGTCACTGGACAGGTGGTTATCTCATCAACTCAGCTCTCACTTAACATAAGAAAAAGAGGATCATGGGGGACCAATGGTCACCGATTAGGCATTGTTTGTTATATAGAGGGCGCAAGTAGCTACAAGTAGTGCAGTGGGCCTTTAATTGAACTGAAGACATGCATAATGCAAGCCTCTTTGCTGTTACTTATTTTTGTTGATGCCAATAAATTACACAGTTGGGCAGGTGGCACTAACACAATACCCTTTATCTTCTACTTGAGAACTCTATGTACATGTACCTAGTACACTAGTAGCTTTATTGCTAGCGGATGAGTAATTCAAGCTGAAATTAAATGCTCTTGAGCAGTCAAGTTGCTCAATGGTGATTGTATTTGGTAACCTCTATTCTAGAGCCATATTACACTGTACTACTGCTGTTTTTATTCACTAACTGAAACATTCAGCATTGCTATGGTGTAGGCCACAACTAAACTTTTTTTTCTCTCATAGTCATTCTCATAGTCATTATTGTCATGAAGTGATGATACAAAGGAACCTTGCTTGAGTGCTTATCTATTTTGTCAGTATTATAGGCCTGCTTGTCTGTCTCAGCTATGATACATTTTGCTAAAAAATATATTTGAGAGCTTATCAATCTCCAAGTATCTGTACATGTATCTGTCCGTACGTGACGTACTATCACCAGCATCTGGTTGTCGCGTATGTAGATGACACAAATTTATTTTTGTCTAAATTCTTCTGAATCAATGTAAGATCAATCAGATAATAAGAATTTGGCTATAATTTGGTTTAATGCATGGAAGTAGAAATTACTGATTAACCTGTGTAAGTGGCATATTTAAAAATAAGTTAGATCACTGCAACATGTTGTGGTGCCTACTTCATGTACCTACTGTATATCTTACATTTCTCTTTGAAGTTTAGTTCTTCAATAACTGGCTAAGCAACTGATAAGAATTCACAGCATTCTTATGTGTATTAGAACTTGTGATGTTTAGTGCTGTACAACCTCTTTCTGTGTTGTACGGCTTGAATGACTTCACTAGTTAGCAGATATATTGAGTATATGCTGACTTTTCTCTCTTTCCTTGGACACTTTAATAAGATGATGGTATTAATTGGTTGTGAAGAGGCACTTGTGATCTGATTCTTTTGAGAATAATGTCTCTCTTTTCTTGGGAATCCCTAGATAATGCTTATGTTATGTAATCTCTAAAGAAACCCTGCATCATCTGTATGTCTTTGCTTTTAATCATATTTTGTGACAAGTATTGATTTAATACTCTACACAACTTTTCCTACATCAAGGATTGCGTTTTCCAAACGCGTTCTCCAGTCTGAATCAGAATCTGAAAATGTTTTTATCATTACTTGTAGATTTCCAGATCACTGCTCAATTAAAGTTAATGCAAAGTTTTGGGAAATTTTGAAAATTGGATGGAGAGTAATTCTTTAAAATTTTGATATGAATGCCCCGGTGGATGTATTAGAAGTACTAGAAAATTTAGCCCCATAAACACTTCTGTTTTCGAGAAAATGAATAATCAAAAGTCACTGGTGCTCCCGGTAAATTTCAATATTTTATACAACACCTAAGGCCATTCCATGGTAGCTGCGATCACGAAAATCTCTTATTATGCAGTTCTGATATAATGTATAATTTTCAAACGGGAATAGCAAATCGGTCGATTGTAGTCATGAAACATTGTTTTAAAGCTAAGGTAATATCACTCTTGAGAGGGAGCTATACAAAATAAAGAGTTTATTATTTACAATTTCATCCCTTTCAACTTGATTTCAACCGCATCAATGATCATTGAATATTGAAGGATCGCATATATGCTTCCAATATGTTCATGTGAATCAAATTCATGACCCATAAGCAAAACTTTGCATTACCTTTTAAATCTATTTAAAATTTTATCTTATGTTCAGGTAAGAAGTGTTCCAAGCATGTACTCCAGCCTGAATCTGAGGATGAAGATGAAGATGATCCCGTGGTCGCCTTGGAATGGGATCCCTTATCTGATGATTATCTTCTGGTCATCAACGAGCAGGGTGACATGAGGATGATTGACAGCGTGTCAATCAATGTCATCATGACCTTCATCTTACCTAGCACCGCCTCCAGTGTACGCACCATGGCATGGGTTCCTACGGCACCAGGCATGTTTGTATCAGGAGGTAAGTCATCATGACCTTCATCTTACCTAGTACAGCCTCCAGTGTACGTACCATGGCATGGGTCCCTACGGCACCAGGCATGTTTGTATCAGGAGGTAAGTCATCATGACCTTCATCTTACCTAGTACAGCCTCCAGTGTACGTACCATGGCATGGGTTCCTACGGCACCAGGTATGTTTGTATCAGGAGGTAAGTCATCATGACCTTCATCTTACCTAGTACAGCCTCCAGTGTACGTACCATGGCATGGGTCCCTACGGCACCAGGTATGTTTGTATCAGGAGGTAAGTCATCATGACCTTCATCTTACCTAGTACAGCCTCCAGTGTGCGCACCATGGCATGGGTTCCTACGGCACCAGGCATGTTTGTATCAGGAGGTAAGTCATCATGACCTTCATCTTACCTAGTACAGCCTCCAGTGTACGCACCATGGCATGGGTTCCTACGGCACCAGGCATGTTTGTATCAGGAGGTAAGTCATCATGACCTTCATCTTACCTAGTACAGCCTCCAGTGTATGCACCATGGCATGGGTCCCTACGGCTCCAGGCATGTTTGTATCAGGAGGTAAGTCATCATGACCTTCATCTTACCTAGTACAGCCTCCAGTGTATGCACCATGGCATGGGTCCCGACGGCACCAGGCATGTTTGTATCAGGAGGTAAGTCATCATGACCTTCATCTTACCTAGTACAGCCTCCAGTGTACGTACCATGGCATGGGTCCCTACGGCACCAGGCATGTTTGTATCAGGAGGTAAGTCATCATGACCTTCATCTTACCTAGTACAGCCTCCAGTGTACGTACCATGGCATGGGTTCCTACGGCACCAGGTATGTTTGTATCAGGAGGTAAGTCATCATGACCTTCATCTTACCTAGTACAGCCTCCAGTGTACGTACCATGGCATGGGTCCCTACGGCACCAGGTATGTTTGTATCAGGAGGTAAGTCATCATGACCTTCATCTTACCTAGTACAGCCTCCAGTGTGCGCACCATGGCATGGGTTCCTACGGCACCAGGCATGTTTGTATCAGGAGGTAAGTCATCATGACCTTCATCTTACCTAGTACAGCCTCCAGTGTACGCACCATGGCATGGGTTCCTACGGCACCAGGCATGTTTGTATCAGGAGGTAAGTCATCATGACCTTCATCTTACCTAGTACAGCCTCCAGTGTATGCACCATGGCATGGGTCCCTACGGCTCCAGGCATGTTTGTATCAGGAGGTAAGTCATCATGACCTTCATCTTACCTAGTACAGCCTCCAGTGTATGCACCATGGCATGGGTCCCGACGGCACCAGGCATGTTTGTATCAGGAGGTAAGTCATCATGACCTTCATCTTACCTAGTACAGCCTCCAGTGTATGCACCATGGCATGGGTCCCGACGGCACCAGGCATGTTTGTATCAGGAGGTAAGTCATCATGACCTTCATCTTACCTAGTACCGCCTCCAGTGTACACACCATGGCATGGGTCCCTACGGCTCCAGGCATGTTTGTATCAGGAGGTAAGTCATCATGACCTTCATCTTACCTAGTACAGCCTCCAGTGTACGCACCATGGCATGTGTCCCTACGGCTCAAGGCATGTTTGTATCAGGAGGTAAGTCATCATCATCTTGGGAAGATTTCCCGAGCAAGTAGCCCGCTATTTGCGTCTTTTCCTGCCAAATAGCCTACTATTTTGTGATCTGGCTAAATTCCAGGATCAGAAATAGTGGGCTATATGGCAAACTCGAGCTGATGAAGACAGCTAGGCCTTGAGGTTTGTTTTTCATCACAGCCAGTGGCTGAATTGTGAAAAGGTTGATATGCTAACAAAGAAAAATCAGATATTAAAAAATAATTGTACAAAAATAGGATAAATATGATAAAATTAATGAAATTCAACATGATTGTTGTTCAATAATGAATGATATGAAAGAGGGATGTTGTTTCTGTAAGATATGTAGTACTAAAAAACAAAGAAACAACAACATTTATTGAAATCATGCTAAGCATGTACACAGTAAGAAGTACAGATTACTTGCCTTGTTCTTTGCAGTATATTTTATTGAATACATGCCGTAAATGTAAGTAAGGCATGATATTACAGTTGATAACTTGATATTATCAAATTTTGCTGTAATACACTATAATTTATTGTAAAAAGTGCAGAAAACATGCAATTTGTTTATAAACTCATGTACATGTAGGGTAGCTTTTGTGTAGCATTTTGCAGAATTTCTGTGATCTTGTTTATCCTCTTCTCCAGATGCCCATCAAGGGGTCCTGCGTCTGTGGAACGTCTCAAAGCCCACGCCCATCCTCAGTCTCAAACTGAAATCCACCGGGTTTCATTCCCTCTGTGTCTTCAATGCATCCCCCCATGGTACCGGTGACTATGACTCCTCCTCCTCCTCACCGTCTCATACCGGTAATCATGTATCATCAACCAGTCAAGCTGTAGCTCCTAGACGAACCAACGATCATCATAATTCCTATGCCCTCCCGCCGGGCCATGCTGTATGTACCTTTGATGATGGAGGGGTGGGGCTTTATGACCTGGGGAAAAAACGATGGGACTTCCTTAGAGAGTTGGTGAGTTCTTATCAATTGCATAGCTGTCTATTAATTCTCTATCTTGTTTTTAATAGGTGAAGAGTTAGACTGCAAGTTCAACATTACGTATTTGATTTGTCACTGTTTGTAGGATCATATAGAGACTATTGGGCGTTGCAAAAAAGTTGCGATTGATTGCAAGTTGCAAAAGTTGCGATTGATTGCAAGTTGCAAAATTTGCAACTGATATTTGCAATTGATTGCAACTGAACTTTCTTGCAATCCCCCACTAGTCTCCTAAATTTCCTAGGAATTTGTTAGGATTAAAGTTTAAACAGTTAAGTTTTAACAATTCAATTAAGTTAACTAGACCTAGCTTCCACCCCCCCCCCTCTCTCTCTCTTTCTCTCTTACTAATGGGGCGTTGCAAGAAAGTTGAGTTTGATCAATTGCAAGACTTACGCTTGATTTGGGGGATTCAAAATTGATTGCAACTTTTTTTGTTTGACTGCAAGTTCAACATATATGTATGCGTTTTGTCACTGTTTTGTAGGGTCATGTAGAGACTATCTTTGATTGCAAGTTCAACATATATGTATGTGTTTTGTCACTGTTTTGTAGGGTCATGTAGAGACTATCTTTGATTGCAAGTTCAACATATATGTATGTGTTTTGTCACTGTTTGTAGGGCCATGTAGAGACAATCTTTGACTGCAAGTTCAACAAATATGTATGTGATTTGTCACTGTTTGTAGGGTCATGTAGAGACTATCTTTGACTGCAAGTTTAACATATATGTATTGATTTGTCACTGTTTTGTAGGGTCTAGAGACTATCTGTGACTGCAAGTTCAACATACATGTATGTGTTTTGTCACTGTTTTGTAAATAGGGTCACATAGAGACTATCTTTGATTGCAAGGTCAACATATATGTAAGTGTTTTGTCACTGTTTTGTAGGGTCATGTAGAGACAGTGTTTGATTGCAAGTTCAACATACATGTTTGTGATTGGTCACTGTTTGTTGGGACATATAGAGACTATTTTTGATTGCAAGTTCAACATATATGTATTGATTCGTCACTGTTTTGTAGGGTCATGTAGAGACTATCTTTGATTGCAAGTTTAACAAATAGGTATGTGTTTTGTCACTGTTTTGTAGGGCCATGTAGAGACTATCTTTGACTGCAAGTTTAACAAATATGTTATGTCATGTAGAGTCAATCTTTGATTGCAAGGTCAACATATATGTATGTGTTTTGTCACTGTTTTGTAGGGCCATGTAGAGACTATCTTTGACTGCAAGTTTAAGCCTGATAACCCTGATCTCCTAGCAACCGCATCATTTGATGGAACCATTAAGGTATGGAATATTAATTCCTGGACAGCTGTAGACTCCTCCCCAGGCAATGAAGGCATCATATACTCTATCTCATGGGCACCTGGTGAGCACTACCCTGATTAATTCCATAAAACATCTGGTCCATGCATCTAGTTACATAATGTAGTTATACATGTATATAGTAGTACATTGCTGCTTTATTATTGGGAAAGGAGTAAAATAACACCCAGATAACTAATGTACATTACCCTAACAAAAATTGCCTTAGGTCAGTTTCAAACATCACAGATTGATATTTCCAGAAAATTCAGAATTTTGAAAAAGATTATTACAGACATTTTAATGACAATCTACAGATTAACAATATAATAATATATAAACTATTAACTTAATATGAAGTTTTACAACAGTTAAGTTTCAAATCAACCATTCATCAAATTCATGAAATATGTAGTTTCAAATATCTTCGTAAAATGAATGACCCCAAAACTGACCTTCTATGTCATTCTGTAAAGACAAACCTATATATTTAATATTTCATAAACTTGATAAAGGGTTGATAGGAAAATCATTTGTTGTGTAAGTACCTCATATCAGTTCATTTATTATATCTTTAAATTGTAAATATTTTTAAATGTCTATAATAATATTTATTCTAAATAAAAAGTTCTCTGGAAATGTCATTCCCTTACACTTTGAATTGATACATGTAAATAAGAAATAATATTTGTTCCATGTTTATAATCTTGCACTATAATTAACAGTAACTAATTGGCAAATATCAGTTGCACTTCTTCAGTTACATGTACCTGATGTATTATTTTATTAATTTGCATTTCAAAGTTTAATCAAATTGTGAATTAAGATGATAATTTTGAAGTGGAGAATTCTATTCAATGCAATTAATCCTTCCCATAACCCAGATAGTAACATCTTTAATAATATCATGACCTCAAATTATTCCCTTGGAATATACCGCTGGTATTCCTTTTTTCTTCACTCCACAACTAATAATTCATACCAATCTGTAGCACCCTTTTATTTGTAATCAGAGCTTAGAAAAGTATAATCATATATATGTAGAATTAATTCTACTGCATTTATATTGTATGCAGTTTGTCTGCCAATTAGTGAGATACCTGCTACTTAATTTTAATCACCTCTTCTGCACTGTGACATAGTATTTGCAGTATTTGTAATTAGTGTTTGAGTGTACACCAGATATTCCTTATAATATAAAACCATCTTATGTTCTATATTTGGTATAACCAACACTTATTCTCTGTATATTTGCTGCAATATGTAGTGATCACTTTATCCTTTATTTTGAACATTCTCTTCAAATTTACTAAGAGCTCTACATTTTGCGTTCTTTCTGAAAGGTGAATTGAAATATTAGAAAATTTGTATTTCAAACAAATTCATATGAAATTCCAAATTGATGTTCATTCTACAATTGTGTGATTTGAGAATCAAAGCTTGATAGTCTAATAGTAAACAAATGTCTTTTAAAGACTGCCTCTACTTTCTCCATGTTACCAACAAGATTTGAGAAGAAAAGAAGATGGACTTGGATTGAGCATTTTTGTTGTTGCTGTCATGGAAATTACTGGAAATAATAAGTATGCTAAAATCTATGTGCTAATCCCTTTTCTGGCAATTCATATGCAAACTCAGACCATGCAAGATATAGTGGCTTATAGTTTGGTCTTAAGCAAATTGTAAAACAATGGAATACAAAAAAAAATTGTGATAAAATAAACAGCTTTTCTACAATTTCTATTATTCTATAATGATCTTGGTATTCATGATCTGCCTGTAATGTATATAAAAAATAATAGTTTCTGAATGATTATATTATACCAGCCATTATGACTATCCCTATTGTGTGTTTGATTCACATGTGATTCCCTTATGTATTGTTTTGTCTTGTCAGCTGATCTGAACTGCTTAATGGCAGGAACCTCAAGAAATGGAGCTTTCATCTGGGACATCACCAAGGGAAAGATCATTAAGAGATATACAGAGGTGTGTATTAAGATCATTAGGATGGTAATGTCTTTCGCTCGTTCAATCCAATCCAATCCAATCAAAATCCAACAAACATTTGATGTACCACATTTTCCTTGCAGTTACAAAGCGCTATGCACATTGCCAGTGCCCGATAACAAAAAGTAACAAAAGTGTTACCCCTCATTAAAACTTTTTTCATCAGCAGGCCCCCATATGCTTGGGCCACTTAAACAATGTCATGTAACCTTACCAAGAAATTAACTTTTCTTTTTAGCTGCAGGTGTATTTTGAGTTTCATCTATTTGTTTACCAGAACATATTTTTATTTTTATTATTTTAAGTATTAGGCACCACCTGTGCCTGTGAAGGGAAAAGCAAACTGAATCACTGCAATATGTGGGTCTCTCATCCTGATATTATTATAATACTCCTGATTCTATTATTTTAAGAGGTAAGAGAGGTAATTAATGAGAGAGAGAGAGAGAGAGAGAGAGAGAGAGAGAGAGAGCTTTGGCTTACTTCAAGCTTATAATTACTAATGTATTAATGGACCCTGAGGGGTTAGTTAATACATGCATATAATCTATTTAAGATTAACATTTACTCTAAATTGTTAGAAAATGTATAGATGATAGACTACTAACATTTATTCCTTTACAAGCATTTGCATATCAAATTAAAATTTGAACTACATTTTAGCAACATACATACATACACCTGTAGCTGCATGTAGAGACAATCCCAAGCCTCATCTCAACTCAGAAGGTGACATACCAGTATTATTGATGAATAGATGATAGAGTAACATATATTCTACATACACATTGCATACCGTCCATATCCTTTCTTATCCAGCATGGGCGTACTAGTATCTACTCAGTGGCATGGTGTCACAAAGATTCAAGAAGAGTAGCCTCATGTGGAGCTGATAACTACTGGTAAGATACATCTCATATTCTCATCAATATTTATCATTTACTGTCATTGCTACTCAAACATTCAAGATTCTTGAATCATTATTGTCAAGATCTATTCTTTATTTAGTTGTTCATCCTACCCCCCCCCCCACGAATATATATGTAGCTCATAAAGAGTTTTGTTAACTTGATTTAAGTTAAGTTAAGTTGATTTACAAACTCAGGAAATACACCAGGGGAGTGTTTCACAAAGACTAAGATCGACTTCAAGTTGGACTTAACTATGGCAGGTCATTCATGCCACTGTTTTCTCTCACCATTTACTGGCATTGGTCTCTCAAGGGACGTACAAATCATGGTCACAAATCTACAGAATTTATATTTTTTGATTACCGGTACTCATTATCGAAGGAAACATATAATGTAAAGATTATAATAGTGAGAGCAACCAGTGGCATGAATGACCTGCCATAGTTAAGTCCCACTTAAATTCGATCCCAGTCTTTGTGCAACACTCCCCAGGAGCATATGATCATGGAAAGTTGTTGCTTGGATGAATTTGAAAGCTATATGTGAACAGAATGCCTATTTAAATAGCACACTCCCGTGGCACTGTATTTCTTTGGAATGTAGAAACAGGAGATGTAATGAGGTCATTTGATTTGATTTTGATTTTGATTTTGATTTTGATTTTGATCCAGTATTGTACGTGAGATTGATGGTAAGATGCTTCAGAGATACAAGCATCCATCAGCTGTGTTCGGCTGTGATTGGAGTCCTAATAACAAGTAAGAATATAAGATTTAGACAGAGAGAGAGAGACATGGACAGTCCGCATAACAAGTGAGATAAAGAGATGAGGAGGGACAGTTATAGAGAGATGGAGAGATGGGGAAAGGAGGGAGAAATAGATGGTTAATGCTTTATTGATATAAGCATCCATTGACATTTTTTTGCTGTAATTTGGGTCAAGTAAGAAGAAAATGTAACTAGCAGAAGATGCACCAGGACATAGTTGAAGACATTGAAATGAGCAGATGAAGAGACTAAAAGGATGGGAGAGATTGGAAGAAAATGAGAAAGGGGAGAGAAAGAATGAGAGAAAGAGAGAGAAAAAGAGAGAGGGAGGAGATGCATGATTTTTGAGAAATGAGGGAAAATAAAAAAATGGATTCATACTTATGATAGTGATGGTCGAATCCTTTAAGGTATATAAATGCTGAATTCACTCTTTCATGTTTCTAGATAAAAAAAAAAAAAAGAGACTACAAATATCTTAAGTATGTGCAGTTTAGATATTAACTAAACAAACATAATTTGAAGTGAACCGATTTAATTGTTTGTTGTTCACATAAAGCACATTTGTAGATTGCAAGGTAATGTACATGTATGTATAATTTACTAGTACCCATTACAGATAACTCTAGACTTTGCTCATGTACACCTTTGTCTATGCAGAGACATGATAGCTACAGGGTGCGGTGATGGTAAAGTAAGAGTATACTACATAGCGACTGCTAACGATCAACCTTTGAAGACATTCCCTGGTCACACAGCTAAGGTGTTCCATGTGAGATGGTCTCCTCTAAGAGATGGCATACTATGTAGTGGCTCAGATGATGGGTGAGTTGGAACACAATATCTTAAGCCTGGTTCACATATGCAACAGTGAACTGCAGCATTAAAGGGATAGTTGAGTTTTCGTATAGAGATAATGAAATACTGAGTGTCAAATTTGAAAGAGCATACAATTTAAATGACAAAATCATCTTTGTTTGATCAAGATTAGTTCAGAGACTGCTGAAATATCATTTGTGATATTAATAGCCATAATGATGACCATGTGGTAGGAATACTCCCCAGGGATAGGAGATGGTGCACACTGTGTGCATGAAATAATCTGATCACTGGGGTAATAATGATATCTGTATAGCACTTAGAGACGGTATTCCATATTAGGGGCTATATAAATCCAGATTTATTGCTATTATTAATATGCAGAGGATCTCTGTTGCACACATTTGTTGTTCATCAAAAAAAATATGTTGCGGTTCATATCTGAACAAGCCTATATTGATTTTGAGTGTAATACAACAAAATGAACAAACTATTCTATCGCTAAAGTTAAGGATCAATTTTGAATGATGCATAGGGCCTAAATCTACTGTTATAGTACAGAAGAAGGTTTTAATGGAATGCCTGCAACGATGATTCTGTAGGAAAATAAAGTAGATGACAGGTTTCTTCCTAATGCTTAGCAATCAATTATAGCTTTGTTTACACAAATAACACAATTTGTTTTTCTAAATCATTAATCACATGACTCTTTAAACATTCTCTAAGTGAAGACATCCAAAGTGCATTGTACATCCAACTTTGAACCCATTAGGGGTTCTTAATTACCGGTACATACTTTAAATGATTTATACCACATGCAATATTATGTCCATAAAGAAAGTTATGGGGGCATTAGTCATTACTTGGCAGCAGATGTCCCCATTTGAAGCTACTCTCCATAATAACTAATGTGTTGTCAAGCATTACATTATTCTCACTTTCTTTGAATTCCCTGGTTGTCATGACAGGACAATACGTATATGGGACTACACCCAGGATAGCTGTGTAAACATCTTGGTAGGTCATGGAGCTCATGTGAGAGGTTTGATGTGGAACCCTGAGATACCTTATCTTCTCATCTCAGGCTCGTGGGATTACACCATCAGGGTCTGGGATACCAGGTAGGAGCTTACTATCATTGTTGAATGCACAACCTAACCCTAATCCTAACCCAATCCCTAAGCCTAATCCTAATCTTAACCTTAACCCTGACCCAGAGATACCATATCTTCTCATCTCAGGCTCGTGGGATTACACCATCAGGGTCTGGGATACCAGGTAGGAGCTATCATTTTTGAATCATGGACCTAACACAAGTAGGTCCATGGTTGAATGCAGTACCTAACCCTAATCCTAACCCAATCACTAACATTGAGTCCTAACCCTAGCCAAACATTTAACTTAATCTTAACCCTAAACCTAATCTTTAAACCAAATTTTAAGCTGCATTTAGGGAAGGCAACTTTATTATCACTCGCGTTCGTCCGGGTTCGGGACGCCTACTTATCTCTTAATCCCCCGTTCCCGGACGCGTATTGTACGCTGGCGGTCCCTTGGCGTCCCTTGCTCGCGTCTATTGTTGTCTGTTGGACAATAGAGCAGGCAGCCAGAAAAGAAGCCATCCCGTCCGCTAGGACCGCTGACAATCAACCTCACCGCTATCCAGCCCCTCTCTAATCCTTTCTAATCTGGCGTCCCCTGACAATAGCTGACCCGTCTAGAACGCGTTAATCTGGTGTTCCCTGACAATAGTAGCACCCGTCTAGCTCGCGTTTAGAATAAGATAGTAGATTTTCATAGATGAATTTTCAGTCTTGAAAGCAGAGCTAGAGCTGCAATCCCCCGGGTTGATTGATAATGATTTGTCCCAAAAATGTGTCGCGCGCTAAAATAATAAACCTAACCAGCAACGCCTCAAGTCTTTCTACATACAGCTGCATATGAGTAAAAGCTTCTGCGACACTGCAAATATATAAATCATATTTAGTAGTGTCTGTATTCCCCCAACCTATTAATCAGTACTGCATTGCGTGGATCAGCAATTCGCGCAAATCACAACATGTGGATAGCCCCCTAAAATGCGGTCACGTGATCTGAGCCCGACAGCGCTGGTAAAGACGCAGCACACTCGAAGGCCCTCGAAGGGCGCTTGCGATAAGCCAAAAAAATCGTTACAAAATCTCTGATTTCTTGATTTTAAGCGCTTTTTTTGGCGAAGCCGTGTTTAAAACATGGCTAAGCCACCGCATGCTTTGGAAATATGGCTCTGATTCCGCACTTTTGACAGCAAAATTTGGCTTTTGGGGTGGATTTTTGGAAGTGACATCGGGATTTCCTTGTACTAGTGAGTGACGCTGTGTGTAGTGCAGTGCACTAATATGTAATTTGCGTGTGTTGTGGATGCTGGTTTGATATCACGATCGGATGCATGTATGTGTGTATGCATAGCCTGGGGTAATGCGCACGTCTTTGAGTGGTGTACATCCCCTGTGTTGTGTGTAATGTGCATGCGTGCGCGCCACAGGAATTGCCAACACGAAACATTGGCACAACTATGCATACGCTCGTTCTCACAGCCAACCTGTAGCCACGTTCGCACAGCCAAACTTAAGAAACCCGTATAAATACGTTCTGCTTGGCCTTGGCAGCTCTGTGAAGTCTGAGTTTTATGTAAAATCACAGCAGAAAATTCAGTGTTTTTACAAAATAAATATAGAAATCAAAATTAGGATTTACATTGCATGTACTACCTACAAGTGAAGATGTAGATGTAACTTTGCCTCCCTGTTGTTTTACTTTTCCCTTTTGTTGATTTTTTTTATTCTATGCATAATCAGGCCTCTCGCCAAGAAATTAAAAAGGCGTGGCGCGACACTAGGGAAAATTTGACCCCGCCCCCCTAAAAAAAAAAAAAAAAAAAAAAAAAAAAAAAAAAACGTTTACAAGTATAAAGAGTAATTTGATTAATTGTTATCCCTTTATTATGTTCCGGGTCATTGTCATATTTACCCTTGCACTAAATAATCTCAATTATCAATATTTATAGTATGTTGGAATTTGTGAAATTTGTTATCCAATGTTACGAAGAAAAAAAAATGAATATGATCATAGTTGTTTGATTTTTATCGAGCTAGACCAAGTCATGTATTTAAAGCTGTAATTATTTTCCTTATATTAAAAACAATATTGCATTTTCTTATTTTCACAAAATTGCAGTACTCAAATTCTCTGCCTCAAAATGACATATACACCCGTCGACTCCGAGACACCAAAAATAAGAAGAGCTGTCGACGTGTTTGTACGCCCGCGTCATTAACATGGCCAGTTCATATTTTTAATTTGCTGGAAATTGTTCTTTAAAAATGAGAAATTCACGAGTTTGAGTAGGATCTCACTATATGATTGTTAAATATCAAAATTTTGAGCTTTTTTTATTGCCCGATATGAAAACATGCAGCCACAAATGAATTTGAACATTTTGATTGACTGCATAGTTGCTTAGTAACCAGACATACTAGTCAGTTCATTCATGACTTATGTAAACAAAAACAAAGCCATTTATGGGCCGAGTGAATGAACTCAAGTGAATGTGACAGAGAAGAGAGCGTGAGAGAGGTTTTCCCACGCTCATCTTTTCAGGGGAAAGGGGGGGGGGGGGGGGAGGAGGAGATAACTTCACGAAAGAGACAGCGCAAGAGAGAGATAGAGAAAGAGAGGGAAATGTATGATGGAGAGCGCGCAAACATGAAAGGGCTAGGCCGCCAAGAAGGGATCGGAGCTGAACAAAGGGGAGACATTAGCATTTTGATAAGATTAGATCATCGACCAAGGCCACGTGATGAGTGATGGCTCACTCGATCGTAGTTGGTAGTTGTAGTTGGTTTCTCAAATAAATAACAGATAGTGATGAAATGTTCCAGAATGAGTGAAGTGAAGTTGTGGGTCTATCTTTGCCTTCCTGTTGGTTTTACTTTTCCCTTTTCTTGAATTTTATTTTGTACAATGCATTTTCGTATTTAGTCGCCCTTTTTACCTGCGGCTGCCATCTTTCCGTCTCCCGATCCTTTCTTTCTTCTTGAACTCTAATATTTCTTTATTTATATCTTCATCACCAGGCGCGCACGCAGTGAGGGGGAAGGGGGAACCCCCCCCCCCTCATTTTGTGTGTGTGCTTATGGGTGACCCCAAAAACATCATTTCCTGGACCAAAAAAAAAAGTGCTCTTACCCCCTCCCCTGCCTGTCAGTACAAAATTTTCGGCGCAATTTAACCCCCCCCCCCCCTGCGAACAAATCCTGCGTACGCCCCTGTTCATCACTTACTTCATCTAATTTTGTAATTCCATCTCTTAGATTTTGTTTTCAATGATTAATGATGATAACGTTATTATATCGTTTTTCAGAATTTCATTGAAATTAAAAATTTGAATTGTGTTCAAGACTGCGAATTCATTCTTTAATACGTCTCCCGATTTCTTTATCTTGAAATTCAATATTTTTTCCTTCACCTACTTTATCTGCCCCCTCTAATTTTTTAATTCCATCTAGTCTTTTAAATAATGTTTTTTTTTTTGTTCTTCTTTTTTTCTTCAATTAAATACAAACTTTATTTTTTCATATATTTTTTTCTCGGAATTGAATTGAAATTGGGGAGGGTGTGCATATTTATTCTTAAACAAAACAGAGAATGTCATAGATCATTGGAGAGTGGGAGAGAGAAAGACCGAGTGAGAGGGGAATTGGAGAGAACGAGGGAAAGAAAGAGGATGCAAGAGATGATGGATGTTGAAATTCTTATTTTAATCCTCTGTATATTTACGAGAAGTAAAAAGAGTTCTATTTCTTATTTTCAATCTAAATGGTCCGTATATGCTCTAATAATTGAACAATGTTGTTCTCATGCCACATGGCATTGCTCTTTATCGTAGTCTAGTCACAACGGGAAACAAAGAATGACAGATTTATTATGACATTCCCGCTCTCAGAACAAAGGCGCGTAACGATGTTAAATATACGCGATGTTTTGGAACTTTGGTGTTGATTGACATAACGCCTCATTTCAGATAAGCAATCGACAATAGTTATAATGAATAAATGACACATATTTGTAAAGCTTAGATCCTCTTCTTTCATTTGATGCAACTCATATAATGCATATTTCACGAATGAGCGATTAAAAAACAATTTGAAGACATGATCCTTTGGTAAGTTCACTTTCTGCCCTTTCATAAATTAAACCTCGGCTCAATCAGGAAAAATGAGCCAGGAATAACAAATTTCTGTTTGTTTAAAGTAATGCTTGCACTTCCATAATTTGATTAAACGAATTCGTTTTCACTGGCTGCCTGCCGTAGCAACAGAGTTATGGAAATTATGGAAATGCAAGCATTACTTTAAACAAACGGAACTTTGTTATTCCTGTACAAATATGTGTCTTATATTTATTATAATTTTGATTAAGTTATCATAAAACATCAATAATTCTCCGTTTCGTTTTCTCATGGGACGCACTAGCTAAAGAAAGTGTTGATTAAAGAAAGAGAGATAGTGGTAAGAGGTAGAGAGATAGTGGTAGAGAGAGATTAGAAAGGTGACTGGATGAGAGAGAGGGAGAGAGGGCTAACAAAAAAAGGGTCGTAGAGAGGGCCTGGAGAGAAAGATAACAGATAAGAAAGGAAATAGTGTTGATTTGAGATACAGATGGATTTACTACTATCGAGAGAGAGAGAGTTTCAAGGTGTATTCCCGAATTAAAAAGGGGAATTGTTGGATCTGTTTTTGTTATCGGAACAAAAATTCTCCTCACCATTGTCCAGTCGCAACAACGACATACAAATAATGACAGATTTATTATGACATTCCCGCCACAAGTCGGCGCTCTCAGAACAAAGGCGTAGGCTGACAATCTTAAATATCGCGGTCTGTCTGAACTTGGGTGTTGATTACAACATTTCCAAGATACGGTTATCAATCCAACTTTCTACTTCATTTGTGCCTTTTCATTGCACCTTTTCATTGCACCCACGAAAAGATCAATAGAAATGTCAGAATGTCTATTACCCTTCCCAGCTCAATGGGCGGCACAGGGTATGCAAATTAGAAATTGTTCTAGCGCTGCTGGTCGCTACAAGGCGGCCGCGGCGTAGTATCATTCATTCAAAATCAGTTTTCATAAGACCAAACGTCCAAAATGATGACAAAAGATGACATATAAAAATACATAACAGTCTCGTAGAGTAAATATTTCAAAGAACAAAACATGCATGTCTACGTCCCTCTACCTCTCTCTCCCTCTCTCTCTCAACCTCAAACAACGGACCTCTGCATCGATTGCGATTCACACAATTTTCATTTCATTTACATTTCATTTAAAATGGGGAAAGCCTTCCGATCGCTAGAAGGAAGGAATTTTACTGGCAAGGTGATTAAACGAATTCTTGCCCCTCTTAGCGCGACAAATAGAAACTCTATTCCTCTCAAGAATTATGTAATATTATGTAAGATAATCCCCCCATTCTCGTCCCTTTCATTGGGTACGCGTTTGGGACGCTCGCGTTCTCTAAACAAAGGAGGGTACGCGATGAATGGAGAAGGTTTTAATCCACCATACCTTACGCGTTAAGGACAGTCGCGTTCTGCTCACAAAGGAGGGGACGCGATCGTCCTGAACCCGGACGAACGCGAGTGATAATAAAGTTGCCTTCCCTTATGTACTTTACTTTACAAATCTTATCTATTACTATTTATGATTACCTTTTAATACATCTATCTGAAATTAGAGGCTATCTTTTAGTATATCTATCTATTATAAGGGACTTTCTTTTATTATATCTACCGGTATCTATTATTAGGGACTATCTTTTATTTCATCTATCTATTATTAGGGACCATCTTTTATTATATATATTAGGGAACTTTTTTTTTGGTATATATATATCTATTATTAGGGACTATCTTTTATTATATCTATTATTAGGGGCCATCTTTTATTATATATTAGGGAACTTCTTTTATTATATCTATCTATTATTAGGGAACATCTTTTATTATATCTATCTTTTATTAGGGACAATCTTTTATTATATCTATCTGTTATTAGGGACTATCTTTTTTATTATATCTATCTATTATTAGGGATGGTGCCTGTGTTGACAAGGTATTAGATCATGGTGCTGATGTGTATGGTCTAGCCATGCATCCAAACAGACCCTTTGTACTAGCATCCTGCTCAAGAGATTCTACCGTTAGGATCTGGTCTCTGACATCACTGGTGATGTCATCACAGATGAGAATCATTGCGAAGAGACCATGGCAAGAGATCATCACGACAACAGGTAAGAATTAAGCGTTGTGGTGTAGTGCATAAGCCACCCGACTCAGATCACAAGGTACTGGGTTCGAGTCTCGCCACAGCACTAATGTCCTTTGGCAAGACCCAGGTATTAAATGGGTACCTGGTAGGATGCGAAAGTTAATGTGGTTTGATGAGCAAGTGTGCGCTTGTAAAATGGTGACTGGCTGGAATGCTCCCCAGGGAGTGGAGAATGTGCACAAATTGTGTGCGGGTAAGTCTGAATCCGATGACCGGGGTAATAATATATCTGTAAAGCGCATAGACACATTGTTGTATCGATGTATTGGGTGCTATATAAAAGCGGAATAATATGAAGAAGCATAATTATGCAGTAAGGAAGTATGTAACCACTTCTGGGTGGCAAAGTTCTTTAATGACAATCGTCATGAAAGAACTTTGAATAATAAACTTTCACTAATAGCGGTTCGTATTATCCAATTGTTTCAGGGAAACAAAACAGGTTTTCTTAGTTAAAATGTAGGGACTGAAGTATGGTGTATATATTTCTCATCATTGATTTTGATCAGAACAAAGTGACCAAAAGTGTATTCTTGGTACCCAGTGGCAAATGCAATGTCTTGTCAAAGAACATGAGTGTCTGTCATGGCTAGGATTTGAATCAAACCAGTTGCTCTAAGTTGTTCTCTTGCTCTAAGGTGTTGTGGTCTAGTGGATAAGTCCCTCGACTGCAGATCACAAGGTACAGGGTTCAAGTCCTGTTGTGGCACTAATGTCATTTGGCAAGACATTAATCTACATTTGCCACTCTCCACCCAGGTTTAAATGGGTACCTGGTATGCGCTAGTTATATTGCCAGCTCGGCTACAAACGGGGTAATATGTGTAAAGTGCCATGAGCGTCAGAGCCAGGCGGATACCGGCGCTATATAAATACCCATATTATTATTATTATTATTAAGTTTTCTGTACAACCTCTAACAGACTATAACATCAAATCTGGACTCTCCTTCACATTGTTTCTTTAGACCGTGCCAGTAGTCCTAGCTGACTGATGCCAAGGAAGGTATCTCAAAAGCTCCAGATAGAATAATTCTGTGGTATTTAATCTAGACTTTCATTAATGATTTCCCCCTCAGATCATGCCATGGCTGTTAACACAAGCACTCTGATGTCAGGCAAGGTATCTCGAGATCTCAAGTCAAGGATAGATCATTACCGTGGTAACGTGGATGTTGAGACGATACTCAGATGGTTCTCTAACCTCTTTGCAGTGAGTGCTTCTCTAGGCTTTCATTTCTCACCATCAATCTCCAAATTTGAATCTTGTCAGAAAACCTTTGCAAAGTTAATTGTTATCATAATTAGGAATAATCTGTACCATATTTAACATGTTAACAAGATCAACTTCTACTTCTAAGTATGAAATTAAAGTAGATTTTTTTTTACACTTTTAATAGTTTTACAATACTACAGAGTCTTACATTTAATGAAAGGACATAAATATAAAGGACGCTCATATTATTTTAGCAATTATCCCGGTATAACCGGCTGGCAATAAGCCTTATTTACTGTTACCTCAGACAGCCAATCAGTGCTTGTTATATTCGCGCCTTTTTCCTTTCAGTTTCCGTTTATATTGATTGATGTCGGCTTTCTGTTTCATTCTTGCGTTTTACTCTGATGAGTGCACGTCGAAAAGCTTTAGTATGGCTCTTTTCCACGCTATTCTCCAAGTAATTTTTAGTAAAGATAGTCATATTTATGAAAATTAAAAACTACAGCATAGTGGCTGGTAATGGTTGGTATGTTAATGTTTAGTCACCAGGTGGTACAGCTAACCTATGGGAGCTAGTGTCAGTCGTCAATGGTCAAGATGATAGCCTTCTACCAGAGGAATACAGTAAAGGTATCATGCACAGAAAACATCTCATCAAGTTCAGATCAGTAAGTTACTCCATAGATTTGAATTGAATGTTTTTTTTTAGAATACTGAAAACGGCAGCCTTAGGGCTGAATTATATTCAGTATTATTTATGAGTAGACATTTAGAATAGTTGTATAATTTGAATGAAATTGAATTAATGACCATAGTAAACATGGTCTATGGGAGAATGATGCAGTTGTGAGAGCATACCATAGTTTAGTTTGATTTTCTCTCTATTATCTTTGCAATGCAGTCTGATGCGATGGAGCTGGAGCTGGCCAAGCTAGGAGGGCGGGGTGCTCAATCGTCAAGGTTACGAGAAGAGAAAGTGAGAGAGGCTGCCAGGCTACACATGAAGCTAGGAGAGGTTCAGAGATATTGTGAACTCATGGTGGAATTAGGAGAAGTAAGTGAAAAAAAATACACTGGTGCTCGAGCGAATTAGCCCCCGAAAATCAGAAAGGAGCCCCTGTAAATTTGCATAGAGTTCAATGCAAAACAAATTTTCGAATGTTATTTTCATGCAGGCAAGCTTGAAAAGTAGCCCCCGAAAAAAAAAAAAAAAAAAAATTTCCCTGGGAGTTGTTCAAACTTAATTTTCAAATCCAGCACCACTTAGCAATAAATCATTGGTATGGAAAATATAGATATTGATACTTTATTTTTCAAAAGCAATTTAGAAGAGTAATGACTGATATTTGATTAAATGATCATGTTAGAATTTGGTAAGATAGTACTATCAACCCAGAATTTATGGGTTGTTCCAGAGAAAGAGAGATAAAGAGAGAGAGAGAGAATTAGGAAACGGAGGGGAGTAGGAGAAAGCTTCTTACGTGCAGGATCAAATCCAGTATTTGTTATGACAAGGTTTATATTACATGTAACTGAAGGATATTACCACTCGTGTGAAGATTTTATCTTAAAGATATAGACCGGTAGTGGTAAAATTGCAGTTCAAGGGTTTTGGGTGCAAATATCCATTCAATATTTGTTTAAATATTACCTTCAGAGGTTTAGATGGCAATACTTCAACCTAAATTCGCAAAAAAGCAGAAATGTATGCCCAAATGTTCAATTTTTAAGTGCATATATTTATCCAGGCTGGATCGATATGATAATTTACCAAATATATCAACTAGTAGGCAGTTTCCAGGCAAAATTTGTATCATCACGTATTAGTCAAAACATATTCTTTCACATGATTGGTAATACGATCTTCAATTTCATTTATTGAGAGGGGGCGTTTCCAAAACTGGGATATACCTTTAACCTTACAAGCACCTGCACTTTACATTATCACTGACTATGTCTTCCTGCTTATTTTGATATCAGTGGGAGAAAGCCTTGGCTGTAGCACCTGGCATTTCTATGGAGTACTGGAAGCAGTTAGCTGAGAGGTAAGATAGTATCCATTCTTGGTTCAATAGGTCTCTATGCTCACTGCACTGTTCTGATCGTTCGTTCGTTCGTGTCTCCTTAGATCAAGATAGTTATTTAAAGTTCCTTAATTAAATTGAGTTAAATTAAATTAAGTTCTTCCATCGCCCGATTGCTGCAATGGCCGTTTCATTAACAAGGGCCAGGTCTTCATCTGTGCAACCCGTTCCGCCACACTGCAAGATGTGGTCCATCATCTAAGTCTCTCCGCAGTCGCAGAGAGTATCTTCTTCATGGGCATAGCCCCATCTTGCCATATTGACCTTACTGTTCTGATAAAAATGTGCTTTAATTGAAGTGGGAGACCGACATCTTTGGTCAGCAAACATACCATGTACGGTCAGCAAACATACCATCTGCTAGTTCTGTACATTCACTTGGCTGAAATGTATTTGATCTTGTTATGTGTGATGTGGCACATACCTCTAGATTACATAATATCAGTAGTTGGTTAATCTTATATTAGCCCAAAATTATTAAAAAGATGCTCATATTGGTTAGCATGAAGCAGGGTTTGCACGGTTATGGAAAAAACTTGGAAAGTCATGGAAAAATGAAATTTTCTGTAAAGTTGTAGAAAATGAAATATAAATATCCCAAAGTCATGGAATGTCATAGAACTTGATCATGGGTGTGGACCGTGTGTAGCTATGGCAACCTTCATGTTTGAACAAGTTAGAAATTGGTCGGTAGTTCTTTAGGTTCTCCGCATCCAGGGATAATTTCTTCAACTTCGGGACGATGAGAGCAGTATTGAGAGGTTCAGGAAAGACACCAGTCTTCAAAGAGTCATTTGTAATGTCAGTGATGGCAGGAAAGAGACAGTTAATACTTTCAATACAATTGTCTTGGAAACAGGTGGACTTCACAAGATGACAGTTTGTTGTCTTTTCAGAAGCAAGAAAACCTAAGAACCTTATCTGACCCTGTCTTGTGTGTTGGTAACACTTCTTTGGCTTTCTCAATGGTCATTTTGTCATTTTCTTTGTACAGTTCTTGTGTGTTAGCACTGGAAATAGTTTGATGATAGTGTCTTTTCTGAATCTTTTCAACGTGCTGAAGTACTCCTTTGTAGAATTCTGAAGTTAGTCCTTCATGACAGCAGAGCGATGCTTGGATGTTCTACAGATTCTTTCCTTGGCACTAATATTTGTCTTAACTCCTTGAGTGTATCATTATACCACAGGACATGAGGACACATTTGTACATCCCGCCTCATTTCTGATTTACATCCATCTCATCTAGGTTTGTGTGACTTGCAAATGACTGCGCAATATCTGACTCAAAGTTGTCAATATTAATGTGTCTAAGCTTTCGCACTTGAATACGTTTGACAGTAGATCGTGGTTGTGACATACAAAGTGTGAATGTTATTGCTGCATGGTCTGATGGCATAGAATGAATAACTTTCACCTCTTTGACATACTGATCATCTTCTCGTACGATTACAAGATCCAAAATATGTCATTTGGAGTGTGTAGGCTGAGAGACTAACTATTGAAGTCCACTCAAATCCATTAGATCTATGAAGGTCTTGGCATCTGTGTTCGTCGAGTCATTTACATGTATGTTGAAATCGCCACTTGATACTAATGGGTCATCAGTAAGGTCGCAGATTCAAGGAATTTGGAATACTCTGTAAAGAAATGGCTAGCCGGAACTCCACGAGGGCTAACGGGAGGTCGATAGATGGCAAAGAGAGATACGGTATCTTTGTGAGTTGACCTAATGGTAACTTCTAAACATTCACATGTGTCAAAGGAATAAGTTTTGGCTTGACAATCGATGAGGGTGCGGAGAATCACACAGATTCCACCTCCTTTTTTCCCTTTACGGGGTAGCTAAAGAAACTTGAAGTCCTGTAGAGTATTTTGTATATCAGCAATGGGAGTACTGTCTCAGCTGTCACCGGTTGACCACGTCTCTGTGATGGCGAGGACATCAAGATTTTCAGTTATGACGAAGTCTGAGATCTCTTTGCTTGTTCATCATGGAGCGTGCATTCCATACTCCCACTCTAGTAGGAAGGTGTTTGAAGACCTTCTGATCGCCTTTGTGTGGAACTGATTTCAGTGACGATTGTGATTTTCAAACACACTGAGAGTTTTTTGGATGCTCCTATTGAGTCTGTATTGTCATTGTCGAACTACATCTTTTGAATTGAATGGAATTAAATTGATCTTTATTTCATTCATCATAAAAACATCATAACAAACATTAAATACAAAACATAGCGTACAATTTAAAGAGAAACATTTACAATAGAATACAACAACAAAAATATATATGAATGTGGAGACAGCTAGGAAAGCCAAGGCTTGTTTGGTGCTGCCACCAAAACGGTAATAAAGTATAATACAGTATTATATTGTTGTTTGAGAAGGTGATGTAAAAAAAGCAAAAGGAACAACAAAAAACAAAAACAAAAACAAAACAAAAACCAGACCGTGTACAGAATCAATCTTTATTTATTTTGTTGGATTAAAAATGATTTATATCTCCTTTTAAAAATGTTAATTGATGGACTAGATTTAATATCTTGTTCCTTCTTTGCTCACTTCCTTGTATTGCAGATATGCAGAGAATCTGTCTGCTGATGAGAACCTAGATTGTGTGCCTTATTACCTCATCACTCAAAACATCCGTAAACTGGTCCAGTTCTATTGCCACCGGGGTCAACTCAACGATGCCCTCCTGGTGGCGCAGGTGGCCAGTGAGGACCCGGTTACCATAGAAACAGGCCGAGGTGTTGTCAACGGGAGAGCAGCGGTGCATGAGGAGGGACAGAGAGTGAATGGATTGCAGGATGAGGAGGAAGGAGAGTCAAACAAGTGAGTGCAGCTGCTCAAGAAGAAAGGGCTCAGAGGTGTTCTAGAGTGATGATGGTTGTAGTGGTGGAGGTGGTGATGACGATGGTGATGGCAGTGATTTTTTTTTGATTTTTTTTTTTGTGAAAAAAATGATGGTAATTATGGTGGTGTTGTGGTATAGTAATAATGATAATCCATACATGCCAACATTTGAAAATCAGAAATCTGTACAAATTATGCTATTTAAAAAAAAAAGAGGAACAATCCTAACTCTCCTATTCAATACTACAGACAAATTTGTACAGGAAGAGGAACACCTGCATTAAAATGATAATTATCTTCTCCCAAAAAGAAGAATGTCCCTCTTTAATCTGAACAGTTGGCATGTATGATAATCTCAGTGATGATAGTAATGGTATTGGTGATATCAGTGGTGATATTGAGGTGATAGCGGCGGTGATAATGATGGTGATGGTGATTTAAACTGAAAGTGGTGATAATGCTTATGGTAATGTTAGTGATGAAGGTAATGGTTTTTGTAATAATGACAATGACGACAGTGGGTGTATTATTGAAGGTGGTTATACAAATAATGACAGTGATGAATCATAGGGTCAATATGTATGCTTCTTTTATACCTGAATTAATATATTTTACATGCTAATGGAGAGAAACCATAAAGTAGATCAAAACTTTTGATTCCAATGATTGAGAAATCATCATTTATATTCATTTAATTATGGAAGTACCATTCTTGAATTATGATTGGAATAAGGCTAATACAGTCAAACCTGTCTATAGCGACCGCCCAAGGGAAACACAAAAGTTGGTCTTTGTAAACAGGTGGTCTTTGTAGACAGGTTCCTTTAGTACATGTTTAAATGAGAAACCATTTTCAAGGAAAAATAATGTGGTCTTTGTAGACAGGTGGTCACTAAAGCAGGTTTGAATGTAGTTATAAAGTGCTGTTCTCCCTGAGGATACAAAGTGCTAAGTATCTACTGGTATACAATTTCCTTCATGTGGTATTTCTTTTTACCAATTTCCATTTTCCAGGTTACTCCTATCTGTAACAGAGCTGACGGCTAATAAGTTCTTTCATAACGGATCACCTGTATTAGCTGCATGCTGTCATCTTGCTGCAGGTCAAACAAGGGTAAGTAAGCAACTCAGGGAGGGAGGGAGGGAGGGAGGGAGGGAGGGAGGGAGGGAGGGAGGGAGGGAGGGAGGGAGGGAGGGAGGGAGGGAGGGAGGGAGGGAGGGAGGGAGGGAGGGAGGGAGGGAGGGAGGGAGGGAGGGAGGGAGGGAGGGAGGGAGGGAGGGAGGGAGGGAGGGAGGGAGGGAGGGAGGGGGAGGGAGGGGAGGAAGATGAAGGGGGAAGGGGAAGAAAGAGAGAGAGAGAGAGAGAGAGAGAGAGAGAGAGAGAGAGGGAGAGGGAGATTCAAGCAGAGGTCAAAAGAAAGGAATGAAATTGAGTGTTTCATGTGGAAAGAGAATTTATGATTCCTCATTCTTTCTTTCTTTCAGCTCGCCTTGTCCAAGTTAATCCGAGGTCATGAGTTAGAGCTGGTGATATCAATAGGAAAGTCACTGAAAGGAGAGAAGAATTCAAGTCTGGTTACCATGGCAATTGAGATGCTATCCAGAAGATGTGAAGGACAGGGAAACTGGTGAGTTTCAAACAGTGTACATTGTATTGCGTATTTTCACTCTATTCTTTTTACATGATTTTGAATGCTCTATTGCACAAGGTAGACATTTTTTGTTTAAAACCCTAAACGAGCAAGGCCATTTTGAAAATAGCCTATCTGGGAAGGGGATCTAGAATGATTTTGCTTCATCCCTTTGATCTGGATATATGACGAATTGTGAACAACATGAATGAGTATTTTATTATCCATGTGCCAATGGAATTTGAATCCATTATCTCAAAGTTTGCGTATACACCACTGTACAACAAGCCTGCATTTTGTACAATTCTTATCATGAGTCGGCATTTCAGCTTTGGCCACACATATGTAAAATGAACATCGTCTGGAGCCAGAAGGGCGTTAACCCATATACTTAAACATAGAGTTAACCCCCTTCTGGCTCTGAACACACATTATACTAGAATCACTTACCAGGGCCCCATTTCACAAAACTTGCCACCAGTGACAAATGACAGCTTTGTTTAATATAAGCTAGTGAAATCCTTGCTTCTGATTGGTTATCAGCAGATTTGTCACTGAGTTTTGTCGTTTGTCGTTGAAAAAAGACTTTGTGAAATGGGTCCCAGATCTCCACTTACCCTGTATCATGTGAGATGTTTTGAGTTTACCTTGCTAATTACCAGGGTACCATTTCTTGTTCTCAACAGGGATCTAGCGTACAATCTAATTGAAGACATACCTAGTAACCATGACCTGAAGGTCAAGCTATGTGCAAGGTGTATCGGTAGTGCTGCAGAGATCAACCACATACATGAAAAGGTAAAATATATACATGTACAAACCTTCAAATTTTAAATTTCATTCAAATTTTATTATAAAGACGGTCATTAAGTGATGCATGCAAATTGAATATGTGTTGCTCCCGATAACCTTTTAATGTCTTTCCGCCTTTCAGTGTCTTTATCATCATGACTCCTCTCTTCTTTTTCTGTATAATTTTCTTGCATTTTTTTTGCTTTCTAAGTGTATTATATTTCTCACATTATATTTAGCCATCATCATCTTGTCATCTCTCTTGTCTCTCACTCCTCATTTTTACTGGTGTTGCACAAAAAAGCTCTCTTTCTTCTTCTGTCTTTATTTTTTCCCTTCTAGATATGTTTTGCTTATTATGTTTCTTTGTATCCCCTCTCTGTGTGAGTGTCTCTCTCTGTCTCTCTCCCCCACTTTCTCTCCCCCTCTCTCGCTTTCTTTATTTCCCTGTATTTGTTATTTTGTACAGTACACTTAATATCGTCCTTGTTTTCACGAAGTGACTGTAGTGAGGAAAATCGTCACGCAAAGTGAATGCAATTTTTTTCACTACCGTCACTTCATGAAAACAGCGACGATATGTGTTTTTCCTTCATACATTGTAGCTAAAAACTATACAAGATAAAAGTACTTTTGATGTAAATATCCACCTTATGTGATGAATTTATTTTGCTGATCCCACAGGCGGGTTTCCCCCCTCTGGAAGACTGCAGAGAGAAGGCCCAGAGCATGGTAGATACAGGGAATGTGAGGGAGTGTGTTTGCTACTATTTACTATCCTCTACACCAGAAGTAGCAATGTCTGTGGGTCTGCCAGAAATCAGGAGTAAGTTTCCATTCGCCCTCCATCCATTTTTACATTGATTAATAATTGATACCAATAATAAATACTAATGCGAATATGAATCCGTCTTCAAAAGTGGAAAGATTTATAACATTCAATGTTAACCTCCTTTTGGGTTCAGATTAATTATGTTCTACTTTCACAATTGTTACTAAAACCTCTTGACCTTGAATTCTAGGGGATAAGTACTTTCCATTTCTTTGCATAAAGTTTGTTCGTTAGTGAGCAGCTGCTATCAAAGCTGTACTTTTGATAGAGTGATTTTAAGCACCTTGGTCATTTGACCTTACTAATATTACTAACTAATATTATTACATTTAAATCTGCTTTAGCGAATACTGTATAGAAAGACTACCTGTCTTTTAAACATAACATTTTTTGTTCCCCTTTAATATGGGTTCTCATCGAAACCTGTACTAAAAGAACCTGTCTATAAAGACCACTTTTCAGATATCCCTCGAGCCATCTTCTACACAGGTTTCACTGTATATTATTTTTATGCCTCCGTTACGAAGTAGCCGGAGGCATTATGTTTTCGGGTTGTCCGTCCGTCCGTACGTCCGTACGTACGTACGTACGTACGTCTGTACGTACGTACGTCCCGTTCTCGTGATCGCGTTATCTGAAGAACTGGTTGATGGATTCCTGCCAAACTTTGGTCATGTATGTATCTTGTAGAGCCGATGAACTGATTAGATTTTGGGGTTTCGAGGTCAAAGGTCAAAGGTCACAGGGCTCATTATGTATGCAAAACGAGCTCGTGATCGCGTTATCTGAAGAACTGGTTGATGGATTCCTGCCAAACTTTGGTCATGTATGTATCTTATAGAGCCGATGAACTGATTAGATTTTGGGGTCACGAGGTCAAAGGTCAAAGGTCACAGGGCTCATTATGTATGCAAAACGAGCTCGTGATCGCGTTATCTGAAGAACCATTTGATGGATTGCTGCCAAACTTAGGTCATGTATGTTACTTGCAAAGCCGAAAAACTGATTAGATTTTGAGGTCACGAGGTCAAAGGTCAAAGGCTACAGGGCTCATTATGTATGCAAAACGAGCTTGTGATCGCGTTATCTGAAGAACCGATTGATGGATTGCTGCCAAACTTAGGTCATGTATGTTACTTGCAGAGCCGATGAACTGATTAGATGTAGGGGTCACACGGTCAAAGGTCAAAGGCCACAAGGCACATTATGTATGCAAAAACAGCTCGTGATCGCGTTATCTCAAGAACCGATTGATGGATTCCTGCCAACTTAGGTCATGTATGTTTCTTGCAGAGCCAATGAACTGAGTAGATTCTTGGTTCATAAGGTCAAAGGTCATGGGCTCATTATGTATGCAAAAATAGCTTGTAATCACAATATTTTGAGAACCTGTTAATGGATTACAATTGAACTTGAATTCGAAAAATTTCTTCTGTTTTGGTTTGTAAAATTGCTCTATGACGGAGGCATCATTTTCGACTGCGCGCAGTCGAAGTTCCATCTAGTTATTTTTAATATTACATATTGTATATATTGGTACTATTTCAGTTTCAGCATTACAGGACCTTTATTTGTGTAGTTTTTAAGAGTGAAGTCTAATTTAATGAAGTACACACCATCTGTTTGGAGCCATAAGGGTGTTAACCCATGTACTTTAACACAGAGTTTAGCCCTTCTGGCTCTAAACAGACAATGTAAATGAGACACAGTGAGGCACATCTTTTTACATCATACATAATATTCAAGTGCTTTGTTTTATTGTTCTGTCCTATTGTTTTGTTACAGGTAAACTGAATCAATCTGACTGGGTAGTGGGTGATGTTTACGACCTTCTGCAGTTAATGGGTTGTATCAGAACAGACAGGATTATGATGCAGAGTGTGGCACAGTAAGTCCTTTTGCAAGTAATAAGATAAGTGATAAGAATACCCATCTCTTCCCTGGCAACTTCTAATCTATTACATTCTGATGTTTTCATTCCATGTTTGACAAGATTTTCAGAGGAAGATCTGCATATCATTCATTATATGTACATAGTTTGTATTGCTTTTGTCAAATCCTATCTGCTTTTGTCTTGTGTTTGTTGATAATTTTGTATCGGTCTAAATCTGTTTTTGTTTTTGACAATATTTTTACTCTTTGGTGCATTACATCAGGTACAGTTTTGGTACATACATGTATAGAAATTAACTTTTGTTTATTTTCAAACGACTTACTTTTTGGGTATTGTGTACTATTGCTCTTTAATGATCTTGTACCTTGTTTCTCCTGTTGTGTTTCAGGCAGCGATGTGAGCTGGTGATCCTTTCTTGCTATGTAGGAGCTCTAGTAGCCATAAGAAGAGGTTACCAGTCTATAGTAGCTCCGTTATTCAGTCTAGCCTGGAGGCTTATCAAGGAAGGTAGCTTTGGTGAAGAGCTCCCTCTAACAGACGCACTCGTCCAGGCAGAACTCGCGGCTTGGAATGCCGTATCTGGAAATAACAAAGGGTAGGAACAGTTTCTGTTTCCTTTCAGCTACTATAGGAACAGGGGAGTGTTTCACAAAGACTAAGATCGACTTTAAGTTGGACTTAACTATGGCAGGCCACTCATGTCACTGGTTGCTCTCACCATTTACTGGCATTGGTCTCTCAAGGGACGTACAAATCGTGGTCACAAATCCACAGAATTTACATTTTTTAATAGTTCATTTTTGAAGGAAAAAAGTGTTATCTAAAGATCATAATCGAGAGACCAATGGTGAGAGCAACTATTGGCATGATTGGCCTGCCATAGTTAAGTCCAACTTAAAGTTGATCTTAGTCTGTGTGAAACACCCCCCAGGTTTAATGAAGTAAATCTTTTTTTTGACATAATAAAATTGTTCTCCAAATGTTTTTTTGAGAAAGCTTTTCTACTATTATCAAAGGCTTGAAAGTCAGTTAACATCGTGTTGAAATATACAACGAGAACAATCACATTTTTGTGCACATCAAGACATGACTTTTGCAAATGATACCCATCTTACTTTGCTTCACATGTTGGGTTAAAAGTAAGTTTGGAAAAAAAGAGCATTGTGGTGGGTGAATCGGTCTTGTCAATGAATTTGTAGCATGATATGAAAGGCTTTTCCAGTAACTACAAGACATAAAAAGTGCCACTTATTTATGCAGATAAAAATACATTTTGTCAGTTTTTAGAGAATTACCATATGCCCATGTGTTATGTCAAACAGTCTCAACAAGAAATTTTTCTTCATCTTTTGGAAATGAGTTACATATTTGACATAAAGATTTATATGGCACAAGTAAAGATCCTTGTAATTTGTTTGATTAATTCCATTTTAGAGTAAATGTAAAGCTTCCGTAGTCACTAGATCTTGATGTTAGTGATTATTAGTATTTTCGCGGTAGAGGTTTACGGTACACCATGTGTAAAGTCCTAGAAGGACTAAGGAAAGTGGATAGAAAATAGAAGTGAAATAGAAAGGCGAGAAAGTGGAGGTTGGAAGGAAGAGTATCAGATGCTGTTGATGTGAAATCCTTCCTCACCATTCTACTTCCGACCAATCTTCAACCAACTCCACAACCAGCACGCCAACCACCAACACTTCACCAATCCATCCATCCGTCAGCCCGGACGCCACCTGCAACCACCCAACCACTCCTACTCAAACAAGCACTACACGTTCTCAACTAGCCACTTCACCCACACAAGCACCGCCCACGCCCACACCTCGCTACAACCTACGCCACCAAGCTACTCACCTGATCCCACCGAGACCTGCCCGCCGAAACCGCCGACCAACACACACAGAGCGACACCACTAATAGCCGTCCTCACCGCCGATCGATACACCCACTCAACAGCCGACACACCGCCCGCTACTCCGCCGACACCAACCACACGACGTCCGCATAGCCGCCGCCCACTCGTTTCCCGCCAATTCACGCAACCGAGCGCCACCACCGACAGCTGCCTGCCAATCCGCCGAGCCCGCCGGCCCAGTGCTTTCCCCCAAGTCCGCACTCACGCCATTATAAGGACCGCCGCACGCCTAGCGAACACTCACTCCTGAAGACGGACAGTCAACCTGTCCGAAACGTCGAGTCTACTCTCCTGCTCCTGCTCTGCAACTCTACTCAACTCTCCAACTCAATCCAGTCTTCTACTCAAACCTCTCATCCTATCTACAACTTTCTGGTTTACAGTCCTTTTCAGGACTATACTCACTTCCGAAAGATATTATTATTATTATTTATTCGGCAAAGGAAAACATTACATATCAGTGTACACAATACAAAATAAGACATAATTATCAACCATTGGAACGCCAGGGACAGAAAAAGTTAACTAAATTACTGTGGCATAAAGCCTCCTGTCCCAATTCCAATGGATGATTTACATAAAACAGAAATAAGAAGTTTAGCCTTGGGTTACCTTCAAAGTTGAAAAGTAATTAGGGCCTATTAAACAATTATAAGTGATGTAATTAAATGCAAGATGCGGTATCATTATTTCAGATACATTATATAATAGTAATCAATTACAAACAAATGTATAGGCTAATTAACATTTGACACATTGAATAAGTGTAGGAGATGTTGCTGTATAGGGCAACATATTAAAATATAAAATAGCATATTAAATAGCATATTATAACCGTATCTCCCCTGACAGCAAGGAATAGAAGATACTATAGAAAATGAAAGGAAACTAAAAGAGACAAAGGGGGAGAGAGAGAGAGAGAGAGAGAGCAAAGAGAGAGGGAAAAGTAAAGCAAACAGAGAGGAGAGAAGTACATATTTATCAGTGATACATTTTCTTGAAATCAAAATTACAGTGTATATTTAGGCCTGTACCATAACAGGATTCGACTTGACCACACAATCCCAATATATATATATCCCATTCAAGGTTACAAATATTCATAACACTGACCTATACCAAAAGATAAAATTCCAATGAAATATATATAACCCATTAAAGATACAGGTTACAAATATCTATAATACTGACCTATACCCATGATACCGGAAGAACAGTTCCATAACAAAAGAACATCGTTATTTTGCAATTATAAACACGTGCGTGTTAACAATATAATAAGCGGGGGAAATATTAAGGAGGAAAAGAAGCAAGAAGAGGCGGAAGCAGTAGAATTTAGTATTCAGTTTAATATAAAACCACTCAACCGCATATTATGCTCCAGCCTCCTCTCCCCTCTTATCCTTTCAATTATTTAAATCCCACACTGGCGGAGGTGACACCCAAGCGCAGCAAGCCAGGTCGACAAGGAAGTCTCGACCACCCCCGTGCGCAAGGACTCGGGGAGTTCGTCCCAGTAACGAGGAAATGCGTTAATTGCAGAGCCGTGCATCCGTTGAGTCCACGCCCGGAGATGAACGAACCTCACCTCATCAGTTCGACGAGCATTCACTAATATGGCACGCCCGACAGTGCCGCATTCAATAACACGGAACAAAGATTTAACAACATAAGAGATCAAGCAATATTTTCGGCGGGATTCAAGGGATTGCCAATTCAGAAGTTGGAGCCTATTCTCGTAAGACATTTGTTGGCGTCTTTGCCTAAGGGCAACTCTAGTAGCTCGACGTTGTATCGTTTCAATTTTATTCGAAAGTAATTTTGTGTGTAAATGCCAAACTGGTTGTCCATATTCAAGTATGGGTATAACAAGAGACTTAAAAATAGAAAAGATGGTGTGAGGAGCCAGTGACCTGGTGACTGATAAAACAAAGCCCAACATACGATTTGCTTTGCGGGTGATATATTCTACGTGGTTGTGCCATGTTAGTTTATTGTTCAGCATTATGCCGAGATATCTAAACTCTGTTACTGATTGAAGTAGGGTATTGTTAAGAGTATAATTTGGGATACCGGGCTGTCTGGAACACGTGATGCGCATTACTTTCGTCTTTTTTTCGTTAATGCGCATTTTATTAATTATACACCATTCATTGAGTTTGTCCAGGTCATTTTGGAGAATGTGCATATCTTGAACATTTGAGATGGGTCTATAGACTAATGTATCATCTGCAAAAAGTACACATGGCGATATGGTTTGGGTTAAAATGTCATCAATGAATAAATTAAATAGGGTGGGGCCCAACACACTCCCCTGGGGCACACCTGATAAAACAGGAAACCAAGATGATAGTGCACCTCTGTGAATAACTCTTTGCTCCCTATTACACAAAAAAGACCTTATCCATTGCCATAATAATCCTGAAATAAAATATCTTGAATTAAGTTTTTGCAATAATACATCATGAGGCATTAAATCGAAAGCCTTTTGGAAATCGAGAAAAATCGCATCAATCTTTGGAGGGGATGGTACATCTAAGACACGTAGCCAACGGTTTGTAACGTTTAGCAATTGAGTGACGCACGATTTACCTTTAACAAAGCCATGTTAATTAGGGTTGAGTAAACAATATTCTGTTGTATGGTGTTGGATTTCGTTCGTTATTACTTTTTCAATGATTTTACACACTACGGATGTCAGTGCAATCGGTCTATAATTACTAGGTAAGGAGCTATCACCAGCTTTATGTATCGGGGAAACATTGGCCTGTTTCCAAGACATTGGCAATTGACCAAGAGACAAAGAAATATTAAATAACTTGCATAAAACGGGTGAAATTGGAACAGAACACATTTTCAAGAGGTTTGGGGTTATGTTATCCAGACCAGGTGATTTATCATTACGCAGGTTTCGTATCACCTTAGAGACATCACATGTAGAAATATTGACATTCTGTAAATATGGTACGAATGCACTGTGTTCCGACCTGGGTTCGGGAATATCATTACAAGTACTATTTGGAGTGAACATGGTACTTAAATAATTGGCAAACACCTGTGCGATCTTGCTCGGTTCATGTTCGGGTAATCCATTGTTGTCAATTGAAAGGGGAGCACGGTTTTTCCTCTTACTACGAACAAATGCAAAAAACCTTTTCCTATTATCGTCACTATCTGATAACAATTCATTCAAATACGAATAATACGACTTGTTTATCAATACTTTCACTTGGTTACGAAGTTCCCTATACGCCTGCCAACTATCGTTGGTATTCAACTGTTTCGATATCTTAAACATTCTATTTTTCTTACTGATCATTTTCTTAATGTCAAGTGTTATCCAGGGGCTTAAACGGTTATTGCGGCTTTTTTTGCGGGGAATACAATCACGAACCGCTGCATCAAAAATATCCATAAAACCATCCCAAGAATTATCAATATTATCAGTATCCATAAATAAATCCCAAGGAGCATAATACAGTATGTTATTGAAATGTTCTGTGTCAGCCTTGTTATATTGTAGATAGTCACGCAAAATTTGTTTTGGCGGAGACATCTTTTTCAACTTGACCTTAAAACAGATCGCATGGTGGTCGCTCGTTACTGGATTTGCTTGAGTGCACACATCCAAAACCAAATGCGGGCGATTAGTAAATAGAAGATCTATTATTGTCCCTGTGTGAGGATTGTCGGGTGATCGCCGGGTGACGTCATCGACCATCTGAGAGAGATCCATTGATGACGTAATGCGCTCAAGATGCTGGACGATTGGAAGTTGCTGATGGGCCCAGTTGACATTGAAGTCTCCCGTAAGGATGATGCCATGGTAGTCTGCTGATGCAACCTGTAGATCATCAACGGCCGTCTGGAGGTGATCCCAAAAATCGGCTGGGGCGTTGGGCGGTCGGTATAGAATACAGAGAAGCCACTTGACATGAAAACGTGACGCAATATCAACACATAACATCTCTATGTCATCCTTCTCCAAATCTGCCCTTCGCTTCGGAGAAAGCTCTGGTATAATGGCAGCCAAAACTCCCCCACCCCTTCCGCTGGGTCGATCTCGCCGAAAGATTTGGTATTATTATTATCCGTCGAAACCTGCGTTTACGGTGTCTTGCTGTGTTAACCATGTTTCTGTGACGTTTATTATATCGTATGATGTTGACTGTAGAAAAGATTCGACTTCCTCCATCTTATTTCGAAGACTTCTCGCATTAAAAGTGATACCAGAAACTTGTTTCAAAGTTTGTCTGTTGTGTGTTTCATGATTGGAGGGACCTGGGTGTGGTTGAATGTCGCCATGAGACAATATGTGGATATTGAAGGTTGCAGAGGAGTTGCTATAGTAACGGATGGGACAGTGTAGGTAATGAGTCCGGTGATGAGTGCGACGTGCTGAATGTAATGAAACTGGATTTGAGTGTAAGTTTCCTGCAGCAAAGACAAGTAAGAGCAAGCATAGCGGCACCATGGTGACCAACATAGTTGGTAGTCTGTCGTTCATTATTATGCAAATGTCCCAGGTGTGTATACTGGAGCGATATGTTCGTACAGAATTCTACGGTAATGTACGTTGAATGTATGTATGTAGATCTCTAAAGTTGTATGTAGACGAAATCGAGCACAGAAGACACAGAAAACGTCAAAAAATCACACGAAATTCAGTAAAAACTCACATGTATTTGAGAACAATCCAGTCTAAAGATGAAAAGTGAGGTGTTCACCGAAGATAAATAGTAAGACACAACAGGAACCGCATAAAAATCATGAAAATAACCGGAGCTCTCTCTCTCTCCCAACATCAAACATCAAAACGATCCAAAACGAGGCGTCTGAAGCAATCCTACGTCTATCTATCCTTAGTCCTTCTAGGACTTTACACATGGTGTACCGCAAACCTCTACCGCGATTATTCATACCACCATGCAAACCTTCAAACATCAACCTATTAGTATTTTCTTCTCATGTTTATTTGCCTGTACTTGAAACTGTTGGGGGAAAAAAATTACAAATATAATCACCGGCCCCTTCACATTCATAAGTCGACCTTATACAATCATATTACATTTCAGGCATTTTAATATACCCCCCTACAAAAAAAAATTGATTACTAGTAAATAAATAAATTTTCAAAGTGTGATTCCACCTCTAACATGGGTTTTTCTATATTTCTTTGCATTTTTGTACATGTTGTTCTAATGAGACAGCCCTGAGCAGCCCAAGTGTGCCCCTCCTACTCCACTTCAAGAAGACATCTACCATAACCTGATAAGACGGGGAGAATCCTTGACCTTTGACCTTGAAGCAGGTCATGACTTTGTGACGGGTTCTCACCTTCCTAGTCATTCTGATGTTCATCATTCTCTGCTGACTGCTAATAGGATACAGGTCAGTAGAAACAAATTTTAAATCCCCTCTGCACTACTTAGAGCTACTTGCGCCCTCTATATAGTAGAGCCGATTTGATGAGATAACCACCTGTCAGTGACCATGCAGGGAGGTCTGATCCCTCCTGGCCAAACTAGTACAAAAAGATTTGGTTAAACATGATTTAAAACAGGTCGTATTAATCTGCCAAGTTATATTCTTGAAGAAATTTTTTTCTATTCTTGTGTCTGTTTTTAGGTGGTAGTCTCTGCACCTAAAACTCTTGACTTTATGTCATCTTGTTACTTTGAATGTTAACTATTAAATTTTCCTTAAAATGATCCAAAGTTTGTAAAGATAAAACCAAATTATTCCCTAGTTTCTTGTAGTAGACACTACATAACCATACCACAGGACTTTTGATTTAGTTCAGGAAGATTGAAAATGCGATCAGATTTTCAGGGTATCACTGTCAGTCATTTTAGTCCAAGAGGAGTCCCTAGTTAAACAAATATTTACATGGGTATGCTTAACTTGTACAAGTGTAGAACTATGAGCCAACTTGAACCAAGTGCTCTACTAAAAGTAAAGTGTAATGATCTGATTTAATTATAATTTTAATTATTCTATATGTTATGGGTTTTTGCAAATATATATATTGTTGTAGAAATTATTGGTTTTTGCAAAGATATATATTGTTGTAGAAATTATTGTTTTTTTCTTCTACATGTCTACAGGGTCCCACATTCTTCCTGGATGACGGCAAGTCTGTGATCTCACTGAACAGCGCCCTCATGTGGGCTAAAGTGTGCATGTTCTCACCCATAGGGTCAGGGACACCTATTAATCCGTTCTGATGGGGATACAACTACAAAGCAGATCTAATCTCCCTGTATCTGCACCACACTCACACTCCTATGGCTTTAGGATGATGTACAACTCAGAGATTGGAGGTCAAAGGTCACATTCATGATTACAGTTCATTCACCTCATGTTTTGATTTACATATACTGTTGTGTGTGAATAAGGCCGCTTCAATAGCGAAATGCAGTGGCACGAAAAGGTGTCCAGAATGCAAAATTTAATTCAATTCAATTCAAATTTATTTCCACTCAAACAGTAGAACACAAACACAAAAACAATTGACAATACACAATAAATGTAAGCACAGAAGTAAAAAAAATTACTTCTAATTCACAAACGTCACCAACTATGTTTACTTTTACTTTTCGTGCCACTATGTTTCACTATTAAAGCTACCTAAGAGAGTTGCGGTGCTGCTCATACTCAGTGATGTAAATGGATAGTTTGTTTGGAATGGCTAGTTGATGAATGGTTTGTGCATGGGCACGTCTACTGCTACGTGTATGGCGGGGAAAAGGAGATGGAATCTTGTATCAAAATTTGAATGAAGCATCTGCAAAACTTGTCTTGTGCAAAAATCTTTCATATCCTACAAACAGGGTACAATCTTTCAAACATTCCTCTATTCAATGTGTTACAAATTCAGGAGAATTATGTATTTCAAGTCTAAGTACAAATATGACGAAATCTCTCATGTGATTTTGTGAATAACATTATTATGTTTACCCTGACGCCTTACAGGGGCAAGAAACATTTTTATGCCTCTAGCATTTTGTGTTCAGGTTGTCTGTCCATCCATCCGTCCCTCTTTCTTGTTATCGCGATATCTCAAGTACCACTTGAAATATGAATTTCAAACTTGATGATAGTATGTATCATCATAGGATGACGATCTCATAGATTCGGGTTGATAGGTCTTGGGTCAAAGGTCACCGAGGTCAACTTACGAAGTTCCAGGTATTGGCCACATTATCATGAAATCTCAAGAACCACTAGAGATATGAAGCTCAAACTTGTTGATAGTATGTATTACCATAGGAAGACGATCTGAATAGATTTGAGTTGATAGGTCTCAAGTCAAAGGTCACCGAGGTCAAATTATGAAATTCCAGGTATTAATAATAATAATAATAATAATAATCTTTTAAAGTCCACTCCAAATTTTATTAAGTTAAAACAAAAATGGTGATTCTTTTTGCCCATTTGATTGTGAGCCCGCCAGCGACTGAGCAGCGCCAGATCGATGTTGCTCTTTCCCTTATTGTTGAACGCCAAACAAGGTAGCAGCAACTCCCGTCTTTTAACGTCTTTTGGTATGCCGCGGCCGGGGTTCGAACCCACGACCTCCCAGTTGTGAGGAGGACACTCTACTGACTGAGCCAACACACCGGTTGTATTGGCCACATTATCATGAAATCTCAAGAACCACTAGAGATATGAAGCTCAAACTTGTTGATAGTATGTATCACCATAGGAAGACGATCTGATTAGATTTGAGTTGATAGGTCTAGGGTCAAAGGTCACCGAGGTCAACTTATGAAATTCCAGGTATTGGCCAAGTTATAACAATATCTCAAGAACCACTAGAGATATGAAGCTCAAACTTGTTGATACATGATAGTATGTATCACCATAGGAAAACGATCTGATTAGATTTGGGTTAATAGGTCAAAGGTCAAATGTTACTGTTCTCATTGAAATATCACAGCTCTTTTGATTGAGTCTCTAAGGAGATGCTCCGTAGAGAATATGATTTTGAGAAAATAAATACCCTCAGAGGAGTGAATGGAATTAGAGTCCGTCCAATCTAGCTGATTATAAAATTGCTAATGGAATACTGTGTTTCCTATGTAAATATAAGACTAAATGTAGTTATTTTCTAATTAAATTGTATTTTAAATTCTGTTGTGAAGTGAAGCATTATGCATTTAATTCAGTCATTTTTTGATCTACTTAATAAGGAATTGTATGTGAAGATTGGAAATATTGGAGAGATGAATTCATGGGCCATTATAGCTGTAGTTTGTAAAGTCGGAATTAAACCAACTCTAAAATGAGTACCGGTACTACTTGACTTTCATTGAATGAGAATCATGTATTTATGACTTGCTCTATGTCATTCTAGGGGTGTTTCAGAAAGACTAAGATCGACTTTCAGTTGGACTTAATTATGGAGGTCGTTCATGCCACTGTTTGCTCTCACCCTTTACTGGCCGGCATTGATTATCAAGCGTAGACAAATCATGGTCACAAATCTACAATATTAACATCTTTTGATAATTCATTATTGAAGGAAAAAAATATCATCTAAAGATCATAACAGTTAGGGCAACCAGTGGCATGAATGGCCTGTCATAGTTGTGTCCAACTTAAAGGTAATACAAAGTTTTGGTTCAGATGAACATAATGGAAGCAAATTAATGCGATCCTACAATATTAAGTGATCGTTGTCGCAGTTGAAAATGCGTCTAATGTTTTGAAATTGTAAATAATAAACTCTTTATGTTGTATAGCTCCCTCTCAAGGTCAAGATATTAATTAAGCTATAAAATAATGTTTCTTGACTAAAATTGACCGATTAGCTATTCCCGTTTGGAAATTATATATCACAACTACATATTCTGAGATTTTCATGGTCGCAGCTAACATTGTATGGCCATATAGGCGCTATTTGAAATTTATCAAAATTTACGGGGAGCACCGGTACATTTTTATATTCAATTTTTCTCGAAAGCAGAAGTGTTTTAGGTGCTAATTTTTCTAGTGCTTATAATACATCCACAGGGGCATCCAAATATATAAAAATGGTAAAGAATCATTATCCACCCAATTTTCAAAATTTCTAAAAACTTTGTATTACCTTTAAAGTTGATCTTAATTTTTTTTAAACACCCCCAGGAGTTGTATCTTTCTTAAAATGTTTGCATGAGGCTCAATGTTTGTATCCTATTATAATTAAGGCTTAGTGTGAACTTAAATGTATATATAAAACTACGTAGCAAATACAGTGAAATAACTTGCACCACCTAATCTGAAGCACCTTGAAATTATATGCTGAATGTAAAAATGGATGTACAAAGTTGTATATTTAAATTTCTTTTTATATGATTGTGTATATATTGAATTTATATGATTATGTATAGAGGAAAAGAAAGCTATTGAGATATATTTATGTATTTTCTTGTATTTTCTTAGCATGCAAGTGCCAAAGGTGTAATTTGACTTGGTTTTATTCAGGAATCATATATACTAGCAAATGATGATGAGAACTAAATGTTCTATGAAATACAGCTCAGTTCAACAACTGCCTAGGGTTTGCGGGATTATATTAATGAACATGCATACAATGTACTTAAAGTGCGTCTGTGTCTGTAGCATGTATACTAACTGTATGTACCATGATGTACTGCATTGACTCAGTTATCACAAAAATATTCAGAAAATACCACCTTCCCACCACTCCTAATAAATGTTTCGGTTTGTCTAAATATGGGAAATGGTTATATCTCAGAAAATACCACCTCCCAACCTTTCCTGAGTAATGTTTGGGTTTGGCTAACACTAAGGGAAGTGGTTATATCTTACAAAGTTGAGAAGTGGTACAAATGCTCTGAGTATGCTTGATCTCGAGACTGAAGTGAGTTTATCTGCGTGGTTTGCGTTTGGTCTACCATCGTATAATGTTCAATTTAATAGAAGCAACTCTTTTCTGAGAAGATAATTCTGTTTGGAGCCAGAAGAGCGTTAAAGATAAACTCGAGTTCTGGTAAAAAAAGAAAATGAATTCTCACAGAATCTAACGAAACTTACACTGAATGTTCAAGATTACAAATAAATGTCATGTGCCAAACAATTTTTGGAAGAAAATGTATACTGGCTGAGTAATGAGCATAGAAAGATAAGGAAATCAGGGTAGTACCAGCCCCGACACCATGTGTGTTGTCCCATATACATCTTTCTGTGTAAGTGATTGTTACTTTACCAAGACTCGATCTGCCAAATTTATGATGATTTTGATGACTCCAGAACCTTGCAGAACATACCATTACTTACATGCTATATGAACAACTTTTCTGATCCATTTCACAATGCAATCGCATTACCAGAACTCAAGTTTATCTTTAAACTCATATACTGTAACACAGAGTTATTGTCCTTCTGGCTCAACAGATGATGTATGTATATGAGCTATTAGATCCTTTTTTAATAGGCCTAGGTCATAGGTCATAGGCCATAGGTCATAGGCCTAGGTCATAGGTCATAGGCCTAGGTCATAGCTAGGATTCAGGAAGCAAAGCTCACCAATCTAACTGAATGTTTCAAGACAGCTAGTAGTAGTGTATTGCATAATATACAGTTAGCTTCTTTCATTGAACGTGATTCTAACGCCATTGTGCAGATCATACCCTGTAGATCATTGCTAGTCATTTAGCAAGTTGTGCTCAATCTTTGCGTGTGTTTTACATGGTGCTTTCCAATTAAGTTTGAGAAAATTTCCCAAATACCTGATTATTCAATCGATCAACATGTGATACACAACTAAAAATAAATGTTCATTCAGTGACATCCAAATTATAAGTGGGTTAATTTACTATGCATCTTATTCATTAAACATCCATCACTAATGCTACCATGAAAGAAATATCAGGCTTTATAACTAGAGCATGACATAAAATGACCTTAGAGTCATAAAGATGCGCAGCAATCCAACAGTGTATAACTGAATTTGTAACATCGATCGTTATATGCTTGAAATTCAAGGCATCTCACAAAACTGTCAAAATTAAAACACTATCTTTGCTGCTTTCTTCAAAATCATCTAGTTTCCAGTTTCACATTTAACTTGATTGATTGTTCAGACACATGCCTTCTTTGGAATGCACATACAGTTAACTCTGAATAAATCAAAGTCGCAGAAGTTGGATTTTCCTTAAGTCAAATCAGTTTTCTTTTATCTAACTACATTTATGTTTTTTTTTTTTTTTTTTTTTTTTGGGGGGGGGGGGGCAGTCTCAACAGATTTTACTTATGCAGAATACACCAGTTTACGGTTACATCAGTGCGCATGCGCAGACAGGCTGACCTCAGGTTATTGGCTTTGAAACAAAGCCTGAGGGTCAGTGGTATTGCGCCCATGCAAATGATGATGTGCGCGCACAACGCAGTGCGCAGGCAGTGATGTCATCATTTGCATGGGCGCAATCTTAATTTATGCATAAATCCATGACCTCTAGGTCATTGGCTTTGTTTACTCGCCAATTAAAATGGTGCCCCTAACCGTCAACTGGTGTATTAACTGTATTTTTGATTGACTTCAAAAGTGATAATTAAGTGCATTTTTTCCTTTGACTGAACAGACAAATGTCTGATCTGCTAATAAAGCTGAATATCTGAAATTAACCAATTTTCATGTGGCATGATAATAAAAGATATTAATTGAAAAATACTTTTTGATGGTTAGTATGAATGTAATTACTTTCACATTTGGGAATCAAGTATCAAATATTAAATTAATAAAATCTTTGAAATAGCTTGTCAAATGTAACTTGTTCTGTATGTTTTCATGTGTGATGTGTTGCATCTTAGAGATTTCTGTACTCACAAAAATGGAAAGAACATCTTTTGTTATGAATTTGTACAGGCAAATGAAATTTATTATCATCTGCAAGTATGCTTGAAATAAAATTAAAACACCAAATTATTTTCTGATTTAGTCACTTTGAAATAAATGAAATATATGTTACATGTTGAAGCATCTACTCATGCATAACATAAAATTTACTTCAAAAAAATTGGAGACAGAGAATGAAACATATCTAAATGTATAAATTAAATACTACAGATAATATCACCTTGCACAAGTGTGAATACATTTCAATGGTTAAGAACACAATAGGAAAATCATAAACACAAATTTTGATCCTTTTCCTATCCTCATTCAAGTTCATCCTCCTGCTTCTTAATATATTTTGTCTCCACATCCCTATAAAATGATCAGCTTTGGTACATGCACAGGTTTTGATAGCGCATATACCCTAACATTCAACAAATTAATATCCACAATATCATGCAAATGATAGTGAAAGTTCATATTGAAGAAGTGAAAGATTCAGCAATTTGTCAGAAATGGTAACAACACTTTCAATTGAATTAGAGGCATTAGAAATTACAGTTTTGGACCACAAGAAAATATATAATCTGTGATTCTAACAAGGGCAAATTGTAAAGGTTAGCAAAGAATATGAAAAAACCGTATAAAAATACCAAGACAGGTGCCTTTCAACTTTACAGCAAAGGGAACGAAGAGGAAATGGAAAAGTCTATTAACTATTTGACAGGATCTACAGAGTTAAATTAGAGGATACATACATGTATATGTATGGCCCCAGCAGGGTATACATTATTCATCCACAAGGCAATGACGAACAGTTTATGGTTAAAGGTGGAGCATAGCATTCCTTCTAATAATGCATGAATGTATTTTTTTACAAGGATATTTACAATCTTTCACAGTGTCAAGCATTTGAGATATTCACATCGAGATACTTGATCCAAACAAAACTTGGCATCTATTTAATAACAGTTGATTTTGGAATAACTTTCTTATAAAGAAAGTAATCAAGAATCAACCAAATGCTCCATTATAAGTTATTACTTATAGTATACAAGTCTTTCAACACATCTTAAATACTTATATTTGACATTAAGCAGCCACATGTACATCTTCTAGACATAAGAATTATATAAAACTGAAGAAATTCAATAAAAGTCTTTGAACTCATTTTCAGCATGTACTGTAGTTTCTTTAAATATTTGTCATCTGCCACAATTGTATAATAAGCTTTAAATAGCAAAATATAGTGGCATGAAAACATGCGTCCGGATCGCAAAATGCATAAATGTTGAAAATGATATTTTACTCACATATACACTGTAGAGTGAGCTTGTAAGTACACATGTACTATCTCGATTAGGTTTGATGTTTCCTAGACATTCATTGAGATATGTAACTTTTAATCAACAAACGTCCCAATTAAACTGTAATACCTTTTGTGTTCTGTACACATCTTTTCATGCAACTTCATGGCTAATTATATCTGTAATGGTAGTACAGATGCATAAGAATAGGAGACACTTGATTCTGTCGATCAGATGGCTCAACACAGGAGTGAAATGTTCTTTAAGAAACCAATGTTCCATTATGATCTTCCACTGATGGGAGGCAGGACGTTACTTGGTGACATGCTCGTCGGTCTGATGACCTGTTGGGTCACATGATCAAGCTGATTGACCTTGATCTCCTTGAAATGAACGCTAGGTGACGAGGCTTGGACGGGGTTTGCATTGCTATCTGTATGGTGGAAAAATAATGAAGTCATTCATCAATTACACAATACAGATTATTTACACAAACTATCCTTAATTCAAATTTTGGCCCTTTAATCAATTCCATATCCTTTCATATTTACACATAAAAGCAGAAATCCTTCACAAATTTTAGACAGGAGTACAAAGGTTTGCCAAATCTCCTATCATCATCTTTTTCAGTTTTAGAATTCATGCTTTGAATTCATTTAAAGTACATGTAGGCCCTTAATGTAGAACATAAAATATGTCATGCCAAGTTGAGTTTACTTCTTCATCAACATATATCATGAAATATTTACTGGTAAGATATCCAGAAATGTGATTACAACAGATCCCTTTTCTTTCCAGAGGGGGAAAGAAATTGAAGGGTCAGAAAGAGTACAATCTGACACTTTATTGTCCAAAACAGCTTGTATTAAATTTGCTGATCAATACTATGTGAAAATTTTAGATCATCTCATTATTTTGTTTTCTTTCAACCTGAATAACAAGCAATAACTTGATGTAACATTTCAATTTATTTATTTGCCCAATGTCATGCAACATGGATATTTGGTTTGCCTACATGTAAAATAAAGGCTCAACGTTTACAAAGAATAGAAATGATGAACTTACTTTCTTTGATAAGATATTCCCTCTGTGCGGGACTATTCTTAGCCTGAGAAGCAGAGTGAGGTGTTTGGGGGATGGGTCTCCTCACACACTTCTGCCCTATAGAGGGCTTGATGTTGAATCGTGCAGGGTCTTCTAACCGATCCTCCTGACGGTGCTGGATGTGTTGTCTAATGATTTCTTGAGCCTGAGAAAAACAAATTAAAATAGGATGTTGATGAGACAATCCTGAGAAATAGCTATTTCTCTACTAGAGTCTGGTATGCAGTTCTTCTTGAAGACTATAATCATATGTATTGTACCATAAAGAGTACTTCTGACAAAGTTGTTATGCAAAGAAATTTATCCAATATACATGTATGTGTATATAGCATATCTTACAAAAAATAGAATGTCAAATTTTACTGATAATGATGTTTTGTTGGAAAGGATGTAAAGCAGAAGCCTCCATGGACAGAAATTCTGATCATTAAGAAGTTATACCAGTAAAAACTTACAAAATAAAATTATAATAATTTTACATTCAGGTGTAGTTTTCAATTGGTCTACCGGTACCCTGAATTCAAAATATAACTCTAAATATACTCCAAGAATTGTTAACTTTTGTCAGTTTCCTTTAAAATTTATGTATGTTCTAGCGCAAGATCTATTGCAAGTAATGCATGCTTCTTGTGGCTGATCAAAGGTTGATACCTAACAAGTGTTTAGCTTTGAAGACAACCACCTGGCTTTGTCCAAGTATTACTTGTCACATAGAAATGCATGAACAGTATTAAAGAAAGAGTCCTTACCTTTTGTTGACATGTTATGATGTTTGGTTCTGTTTCAAACTCTGTGATCTTGAGGTTTGTTTTGACCGCCATAGCAGCTGTATTCCTGGCATGTATAGGTAAGGTCTGCTGATAATGATGATCGGTGAAGTCAATATCACGGTCTAAAGCTAGCCGCTTCAATCTTAGAGAGAGAGAATGGGTGGAGAAAAAAAACATGAATGAATTTATAGTGCACTGAACTCCTTTTTGCATCATGAATCTTATAAGAAATTAATAACAAACAAAACAATAGGAGTAAATTAATAGCTAGTCACTTTAGGATTCATGTTTACCAATCATATTTGACGAGGTATGGCCTACTGGACTATGGAATCATGCAAAAAATCATATTCTGTAGGCTTAATTGACCTAGACACGACAGGCCTGGTTAACAATGAACAAGAAATATAGAAATTTGGAAAAATAAAAAAACACAAATCATAATTTGCCATGCAAGCAATTTCTCTCAGACATTTTACATAATTATCGTTTGGCTCCTGATGGGTCACTGAACAGTATATCTAAGAAGAATTAGCTTCTTTGAATCACCCCCCCCTTCCCCTGTGTTGACTACTTCTGTTGTTTTCTAATGAATCTCATAATTTGAAACTAAGAACAAATTTTCAATCATAGTGTAGACAATTTCAAAAATCGAAGTGAATATTCTGTTCAACCATAATCAAAACTTTCTACTTGGTTTGTCAAGTTAACACTGGCTAGTAATAATAATATCTTACTTCCTGTTTGTGAGCTTTGTGTAGAGATATTGAACAAGTAATTCAGCAGCATCAGGTCTACAATGAATAGTCCCATCAATCAATTCATATGGAATTTCTAGACCTCGCTTCTTGAAGAAAGTACGAAGCAAGGACCAGTTGCCCAACTTGCCCTGGAGCCCACTACTGTTGCCGTAGGAATGCATCTGGATGTCTTCAGGAAAGTACCATGAAAATATCTCAGCAACAAGGTAGCCATTGGAAAAATCTCTGTGTAGTAAAGAGAGAAAAGGATTTAGTACAGAGAAATTAAAAATAATGTTATGGATGAACTTGTATGCTACTAATTTTCTTTCTACCCCTATCTACCGTTATTTTTTCTTCCATAATTTCTTTCTTCTTTATTTTTGGTGACCATCTCTTTCCTTTTTCTTTCCCTTTTTTTCTCTATTTTTCAGAATGTTATTTTTTTAATTTTTCTTTTCCATGTTGATATCTTTCTCCTTTTTTCTAATCTAGAATCTGACTATTCTGTTTGCTTGAAATTTACTTTAAAAAAGTGCTCTCTCACTTTATATTTCATTTTCAGATTCACATTAATTTCCACCCCCTCTATTTTCCTTGATTTCTCTTTCCTTCTTCCCTTTCATTATCTGTTTTCTTAATTTTTTTAAAGTCCTATCTAGACTTTATTTCCTTTTCCTACTAAGAAGCTTTATTTTTTTTCCTTTGTTTTTATGTTGGTTTTATAATTTTTTTTAATTCAAGTTCATCTATTCATCTGTCTGTTTTATCTATACTAAAGACCTCATAGTTATACATGTAGCCTACATGTAGATCTAGTTAGATTTTGTTTCTACCTTTTTAGGTTTTTTCTTTAGCATCATATTATGGTAAATTTCTGCTTTTCTGTCTTTTTCAATCATTCCTTTTTATGTTCCTTTTATTTTCTGCCCACTTTTCCTTACTCTCTTCCTTTCTCTCGATCTCTGCTAGAATCTGCTCTAGACTAACTTATTTTACTCTCTTCTTTTAAATGAATATAAATATGATGATCATGATGATGGGCAGCCCAACTAGTAACTTATCATTTATGTATACCTATTAAAGCTTCGACTTGAAATCATCAAGGCCAATTAAGGCCCTGTTTTTTTTTTAACAGTACAGTAGATGTATGTTAGCTCGATCCTTAATAAATAAATAATAATAAAAACGGAGCTATAAAGCGCTTTCCACCAAGGTCTCTAAGCGCTATATTAAGTAACAAACAACTGAACAAAATACAATCGATGTTACACGATTACTTCACATAGGCCTACTTAAATTATTATTGATATTAATTATCAAAGTTTTAAACAAAAAAATACAAAAGTGGACCTCATCATAATGATATCAATTATTGTAAAATATCTCTAGTATTTTAAGCATCGTGAATGGTCAAAACGCATCACATGACGTGCACCTACTAATTGTTGGTGCATGCACGATCGTGCCAAAAAAGCGCTGTCAAAAGTGGTATTGCACGCTAAAGATCGATATCCAGTTCAGTGTATGCGTAGAGCAAGTAAGCAAGGTCTTATCTGTTCATTTTATAGGTTCCTCTCCTAATACTAGACTCTAACATTGGATCTAGACTTTCGTTTGTTTTGATTTTCATGTGTTGCTGTAAATGCACCTGACCCTGTTGTGCGTAATGTAAATGCAATGTACGCTCGGTTTCTTCAGATGGTGCGCACTGTGAACTCGCTGCAAGTGGCTCGTGAACAGAGGCTGCACCGATCTAAAGAAACCTCGCGATCGCGTAGGGTCTGCACTGCATTCACCACTAACGAACGCTGGGCCGTGCGCATGCACGTTATGTTTATAATTTAATTTAATTACATTCCTTGTATTTTGTAAAGAGAAAATGTGCTTAAAATTCATACAAGCTAGCTTAGAGATTATCAGAATTAAAAAGGATTGACCTCACCTAATGTAAAATGCATGAATCATGGTTAATTAATATTGTGCACATGCACATGCACACCTAAATTATTTAGATAGACCTAGATCTATCTACAGATAACGACTCACCTTCTGACGTTTTTGATAGGAAAAGTGAGATCCAAACTTTGAATCCATTTAAAAACATCTCTCGGTAGCTTCGTTGCCATTTCTGTAGATTCAACAGTTAGTGCCCGATCCTAAATCTCGAGATTACCGGTACTAAAATGAGTAAAAATCCACTTGGACAGAGCTCGGCTCAGAATAAGTCAGAGCCTCTGAAGTTTATCACCGATCTCTAGTCTTGAGGCGCGGCCGAGCTTCCCGGCGGCAGCTATACGCGATCGAGCGAGCTAGCACGCGCACGGACTTCTCGTATACCTACTGTACACTCGGTTTGTTGACATGACTACGAGACGACCGGTGGGGGGTGGGGGAGGGGGGGGGGGGGGGGGGGGAGGGGAGCGATCGAGAGGGTTGAAATTTTTTTAAAAGCGCGCCAGCTACGTTGAAACGTAAGCGAATTAAGAGAATCTGAGTAAAGTAAAGAGCTAGAGACCGGTCTTGCTGTGGAAAAGGTAATTACAAAATTAGTTATATTTCTAACCTATAATGATGCATAATAATAAACTTGTGTGATATATTTTGTCTGATAGTAGGCCTATCCTGAAAACTTGTCAAGACATTATTATTCAATCGGCAACAACAAGTTTTTCATCAATTCGTAAAACGCAGACTCGCAGCATCATTCACTGCACTGCATACATGCCTAGACGCAATAGTGCAATGCAGCTGCAGTGATGTTTCAGTGTGCAGTGCATAGGCTAAAATGTCTATGAATTGTGAAACTAATGTGAACTGAGTCGAGGTGCAGTGCAGTGCCAGCTCATGGGGCTGGGGGTCACTCCCAACATGACTGACTACGTACCTGCGTCCTGAAAAAGCGTAGAAAGGATGTCTTTTTCAGCTCATATGGCGACGTTGATACTTGAGAGATTCTAACTTAGCTTAGGCAAATTCATAGAGTAAAGGAGCCCGTAATCGGCCAGCTCCAGTTTTCGGCCGATTGGTTGGATGCAAGGTAAAATCACTCTAAAATACATCGCATAATAGCATAACACATATCCCACACATACCATACCATGCCAGTGTCACTGAAGAACCACCTTTGCAATGGAAAATATATCCTAAAATATCACATTTTAGCGATGTAATCGCCGGTCCCGCTACCCAAATCTGAAAAATCGAGTATCTTACGCGTGTCTGTAAGAAATATGGGTACCATAAAATGAGCTTTATTTCAAGTATTTTTCAGATTTAAAGCCCGATTTTGTGCTAGTCGCAAGCTCAAAAGTATCTCATCGCATGTATTAAATCAATGCAGCCGCACACCGCGACGCACACACGATATCTCTGTCTAATTCAGATTCCAACTTCCGATCACCGCTGTGCCCGTCTTCGGCCAGGCGAGCACCAGGGAGCTCCGGCGTGGGATACCTGCTCCGCCCGCTTGTGCTGTACATCAGCGCGGAAACGCACGGCGCGCGCGAGCGCTTCCTATTGACTTTGTACATGCGGCCGTAAACTGAAACGCTCGGCCGATAACGGGCTCCAAAACAGTGAAAATTGAAATGAATATTGTCATGGCAATTCGTGATTTTTTTCTGGGATTCTTTTTTTGTTTAAATAATAATAATATTTGCTTCATGATTTGAACAAGAAATGATAATAAATAGGAAGTAAAGAGTCCTAAAAATAGGATTTTGTCTTAAGTGGCCGAAAACGGGCTCCTTTACTCTACAAAAAAATATACTCGCAAAATTGACTTGAAAACAAGTCTGATCTGAACCACGTCAGGGGCACTCCAGCAAAGCGTAGAGAGTCAATGCTAATGCATATTGACCTATAGCACTGCATGCTTGCTGTGAGGCAGGTATTATTACACCCATCGGCCATACACAAATATACACACCACACAAAATCGCATAGGTCTAATAATAATAATAAATAATAAAAACGTTACTTATAGAGCGCTTACCACTGAAGTCTCTAAGCGCTATACACACAAAATAGACTGATATACAATTACATCTTATACAAAACTAAAAATGCAAATAAACATACAAATTATATGGAATACACGTCCAAAGTGAACAGAGTTAATTAATCATCGGTAATCTGTTCCAAAGTTCAGCAGAAGCTTTGCGAAAGGAGCGATTACCATAAGAAAGAGTTGACACAGAAGTAGATACGAGGTTTAATTGTGAAGATGACCGTAAACCTCGATTAATTCTTGCAGATAAATTGGTGCCAGTTCATGAATGCATTTATAAGTTAAAACTAAGATTTTGTACATAATGCGGTACGTCACCGGCAACCAATGCAATTTGCGAAGTACTGGGGTGATGTGTTACAAGCCTGGCAGCAGAGTTTTGGATTCTCTGGAGTTTTGCAATGTGCGAGTCCGGACTGTACACAATCATGTCGATGCAGCTGTAAGCAAAGTTTAACACTAAACTTACAATTTGAATTTTTAAATCATTCTTTTTAACATCAGTAAGTTAAAAAAATATATTTTACTGCTATTTAGGTGTCATTAATTGTCACTAAAGTACCGATTTTGAGTGAAATCAGTTGAGTTTTGTACAGTGGTGTTTGAAATGTTGAGAATCAAAGGCACAGCTTTTACTACACAGCCAGGATAGTGATGCTCCTATGTGTGGTCAGGGGCAAATTTGAAGAAATTTCTTTTTGACTGCTGTACAACCAAAGAAATGGGAAGAAAACTGACCAGATATTTGTACTAAAAATCATACATGTAAAAATGTCATTAGACTAGAGACTTTCGGCATTCGACAGCTGTGACGCGCACAGGTGCGTAACCTGTGTTCTTGAAACCGAAATCGTACCTCGCACACACACTCTTCCCGGACCACGAATGGTCCGTGGTAGGAAGCTAGCTGGCTGGGAGTTTACCAAAACAACACTAGGTGTTAAAGGACAGCTTTTTGTCAGAGATACTTTGCACTTATTTATTGAATCTTTGTGACATGAATTTTGGTAATAAATGGTCAAATGAAATCAATTCAAATGTAGGTTGTAACTTGTGCAGAGGAATGAGAGGAAATCTGTTTAAAAAGAAAACACTGGAAGGGCTTGTGATTATAAGAGTAATTTTTACTAAGTTACTAAGTTCAAATATGAAATGATGTGACGTGTCTGTCATTAAAGATAAAGGTGAGTTCTGGTAATGCGATTGCATTGTGAAAGAAAAGGTGTGGAATGGATCAGAAACAGTTGATCATAGCATGTAAGTATTGGTGTGCACTGCAAGGTTCTGGAGTCATCAAAATCATAATAAATTTGGCCGAGTCTTGGTAAAGTAACAACAAGCACTGTACACAGAAATCTATATATGGGACAACACACATGGTGTCGGGGCTAGTACTACCTTGATTTCCTTGTCTTTCTATGCTCATTTCTCAGCCAGTATACATTTTCTTCCAAAATTTTTTGGCACATGCCATTTATTTGTAATCTTGAACATTCAGTGTAAGTTTCGTTTGATTCTGTTAGAATTGATTTTCTTTTTTTACCAGAACTGGAGTTTATCTTTAACATGCTTGTTTATATTGTATTTCTAAGGAATAAGGGAGGAACTATATCTTCATTGGTGAAAGCAGAGAGAAGACAATGCTATAACCTCAAGACAGAAGGATAGAGAAAGAACCAGAGAGTATTGAAGAGCATATTCAGAAGACCAGTCCTACAGTACAAGCACCATGCCAACTCAAACCAATGAACCTCATATTGTGGATGTCTGGAACACGAATTTGGAAGATGTATTCAGAAAGATTCGCGTCATCGTACAGAAATACAAATATGTGGCCATGGTAATAACTGTTTTCATTGTTGAGAGATAATCTTTGATAAGCATTTAAAGTTATGGTTTAATGCTTGTTGCAGTCTATGTAACTTTGATTTATATCATGATGTTCTTATTCTAAAAATACTTTGTTATACTGACAGATCACATATTGGGTATGGGGACCAGAATAAGAGTACTGAATTGTTACATCTACCCAGTAATTATGTATTGTAGTCAAATATGGACTTTAGCCTCTGATACTAAAAAGCGTTTGGAAAGTTGCGAAATATGGTTTTTAAGAAGAATGATGAAAATCCCTTGGACTGACAGAGTTAGAAATGAGAAAGTTCTTACAAGAGCTAGAGTGCAAAGGAAAATGATACGTGAAATGAATATTAGGCAGTTAAAGTTTGTAAAGAAGGCCTAGAGATTCTTGCTTTGACAGGGAAAATAAAGAGGAAAGAAGGAGGATACTTTGGATGGACGGTCTGCAGAAAATGTTAGAAGAGAAAGAACTGGGAGTGGTGCTAATAGAAAAGGGTAGGAGCCGAGGGTTGTGGAACAGCATGATCACCGAAGTCGATCGAAATGGCACTTAGAGAGAGAGAGAGAGAGAGAGAGAGAGAGAGAGAGAGAGAGAGAGACATGTACATGTACAAATTTTAGCACAATGAACAAGCAATCAGAATTGTTGATGTTAGTGTGTTCTTCTTGTTCATTTATATTAAATATTTATTATTGTTGGTATGTATGTAGCAATGATTGATCTTTCTTACCTTCCATCCTCCGTAGGATACAGAGTTTCCTGGAGTGGTTGCCAGGCCCCTGGGGGAGTTCCGTACCAACTCAGAGTACCAATACCAGTTACATCGCTGTAACGTAGACTTACTCAAGATCATCCAGCTTGGTATCACCTTCTGTGATGATCAGGGTAACTTTCCAAAGAGTGGCTCAACTTTCCAGTTCAACTTCAGGTTTAATCTCAGGTAAATCACCAATCTACAACAAGGCTTGTTCTGATAAGGATCAGTAAACCACCCCAAAAGAGCCGCCCAGGTTTTCTTTACATGTTTATGGAAGGCAAATGAGCACAACAAAGGACTTGAGCTCTGGTATAAGATACAGAAATGTGAAGCGTATGACACTTCTTCACTTTATTCATTTATATATCTTTCACTTGTCTTCCCTGCAGCATCATTTTATTGACAGGATTAAAAGAAGTAACGAGGGTTAAATATCCTCCTCTTGTTACTTACAGTGCTGGGAAGTAGCAGTGTATTTTATATAAGTGATATATTGTTTTAATCATTTCATGCCTTGTGTGATTATACTGTTGTACACTATAAAGTAACGTAGATGTAGATGTAAATGTAGATGTCTTGTGGACCAGTTCAGAGATAGCCCATGTACAAATAACCTCTAAATATCCACAGATATTTTTAAACAGTTAACTTCCACTCGGCACATTTTAAAATAATCCCTGCCAAAGTGGAGGTGCTTCATGAATACCTTTTTTTTCTCCTCTTGAAAAGAATATTTCCACCTGTGTATCATAGGATGTACTATCAATACATTAATGAATAATGATTTCATAACCTTCATGAGCACGTATTTAATATTCTTCTTGATGGGTTTTACAGTTGTTTTTATTTTTATTTTTTACAAATAACTTTATCTGCCCATGAACAGATAGCATCTCTGAAGTAGTTCATTAGAAGTGCTTGTCATTATTTTTCTTTACAGTGAAGACATGTATGCTAAAGATTCGATAGAGCTTCTCTCTGGATCAGGGATTCAGTTCAAGAAACATGAAGATGAAGGTATTGAGGTGGATCACTTTGCAGAGCTTCTGATGACGTCAGGGGTTGTGCTCAATGACAGTGTCAAGTGGGTCACCTTCCACAGGTAACTCATCCCTGGATGATCGGTTAATTGCCTAAAAATCTGCTCCGGCAAAATAAAACAAGTTTATGTGTACTCAAGTACCAGGGACCCGTTTCGCAAAGCTTTTTTCCAATGACAAATGACAAAAATCAGTGACAAGTGTGCTGCTAACCAATCAGAAGCAAAGATTTTGGTAGCTTATGACACAAACTGTCATTTGTCACTGATGACAAGTTTTGTGAAATGGGCCCCAGGATGGGGATAAAAATATAAACAAAGCATTTCAAAGACCCCCTATGTATACTCTGATATATACAGCATACAGATTTAAGGCACAAGCTCTACTAATGTCATTTTATTTTGCTGTGGCAATTTTTAAAGCAGTTTACTAAGTCATGGCTGTATGAAGAAGCACGATTTTTGATTTCCAACAATGGGTATACCTTTCATTACGAGAAGGTGGTGGGGTTGTGGGTCATTGGCAGTTTTTTTCCTTCTAAGTTTAGCCTCTCGAATCATTGTACTGTTATAAGTATTGTGAAGCTTACATTGGTTGAATGGGCTCACTGCCAACTGTTTGATGAGAAAAAGATATAGTTTCACTAATATATTACTTTCATTGACTTTACCAGTCATTCTTGCAGAGTCACATGAAATTTTGTGATCTTTCCATATGGTTGACACAATGTTGATAGCGGCTTGTGATAGATTCCAGAACTTTTTTCCTTCTCTCTTTCCATATAAATGAAGTGAAATGAAAGCTTGAAGCACTTTTCATACAGTGTATATTGTTACTCACTGATAAACATCTATGTGCAATCTGTTTCATTTATTCTGAGCAGTAGTTACGACTTTGCCTACCTGATCAAGCTGATGACAGCGACCAATCTGCCCTCTGAGGAATCTGAGTTCTTTGAGCTTCTTAGGATCTTCTTTCCACGTATCTATGATGTTAAATACCTGATGAAGAGCTGTAAAGACCTCAAGGGTGGTCTTCAAGAAGTAGCTGATATTCTGCAGGTAAGCTCAAAAACTTTTAACCCTTCTTCTTCTGAGACATTTGAAAGTACACTATTGCTTTTTTAGTCATTTGAGATAATTAACAAAGTAAACCTTAATACCAGAAGCTTTTATGATACGACACCTATGCAAATTGTTGTTGACAACCGTTTTTTGTGGCAAGAAATGTTTGCTGATTGTAAAATTTGAGTGTTTTGATTAATAAATTTTGTGGCATGGCATCCCTTGCAAAAGTGATCTAGTAATCTTGTACACAAAAGTTTGTGGTTTAGGAGAGTTGTTTTGAACCCAGAGTAGCAGTATATAAGAAAGAATCATTCATGTACATTCAAAAATGTGTACACATCTACCTCAGGTGTCATCAGAACTATTAATATCCAATTTTGCTACCAACATGTACATGTACTGACAGTCAACATGAGTAGTGATACGGATAACAATTTATATTGACCAATATCCTTGGAATTCTTGGTGGTCATATAAATGTGGCATCTCATTACAAAAGAAACATATTGAATATATGTCTGGCATAGACATTAGTACCTGCCTTCATGCTGGCTGGAAGGTAAATTTGTTTGAGAAAGAGCATACAACATTTTACAAAGGAATATTAACCAAGGTTCAAGACCTTATGGCATAGTATATATGGCTATGATATGAAGAAAATTCAAATCTTTTAACTAGTATTAATGATTTGTATGATCGATGAGATTTTTCTCTTGTTTTTGTAGATCCAGAGGATAGGACCTCAACATCAAGCCGGAAGTGATAGCCTCCTCACAGTACAAACATTCCTTAAAATGAGAGAGGTAAGCAGATCTGGTGAAAAATGGTTGATTTTCTTCAGTTTCCCAAAGTCAACGGGCAACAAAAATGAACTGAAGGGCAAATAAATATAAGGGTCAAAATTGAAGACTAAGCCATCTGATTTTGATACACTTACTGACAATGTATACCTTATATGTTTCATAATTTTTCATGATTCATCCATAAATATAATCTCAAAACAAAAGGTTTATGTCAATATGAGAAGTCTGCAGTTGGAAGTTTTCCTTTTGTTACACCATGACTTTAGTTGCAATGTGAAATATTTAAAAAAAAATGTTGGAAATTTGAAGTTCTCTTCTCTTCAAAATTTATTTTGGGGGATATTTAGTGAGTAGGAATTGCTGTGTCGTGCCCCTTCCATCTATGCAGTTCAAGGAAGCAGGAATTTGCAAATGTAGGATTTAAATGATCTCCCTTCTATAGCTGGACGGACATTGGCACAAGTCTTGCCAAAAGAAATGTGTGTAGTGCTGGGTCACGAACCCATGACCTATACATCTCCAGTCATGTGCTTAAACAACAAATCTGATAGCTCTACACCTCTCTCTTTGTATATCATTATTACAAATTGTATTAGTTATAGATGTTTGCTTAGATTTTAGTTGAAAATAAGCAATATTCAGCAAATGTTGTGATGCAAGCCCAATTCTTACAGTATTTTAGAGGTTCATTAAAATGTCATGGTCATGGTCATGTCTTGATAAGAACAATTATGCCCAGTCTAAAAGGGTTTAAATAGAGGACTTCCTGATTCAAATAAGACTACCACATTCATGTGATTTGTCATTGATAATGTTGAATTACAAATTAAAGTGCTTAGAATCATAGCATTTAGCGCTATACAAATGTGACGATTATTATTATTACTATTGTTGTTGAATAATTTCTTATTTTGTTGACCTGTTTTTCTCCAGTGCTATTTTGAAGACAACATTGATGATGACAAGTACTGTGGTCACCTGTATGGTCTCGGATCGGCTTACATGCAGAATGGTTCAGCATATACAGAAGAGAACAACGCAGCTCCTGCTACTACAGCAACGTAACCCTAGCCCCAAACACTCCTCCTCCTCCTCCTCCTCCTAATCCAACATGACCTTTGACCTTTTAACCAGGGTGCTTCATTGTTTCTTCCAACGTCTGAGCAACCTTTGTTTTCCAAACCAATAGTTTCATTGAAATATGAAGCTAAGGACACGGTTATATTGTAAGGACAATAATTTAGTGTTAAAGACTTGGAAAGATTTGTATGATGAGCTACAGGTTGGTGTTATTCAGCATCCAGGTCGATCTCCCTCTCACATTATCATGACCTTTGACCCTTCAACATATGTTTGAATGTACAATGCTCAGTGCTAATGGAGCTGAAAACATGGGTATTTTGTTTATCAACAAATGAAGAAAATGTTTACCTATGCTATAATCACTTTGTCTTTAATCAAGCATTACAGGTTACAGAGAACACACAAAATTTGACAGGAAAAAATGTCTGGCACTGTTAATTATTACCGTAATCTAATTTCTTTTTGATATTCCATGACAGGCATTAGTTCTTACAGTATCACTGATAGTAAATGATAAATATATGCAATAAAGTTCCTTGCCTCCTTTAGTGTTGCACTTTAAGATGATTCTATTTGTTTTTACGATTTGGAAATAGAAGAAGTTTTGATCCTCCTTCTACTTTCTTTTTCCATAAAATCATGGAAGGGATCATCAACTCTAGTGAAAAGAAGTTTTGTTTTATTCAGTTAAGTGGAACACGCCCATGTATGTTCAGAAAGAGACAACTTACCAAGAAAGGTGAACAAGTTCTTCAAGAGATTAATCATAAGTGCGTTCCATATTTGTCAGCATGATTATGAGATTAGAGGTTTCCCCCAGACACAACACTTTCGTAATTTGTGAACTACAGTTGGTATTCAGTTCTTATCCACAATCTATGAAGAAACAAACTGTTGGCATTTAAGTGTGTACAAGATGACTTAAATCTAATGGTGTAGCAATGAATGTTTTTCTACTGAATGTAATACAGCCAGAATGCTGCAATGGTATTAATGACCACATTCACCTATTGCCATTAGCATTTGTAAAACTTCATATATTTGATACAAGCACAATTTGTGACCACATGTACAACACTGCTAGGTCGGCAAAGGCAGAGTTTTGTCACCTTGCAATTTACGAACGCAATGTTGCAGGGGAAATAGGAAAAGTGTTTGCTACACTACATGTACCTTTGTGACTGCTTGTGTTTCTGTACATACATGCTATACTTTTATGTGTCATTCATTGTTCAAATCATGACATCATCATCTGTTTGTAGCCAGAAGGGTGTTAACTCTGTGTAAAATGATATGCACTAGTGCCCTTTTGGGTCCAAACAGATGATTTGGGGTACTGTGACATAGTATGTATCTCTGCTTATAGGCAAGCCAAGAGTCTTGAAATGGTTCCCTGTTGAAACAGGTTTTTCTTGCAATACTTTGAAGAAGACCAATCATCAAAATTATGCTCTATATGTTAAAGGTAAAGATCAGTTTTGGAAACGCCCGCCTCTCAAAAAATGAAATGGAAGCTCTTATTACCAATTATGTGAAAGAATATGTTTTGACCATTACGTAATGATACAAATTTTGGCGAGAAACGGCCTACTAATTGATATATTTGGTAAATTATTATATCTATTTGGACCTGATAGATATCCTGCACGTGTCGTGTAGCCCCATATACATCTTTCTGTGTGAGCGCTTTTAACTTTACCAGGATCTTATCATTTTGATGATTTCAGAACCTTGCAGTACACACCAATACTTATATGCTAGGTGATCAACCTTTTCTGATCGATTCCACCACGTTTCTTTCACAATGCAATCGCATGACCATAACTGGTCTTTATCTTTAAAATGTTAAACTAACTTTAAAACATTGGCTTCAAGATTACACATATGTCAAGAGATATGGTCTACATACCCAGATTGCACTCTGCATTAGGGGAAAGGGAATAATGACTACTTGTGAAAGTCAATGCACATGTATGAAAGTTAACTTCGAATTAACCTTCTGATATATAATATTTTTTACCTGCATGCCGATTGAGTGTCTCATATTTTCTAAATAAATACAAATTATTTTGAGGCGATTGGTCCCCTGTAAGTGCTACCGGTATCTGATTGTTACCCTGCACCAACCATGGTCATTATGTGTATACCTTTCTACGTATACTTTGCCTTATTGTATCACAGTGCTGTTGTTTCATTGTACAATTGTTGAAACAGACATGTAATGAACAAAGGCTTCAAAGGAGCTCTCCACACTCTCATTTATCCATGCGAACGATCTAATTATCTCAAGAAAAGGTGAATAATGATAAACAGATACGTGATTATCTTGCACATCAAAACTTGTTTTCAATACCCGTGAACAGAATAGTTTGTAGATTATTTGTCTTTTTATACAGGATTCACTATGTATTATGTTTGTTGGAAAAAGAGAGATTCTTTCTGAAAGACTTGAGGTGTGTCCCTTACTTTCATCACTACACTTGGTTCAACTTTTGAGTTATCTAAAAGTGCAATAATTTGTTCTTTAATATAAGGTTGTCCTTATTTTAGATTCTGGTCTGATGAAAATGATAAAGAGGAGAATATTGTGTAGCTTAAAAGCGAATTATGTACCTGTAGCACGAAACACTGTTAAATGTTCACAAGCATGATGAACAGGTCAAGTTGGTTAATTGTTGAGTATCATTCAAAATTGAATTCACGTAATTCTGACTGTTCAAAAACAGTGAAAAGTACTTTTATCCAAGAAATAACTAATTAAGGAGGAAAGAGTAATTTTTAAAATAATTTTGCTGAACTGAAACCAAAGTTTACTTAGCCAGATCCATTTTTGTATTCTCTATTTTGTTGAACCCAATCATTTGGTGATGATTTTAATTGCTCATGTATTATTAATTGTCCCAGCATCTATGTGTTGTATTAGGAGTCTGTCGACGCCTTTGTAAATAAATGTACATTAAGTTCTTGGTAAGCACAAATTATTTTGCTTGAATGTGAATTGGGAATTTTCATTTGTGATGTCAGTTGAAAAAAAAAAAGTGGCACTGGAGAGAGAAGAGAGAGATAGATAGAGAGAGAGAAGTAAGATAGAGATAAAGAGAAAGAGAGAATAAGGGAGAAAGAGAGGGAGGGGAGTGAGAAGAGAGAGCGATTGAGAAGAGAAAGAGAAAGATAGAGAGAGAGAGTGAGTGAGAAGAGAAAGAGTGAGTGAAAAGAGAAAGTGATAGAGAGGGAAAGTGAGTTAGAGAAAGAGAGAGAGTGAAAAGTGAAAGAGAGATAGGGGAGGAAGAGTAAGAGAAAGAAAGTGAGAAGAGAAAGAGAGAGTAAGAAGAGAAAAAAGTGAGTGAGAAGTGAGAGAGATGGAGAGAGAGAGTGAGTATGAAGAGAAAGGAGAGTGAGAGAGAGAGAGAGAGTGAGTGATAAGAGAAAGAGAGAATGAGAAGAGAAAGATAGATATAGATAGAGGAAGAGAAAGAGAGATAGAGGAGAGAGAGAGAGGGAGTGAGAAGAGAGGGAGTGAGAAGAGAAAGAATGAAAGCCTGTGAAGGTACTTGTAGGAAACAAAATTAATAAGAAATGTAATGGGAAAATGTACACGACGTTGACAAATAATGTGGTAAAATCAAAGAAAGTAGTCAATAGGTGAAACATGAAATAAACCTAAATGGATAGTCTGACCTGAACATATGAACTTATTATTTTCAATTAAAAGCACAAATTATGATAAAGATGAGCAGGTACTAAAGGGGTTTCTATTCAATATCTATTGAGAAATATAACAAAAATATCACTGAGGTTGTGTCAAAGTACCGGTAAAGATCTGTGTCATGGAGAGGGATGTTAAAAACATACATTCTTGCCCATAAAGTTGAAATAAATTGTTGATAACCTCTTTTCATGAAATTGTTGTGACATTATGGTTTATTCTAGAGACACAAATTTCTGAAAAGACATAAATTTCTGAAAAGATATAACCTCTACCTATCAAGAATAAACCATACTGTCACAATCACTTCATGAGAAGAGATAAGAAAACTATTTTCAACGTTATGGGCAATTTGTAAATGTCCACTAAAGTATTAAAGATACTATATCCCTTTTGCAGCCAACATCAAATTCTGTAGAACTTTGCAGGAATTATGAATATGTTATGTATGTCCTATCTGTGAAATTTAAACATGAGCAGTGTCCTAGTATTCAAATTATGCAAGGAAACCTGTTTACTTGCTAGACTTCACTGTCAGACACTATTGAGTGACTGACAGGCTTTTCTTTGGTTTGGGTAATAACATACATAGAATGATCTATAAAGGGTACATGAGCATTTGTCTACATCAATAACCCACTTCTTGTAATGGCCAAAATTAAACTGATTGAATCTTTGCGCAGCATAAAACGTACGACCATTGGGTACAATGGTCTGAAAATCAGACTATTACTTACTGGCTCTATAGCTCTTAAGTCGATTCGACAACTAATAGTCGTTGTTTTCCCACTTAATGACATTTTCAAGCCCAGTTTTTTTTAGGGAAGTTCTAAATTAGTATTATCTTTCAAACGCCGTTGGAATTTATCCTTTTCCTTTTGTTGGCCTGCAAATGGGACATAGTACCTTTAAAGGAACAATTGGGGGAAAATCACATTCTTTTGAAGAGGGTGTATGCATAAACATCATGCAGTTAAATGTAATCACACATCAATACGCCAGCTCACAAGTGATTTACTTTCCCCGAATAGCGCTTCTGAGTTATACAATGTATTGAAATCATCAAAATAGAGGTTTCATATATGTTTAGAGTTGTTACTATGGTTACAAGCCTTAGATAAGCTTTATGCTCATCAAGACTAACCACTTCTTAACAGGAATGTGCTTAATCTAAATACATTGAGGAAACTCAGAAAACATAAACTCTCTTTATTTAAAAATATTCAGTATTATTTATTTCTCCATATACAAAAATTGTAGGTAGTATTCAAAAGCAAAAGCAAACAAGAATCAATACATAGTACTGTTTATTTCACCACAGAAATGTTACAATGTAAAATGACACAAACCAAATGGCACAGGCGACAGCCCTTGGTGTTTGAGTAAAAGTGAATTTGAACCTGATGGAAACTGCTTCACAATTCTTGGAAGTAAACAAATTTGAATGGGGGTTAAAAGTGAAATCAAACTGCTTAAAATGGTAAAGAAAGCAAAATGATCCTATGATATTAATCATTATAAACAAGTCACAATCATACATGCAGGACTTCAACATTATTGTACAGGACTAATAGGAAATATTTGTCATTTATTGATTTAAAAAAGAAGTCATATGAAATTACTGAAAGAATGTATGTAGATAACATTTAGATAAAATCAAAGCATGTATCACCCTGAATTCACCTACATGTACTGGTCCAGATTAGCGGTTCAGACTTTCTAGATAGAGGATAGACGGTTTTGATGGTTTGTTTTCAAAGCGAGTATGCTTGTGAGCAATCAGGGAACTGACAGCTGTCATCTTCTCTGAGGGACTTGACAATGAGGATCAATAGGCCCGTCTTCACTATCTCGAGATTGCCAAATATCCAGCTATTTGAACTATCCCGATCGCAAACTATCCAGCTATTTGCGTCTTCATTAGAACGAAGTAGCAAATTAGCTGGATAGTTGGTCGGGATAATATCCCAAGATATCTCGGTCTAGTTTGCAAAATATCCCACTATTTCCGAACTAGCGGGATAGTTTGCGACCGTCTTCATTAGACCGAAGTCCGGAGTCAAATATCCCGATCCCATCATGCACAACGATTTCCGGTTTGCACATGCGATCTATATACCGCTCAGCGCGCTAGTACAACCACTGACCTCGAGTAAGCACGGAAAACCACAAACTAGACTGAGATATCTTGGGATATTATCCCGACCAACTATCCAGCTAATTTGCTACTTCGTTCTAATGAAGACGCAAATTAGCTGGATAGCTTGCGATCGGGATAGTTCAAATAGCTGGATATTTGGCAATCTCGAGATAGTGCAGACACGCCTAATGCCTTATCAAAGGCAATAGCGCTCTGACATGGTTTCAAACCTGCGACCTTACGTTAGTTACTCCCACAACGCTCTACCTATGATTGTGCCTCATGACTGGCAAGATGTATATAACATCAGTTTTTCCCAAACAGTTCCAGCATCTTACAACAGAAATGATGAAGCGGGAATCCCATCACATTAAAATAATCCCCCACAATGCCTTTCACCAGTGTTCCTCCGATTGCTTGGATACCATATCCTCCTGCTTTGTCCCTGTGAGTGATTATAATAACAAGATAAAAATCATTTTGATTTTGAGCAAAATATTAATCTCATGAACATACTAAGGAGAAACAATTCTTATACAGTATGCTACATGATGTCATTTTGAACAAGGGATAATTTAAAGACAAATTTAAAAAAAGAAGAAGATATATATCTCATATGGAGCTCACAATGTGGCAATTTCCTTAGCCAATAATTTACACTGAAAAAACAGAACAATCAAACCACATATGAAGTGATAAGAGGACTATAACTACTGTCTGTCACAAATCTAAATTCAATTTATGATGATTAGTAATACAAGTTAAGATATTACAGAATGATATACAATATTTATTAAATCATATGTGCTGCGGTAAACCTATATTAGTAGTTGCAATTCATATAGCGCCTTTTCCACTTTGAGATGCCATCCAAGAGTTAGTGCTGTAGTTAAAATATTTACAATTACCAAGCAGTGACAGTGAGAGTTCAATGAATGAGTGAATGAAACCTATAACCCATATGGGTCCATCATGCATTACATGTACCATTAAAAAAACATACTATTTATTGGTAACAACAAATAAAATATCATGAAAGCCTGTAGATCAAGAATACACCTCATATATTCACAGTGATTATACAAGCCCTATTCATTGACATATTATTTATTAAAACAAAATATGAGGATATGTTTCTCTTGAAGTGGTAAATATATCTTTGACTATGGTTTGTTTTGTTTATATGACACATAAACTTACATTGGTTCACCTGTTGCCACATAGCCTTTTACAATCTCAGGTGTCAGCTCAGCAAACATCACTTCAGTAGTCTCAAAGAATTGGATTGTTTTTAATTGCCCATTACCTGTCAGAGCAAAACAAACTAGTTAGATACAACTTTAGAAAAATTTGAAATTGACACTTTTGAATATATCACTGATATGAGAAAGTAGCTGAGCTAATTTTGGAATGAAATAAATATGTAATTCTTGAAATATTTAATTTCTACTTTTCTATACAATGTCGAATACTTTTTGGAATGTGTTGGCTGATGTGCATTGAGACCTAATTAATTCCCAACAACCTAATAACTCTGATAGGATAACAACAACACAGACATTTTTATACCAAACAAGAATGGGAGTTTAAAAAGAAATCTACATTATTGTAAATTATAGTTATATTATATTTATTTTAAAAAACATAACAATTTTACATTTTAGTTTCAAAATTCTGAAAATAAGATATTCTCAGAGCAGTACAACTTTTCTCATTAAATTTAAAGGCCACACATGATTGTGCCGGCCACTTCTTGCAAAAAAGGAGAAAAAGGAGGAGAAAAAGAAAAAAAGAAGAGAAAGAGAAAGAGAAAGAGAGAGAGAGAGAGAGAGAAAAAAAATAGAGAAAGACAAAGACAAAGAAAAATAGAGAAAGGGAAAGAGAAAGAGAAAGAGAAAGAGAAAGAGAATGAGAAAGAGAAAGAAAAATAAAGAAAGAGAAAAAGAAAAAAAAAAGAGAAAAAGAAAGAGAAAGAGAAAGAGAAAAATAGAAAGAGAAAAAGAACAAGGCACATGCAGAGGAGGAAGAGGAGGAGGAGGAGAAGAAGAAGAAGAAGAAGAAGTAGAAGAGAAAGACAAAGAAGAAGAATGTTGTGGTGTTTGACTTTCTATATAGACCTACAACATAAAACCTTTACATGTACGTTCGATCTTTAGGAATACCTACATGGTGTTATAAGTATAATGCCCGTATGAACTTTGTGTGTGGATCCACTCAGCTCTGTCAGCATCTCAATAGCACCCTTCTCACTTGGGGGCTTCTCCAGGATCTTGTTTCCAAGAGCCTAAAATTTAAAATAAAAAACATAAAATATATTTTCTCAAGTTACAATTAAAAAGGTGTTCTAAATCTCAAAAACATCCAAAATAAGTTATTCCTGATATCACAAAATCAGAATTAATTGTGTAAATATATGTTTCAACTTTTAATCCTAAACATTCTTTATTTGAAAGCTTATTAGGGCTACACATTTATGCAATATAATTTAGGATGATTCCCTCATGGGTGAAAAGAAAGGTGGGTCTAAACTAAACATAAACATGTAGTTTAATTACGATATATATGACAGCCATTTAATTAGCATTTATTGAATTCACTTACCACTACTGTGTCAGCACCAATGATCAGATCTGGCATTGAAGGCTGAAAATAGTTAAATAAGAAAATTAAGTGAAATTTACTCAACATCAATTTTAAGAGTTTAAAAGGGTATACACACTACATGCATGTATATCCCATCATTTTATATCATTGCTCTTAACATTTTGCCCATGTACACGGTTCAAATTATGTATACCATGCACTGGCGTACCTATGGGGGGGGGGGCAGGGGGGGGCAGAGTGCCCCCCTGACGGGCTCCAGGGGAAAAAAAGAAAAAGGGGAAAGAAAAGAAAAGAAAGGAAAGGAAAGAAAAAGAAAAAAGGAAAAGGGAAGAAAAAAAGGAAAGAAAGAGAAAAAAGGAAAGAAAGAGAAAAAAGGAAAAAAAGGAAAAGGAAAGAAAAAAGGAAGAAAAAGGGAAAAGAAAAAAAAAAGGAAAAAAATGGGGAAATTAAAAAAAAAAAGACCATGGCCGTACGCACCAGGGAGGGGGGGGGGGGGGCAGTTGACCCCAGATATTTTGAAAACGTACAGTTTTTTTCCTGAAAATGTAGTGTAGGCCTATACCAAATCCTTCAATTCTACTTTTGAAAATGCAAAAGTACCCTCATGACTAGTTCGGTCGCTCGAACTCCCTTCACTCCTTTTGCTTTTGAGATTCTTCGAAAACTTTTAACGCATCTTTCCCCCTCCCCCACCAGAAAAATATTCCGCATACGGCCCTGAAAAATTAAGACAAATGAAAATAGGAAAATATAAGTGATATAACAAATTTGAAACTCTTCGCTGGCGCGAACTGCTGTTTTCACTTGCTCGTCCCCCTGAAAAAAGAAAAGGATTAGCATTGCCTAGAATACAATTGTGCCTGCCCCGACGGGCCCCGACCTGCAACCATGGCAACAATAACACACAATGTATGTACCAAATGTTACTAAAAGAGACCAATTCATTTTTCTTGCTCGCTACACTCGCTCGCGAATAAAATGAATAGACATTGCTTTGAAAACAATTGTTCCCACCCTTGACCTGCAACAATATAATCAAAAATGGAAGAGTTTTTTTCGCCCTCTCGCCAAAAAGGAATTGAATCGCGTCGAACGCGATTGCGTCCATCCTGACCTGCACCAATAAAAACAAGTTTATTTATTAATACCGCTATGCTCGCTCGCCAAAATGGAATTGACACCGCTAACGTGCCCGCCCCAACCTGCAACAACCAGTTAATAATTATGTACCAAACGTTATTCAAAGAAGTTTTGGTGTGCTCGTGCTCGCCAAAACGGAATTAACACCACTAACGTGCCCGCCCCAACCTGCAACAACCAGTTAATAATTATGTACCAAACGTTATTCAAAGAAGTTTTGGTGTGCTCGTGCTCGCCAAAACGGAATTAACATCACCTTAGACATGATTGTGTAAGCCCTGCCCTGCAACAAAAAAATCTGAAATTTATGAACCAACTATCATTACAAAAATTTTGCTCGCTCGCTACGCTCGCTCGCCAAAATAGAAATAACACCGCTTTTAATAATCACGTCCCTGACATGGAACAATGAACCCAAGTTTATGTACCATATTTTCCCTATAAAAGAGAAGTGATTTTTTTTTCCTCGCTCGCTACACTCGCTTGCCAAAATAGAAATAACACCGCTTTTAATAATCATGTCCCTGACATGGAACAATAAACCCAAGTTTATGTACCATATTTTCCCTATAAAAGAGAAGTGATTTTTTTTGCTCGCTCGCTACGCTCGCTCGCCAAAATAGAAATAACACCGCTTTTAATAATCACGTCCCTGACATGGAACAATGAACCCAAGTTTATGTACCATATTTTCCCTATAAAAGAGAAGTGATTTTTTTTTCCTCGCTCGCTCGCCAAAATAGAAATAACACCGCTTTTAATAATCATGTCCCTGACATGGAACAATGAACCCAAGTTTTATTTACCATATTTTCCCTATAAAAGAGAAGTTATTTTTTTTTCGCTCGCTCGCTACGCTCGCTAGCTCGTGGAATTATGTGCCCACCACTAACCTGCTACAATATCATTAAAAAGAGAAATGTAGGGGGTTGCCTGCCCGCCAAAATGGGATTGACATTGGCTTTAACACGATTGTGCCCGCCCCGACCTGCAACAATGAAACAAATTTTATATAGCAATTCATTGAGAGAAAGATGTATTTTCGCTCGCTAGCTAAAATGGGTATAAAATTAGCCTAAACACAATATTGTTCCCACGCCCTGCATGGGACAATTGAACCAAGTTTATTTAAGTGACAATTATTAAAAAAGAAGTGATTTTTTTCTTGCTCGCTATGCTCGTTTGCAAAAAAATGAAATTAACGTCGCTAACAAGTGAATGTTCCCACCCCCAACTTGCAACAATACCAGTTTATATACCAAACGTTACTTAAAGATTTTTTTTGCTCGCTCGCTCGCTCGCCAGAAGTGAAAATTAGTATCGCCTTTTTTGTTTGTTTCGGTCGCTTGCCCCCCCTGACGGAGTACCCCAGGTACGCCACTGATACCATGCACTCTTTCAAATATTCATCAAAATAGGATAATATTAGATTGCTTGCCTGTCTTTCATTTCCCTACCATAGTGAATGGTGAATGGTGGTGGTTCTATTTTACATGACTGCTAAGAAAGCATAAATGCTTGTAAGTAACCAGATAAGCAACCAGATGGCTGACGGCAATGTACCTGGCCTAGCTACATAATAATATCTTACCCCTTTTAACCTGTCCGCTACCTCCAAGGCTTTCCCTCTCGCTGTCTCCTGAACATAGTCTTCTGGTGTGAATGAACCCTTAATTGTCAACATTCTCTTTCATTTCCTTACCATACAGTGAATGAATGCAATAGACCTATGTATCTTACCCCTTTTAACCTCTCTGCTACCTCCAATGCTTTCCCTCTCGCTGTCTCCTGAACATAGTCTTCTGGTGTGAATGAACCCTTGTCAAGATTCTCTTCAAAAGTAGATGAAATAACTTCAAACTTCAAACCCTGTACAAGAAAAAACAAAGAACGGATGCAGTGATATGTGATTCATTCAGTTTTAAAAAAAAATCGCTAACTAAAAGCCCCAAATCATAAATTTGTAGTAGGCCTATTTCATTTTTTCTTCGATCATATTAAGTCTTTTTAGCTAGAGGCTAGAGCCTGGATGAGGTCTGTCAACTCTAGCTGCCCAAACTAGAATACAGTTTCTAAACCTTAGCGAGCCATAGACCGAATTTTCCGTCTCTTTCGTTCGTTAGCCTCTTATTGGGGTAGGGTCGGCTCTCTCTTTAGAGACGGAAGCCGTTTATACACATGTCCTTGCTAACGCCACGGCCAGTCCTGGTCGTAGCGTTTTGCCCCCAAAATCCCCCAAAATGTCATTTTACCTCGAGCATGTTATATTGTAAATTAGGCCTAGGCTATAATAAATCAGTTCCACTTACCAACTTGACTGAAATAATCAGTTTAATAGTCCCTTTTTAGGAAATTATGGGTCAAAATCGGAATCCATGTTGAAAAAGATGGATTTCGATTTTGACCCATAATTTCCTAAAAAGGGACTATTAAACTGATTATTTCAGTCAAGTTGGTAAGTGGAACTGATTTATTATAGCCTAGGTCTAATTTACAATATAACATGCTCGAGGTAAAATGACATTTTGGGGGATTTTGGGGGCAAAACGCTACGACCAGGACTGGCCGTGGCGTTAGCAAGGACATGTGTATAAACGGCTTCCGTCTCTAAAGAGAGAGCCGACCCTACCCCAATAAGAGGCTAACGAACGAAAGAGACGGAAAATTCGGTCTAAGCGAGCCAGTGATCAATAAATTAAAGACCATTTTTGCATAGTATATTATTAGACATATATTTTGTACATATATACACAGGAGCAAAATATAGGGATACAAAATTTGGTCAATTTTATTTTGGTCGATCATTAGCTGACCATTAGACAGACGTACGTACAATTCGCAAACAGGATCGATGTGACGGAGGAAATTCAGCAGGGATTTCTTCAGTTACATGTACATGCTAGTTTTTTTGTTGTCATTTTCAATCACCTGGGAAACACAAAACTGATTTATTATTGTCATTTTCGAGGTCGATAACATATGGAGCGTGATTGAAAAGTTGGCGTTTCAACTAGTTTCAACTAGTTTCAACATACCGGTAATAATCTTTTTATTCACTTTTTAAAAATATTTATCTCCCAATTTTTGTGTACTAGTTAGCCTATAAAATATGTAGGGTGTGCACAATTTTTTAATTTTTAATTTATGCCGAAGCCTGTAGGTTTCGCGCTTGCATCGAGTGCGAACTGGGAATACTCACGATACGAGAGAGAATATCTTTTCGTCTTGGCGATCCTGATGCCAAAACAATTCTCTTCCCTCCTAAGTTGGATAATATTGGCTGCAACATCTCAATTCTGTACTAGCTAGCTCTCAATCCAGTCTTCACTTCAGATGTATGTATTCAGTGCAGCTGCAGTGTACTAGAGTCTAGATCTTAGTATATCAATCAAAACACTGCATCACCCACGAGTATGCATGAGCCATTTTCTTCTATGTTTTGTGCATTGAGAACACCGTAATCACAATTTGTATTTTGGTTTGTTTACCGTTGGAATGCTCGTTTATTTTCTCCAAGTACAAGGTTATTTAATGGTAAATGCACTTAATTGACTTTTCGAAATAAACTTTGTGTTCTTAAGTTGTTTTTAATTGGATGATATGTAATGTAGAGTGATGTGAATTCTCATAATTGTATGATATTCTTGAGCTGTGCGCTTTAAAACATTATTGTAGTCCCACGTGCTAATGTACAGGTTATGTGTTAGTTAATTCTAGATTGTGCTCTTTTACAAAAACTTCCAAAGAAAGAAAGTGATCCACACACCTGTTTAAACTAGTGGTCGAAATGTATATCTAGGTAGGAGCTCACAATGCATTAGAAAATGGTATAATCTAATTGTGTGTATTATATGAAATAAACAGTAGATTTCCAGGCAGTTTCATGAGATTGTTGATTTAGAGTAGATCTAGGTCTAAAGGAGCCGGTAATCGGCCAGCTCCAGTTTTCGGCCGATTGGTTGGATGCAAGGTAAAATCACTCTAAAATACATCGCATAATAGCATAACACATATCCCACACATACCATACCATGCCAGTGTCACTGAAAAACCACATTTGCAATGGAAAATATATCCTAAAATATCACATTTTAGCGATGTAATCGCCGGTCCCGCTACCCAAATCTGAAAAATCGAGTATCTTACGCGTGTCTGTAAGAAATATGGGTACCATAAAATGAGCTTTATTTCAAGTATTTTTCAGATTTAGAGCCCGATTTTGTGCTAGTCGCAAGCTCAAAAGTATCTCATCGCATGTATTAAATCAATGCAGCCGCACACCGCGACGCACACACGATATCTCTGTCTAATTCAGATTCCAACTTCCGATCACCGCTGTGCCTGTCTTCGGCCAGGCGAGCACCAGGGAGCTCCGGCGTGGGATACCTGCTCCGCCCGCTCGTGCTGTACATCAGCGCGAAAACGCACGGCGCGCGCGAGCGCTTCCTATTGACTTTGTACATGCGGCCGTAAACTGAAACGCTCGGCTGATAACTGGCTCCAAAACAGTGAAAATTGAAATGAATATTGTCATGGCAATTCGTGATTTTTTTCTGGGATTCTTTTTTTGTTTAAATAATAATAATATTTGCTTCATGATTTGAACAAGAAATGATAATAAATAGGAAGTAAAGAGTCCTAAAAATAGGATTTTGTCTTAAGTGGCCGAAAAACGGGCTCCTTTACTCTATGCAGGGCTGTCAACTTTGGGGAACTGCTTCAATCATATGCATTTTTTTTGTTGCTCAACAGGGAAAGGGGGGGGGGGGGTGTTGAGTAAGAAAAAAACAAATCCAAGTGCTCACTACTCCCCCCCCCCCCAAGTACGCTGGTTCATTTTACATGTCTGGTTGGAGGTTTTTTCATAAACCAGGAGATTGCAGGAGATTGTGGGAGAGCGGGAGAATGAGTGTGGTGGCGAGAGACTCCCTCCAATTGGGGGAGGGTTGACAGCCCTGGTTATGACTTGTGTTAATTTTAATGAATTTTGTTTAGTCAGGAAGTGCTTTTAAAATACTTTAAAATGAGGGGTCAACGTCAAGTGATGCAACAAACAATGAACGAAAAAATGAGCACAATGGGAGAAAATAGTGTGACTGTGACCATTCAACTTCAAGTGAATAGCTGCCATATGATAATACAATTGCAGTTTCAATTTAAATTGTTAGATTTTTTCCACAAAAATTGTTTGCAAATGAATCAAAAATTAAGTATTTAGGATAACTTATGAGTTGTGTTTTATGTATGGAAATAAATTGCTGCCATGGGTGGATGGCCTAAGAAATAACCCCTAATGAACCATCTGCACATCGTAACACATCGGACTGCAGTACAGGAAGGCTAATTTCAAATGTTTGCAATCCGATAAAAGCACACAGGATCATACTTGTCACCTTTAATTTGATTTTTTCTGGTTTCTTGACAAATTAGGTATTGGATTCTTAAAAAAATTTAAACTTCATCATCAGACTTAATTTTCCATGTACAGCATTGCTGATCATTCTTATGTTTTATATTGTTTAGCTTTTGAAGTGGGTCACAGCTTTTGGTCTCAACATGCACTTGTGAAGCATGCCCTCAATATTGTAGGCTATAGAACTGCCTATAGACTATACTAACCCAAATTAATCATATTCATAAATTTACTCTAAAAAAATCACTATCATACATTTTAGAGGTAATTAGGATTAACCTCTGATATTTCCAGTTATAATCCAAGGTTTTGATCATTTTTTGTTTTCCACAGCGGTAGTGTCGGCACTTCCAGTAATAAACTGAGTCAATAAAAATAAGCCACTAAAACTAAAAGCTCTGTCCTAATTGCGCAACTATGATGTGCAAAAACCTGGAAAATCTCACACCAGTAACGCATAGTGCAATGCTAACGCGTATTATAAATATAAGAAAATAAAGAAAACTCAGTATTGCTGAGAGAACAAAATGGAAATAAAATGAATTCAAGCACTGTAGGTCACTAATGGCAGGCTGCTTAGGCAGGCGACATTTATAGCCATTGAATTGGTTTCTCTATTTTTGAATTGATGTCTCTATTTTGTTTTGCAGGGAGCAAGATGTCTGAGTCTGTAACATTGACTGATGCTGAAATCAGGTAGGAAAATCATTACGAAAAACAACAGTCAAATTTAGAACAGAAAAAACTCTATATTTTGCTTAATAAAGGAATAAATATTATTTGAGTAATTGAGACATAAGCCACTATAGGTTATACTCTTGTAAAAAAAAAATTAAAAATACTGTTTGGTACACCTAGACATATTTTGTAATGCTCCTTGAACATTCCTTGGGAATGGATATGAGCCTTTAAGAAATGTTGCTATTATTAATATTATTGGTATCTATGGTATATAATAATTGTTAAACGTTAGTCATATTTGATTGCAGCTGTGAATTTTTACTTGCATGATATTCAATGTACCTACAAGCATGCAGTAATTTGCATTTAAGTTCACATCTTTCGGCATTTCATCCTGTGTACTATCATAGAAGTAGAAACTCTCCTTCAATCATCCCTACATGGAATATCACACATCTTTGGATTATTTTAGCCAACATAATTTTTTTTCTTGACAAAACTTAAGTCCAGTTTTCCTGCTTTAATGAATTATGATATGTAGTTGGAATTTAAGCAAAACGATTTTTTATATTTTTGATTTATTTTGATAATTTGTTTATATCTCCATTATGAAACTCTGAAATTAACTGTTAGTTTTTGACAAGCAAGTTTAACAAGGATTATGTGTATCAAATCAAAAGTAAATTTGTGGAAGGTCCTTTTAAATGTTTAGATCATCTTTTGCTTATGTTATTCAGTGCTCTTGAGAGTAGTTCATCACCAGCACATAGTCCACAACATTTTGAAGAGACAGACACCATTGTATTCAGTAATTGCAAAACAGGATTAGGTAAGATCTTATATTGAAATTTTTAATTGGTGAAAAGAGTAGGATGTATCTTTTTATGTTCATATATTTAATCTATTTTTATAGGAATATTCGTGAAAGGGCATTATTATATTGAGTGTTTCGTAAAAAAAGGGATTTACTGTGTATTTTCATTTATCAGTGAATATGAATGCATTCTATACAAATAATTCATATTGTGTATTGAAAATGATCATTGTACTTTTCATGCTTGTGAGATGAAATAGTTATTATGAATTCAGTGGTATGTAAGACCCTGATGGATTAGACAATGCCATGATATTGCTAGGTAAAAAATGTAGAAATAGAATCATTAGAATGTTTTATGATAACATGGACCTCTGAAGATATTTTTGCATTAATGTAAGAGTGCTTGTAGGATTTTCACTGTGTAATCTGAGTCTGGATCTGCTTGAAACTTGATTCAAAATAAGAATAGATGTCAGAAGTTTGCAAGGATATGAATTATCAATGAGAAGTTGGGGGATACATACAAAATCCTTTAAATGGTTTGAGTACATGTATATTTTGGTAAATAGAGGTCAATGTGAGGATCATAAATTATCATTTTGACATATTTATTTCTATCTGTCAGGGATCAAGATTGTTGGAGGTAACGGTGAGGATGTTGCTGATAATGACTTTGGGATATTTGTTAAGAGAGTGATTCCAGGAGGGCTAGCATCAGAAAGCGGTAAGTCATCTCAGAAGAAAAAAAAATTGAAAGAGCGTAAGCTAATCTGACTTTGCTTGGTTTCAGCACAGTCAATATCTCACACTAAATGGATGTAGAAATTTAATCCTCTCAAACATTACCTAACCATTTGTAAGCTTTTGCATTGTAGCTGTGAGCTTTGTGTGCTGGTTCATATTGTAAAGATGCGCCTTTGAAAAGAGATCACCGAAAGTCTTGCATAGCCATATAGAATATTAGATGATAAATTTTGTTTCTGTCTTCTCTTCGCTAAGTAACAACATTCAAGGTTTAAGGCTGATGCGGTACTATACTTGTGCTACCAAAGCCTTGGCATTTAATTTTCAGCTAGAGGATTTATTGTACATGTAGATGAAAGCATATTTTTCTTATGACACTGTACAGTGTAACTCATTTTCATGATGTTTAGCTGACAGATTTCAAGAAAATACATCTAATAAAACTCTTTTAAAGGCAAGATTACTTTATCTTCTGTATTATATCTTGATTTTGTATTTGGCAGGACATCTTCATGAAGGAGATCAGATCAAGAGTGTCAACAATGAGAGTCTGAACATGGTTTCAAATGAAAGGTGAGCATCTCACAATGATCTAATCTCTAGTCATTCTATGATTTGGAATAATTGGAATATTACAGTATGGTGTAGATGTCAAATTAGTCATGTAGAATACTATAGGTAGCTAATATTGGATGTGTTTACCTTGTTGAGATAATAATAGGAATCAATATTAAAAATTCCTTGTCAATAGATATCAAAAGTTCTTAAAAGAGTGCAATATGATTCTAATCGGGCATTTACCTTTTCAAGTCATTTGCTGGGCATACATCAAAACTCTTGTTATTTCTTTCTTTCATTCTTTCTTTTTTTAAAAACTTTTTTCCCTTCTTTCTTACTGCTGATTGTGTGTTATATTGATTTCATTAAAGCTATCTAGAAATGTGGTTTATCCAATGAAAGACATATTTTAGGATTGAATTATTTTGAAGAAGATACAGATAACTTTCTCTTTGTTGTGTTTTTGCAGGGCTGTACAGTTGCTACGTAGTGCTTCAGCTTCAAACCGTGTAACACTTGTTGTCTCTAGAGGTCCACAAACATTGTAAGTATTCTCCCTGTCTGCTTCAGTCATAACTTTATATTCCAATTGCAACATCCTCAACTATGGGAAAAGATGTTAAGGAAAAAGTCAGTGAGAGCCCTTGTAAATTGATTAATGTGTAACTAATAGATAAATTGACTGAATAATGACTGAAAATTTTCTAGTAATGAACATTTTTTTAGGACGTAACATTAAAAAAACAAAATATTATTGAACTTATATAAAGTGCAAGATGTACTGTTTGTAACCCTAGTTGGCAGTGGTCTTTTAATTACCGGCATCAATTTGTTTAAAATCTGTATAATTCCTAAGAACTGCGCCATAGACAGCAAACCAAATCTAGCATGACGTGAAGCTCAACTTAAAAAAAATATAATTGATTAATTTTTATGTTATTTTCTTTGACATCATTAACACTACCATAGGAGGAGGTTTAAGAGGCTGATAGAGAATCAGTTAGCAAGACGATCATCTGGGCTCAGTTCCAGTTCAGCTTCTACTAGTTATACCTCATCAAGTGCTCATAGACTAGCATGTAAGTTGACTTCTTAAATTGTCTTTATGATTCTTTGAATCCATTGTTATAATGTAGTGTGGAACCTTCACTTCAGGCCCTCTTTCTCACATACTTTTTTATGAATAGAAACTACTCAATGTTGGAATTCCAAAAAATGAAACTAAGTATAAATGATTGACCGGTATCTGTATCCTTTGTCATATATTTTATTGGTAACTTATCTCTATTTTAGAAAGGGGCATTCTAAGTATTTAAACCTACATGTACTTTGAATTTTTCTTGTGATAGTTTTAAAATGATGCTCAATCTTTTGTAGTATTCACTCTTTGCAAGACCATTGTAATATGTTTTTTTCCATGATGTGTATACATATTCTTGGTCCTCTCCCTCTCAATGGAAGATTCTGGGGGCATATTTTTTACTTATTTGCTGCTATACCATGAGCTGTACCATTTAGTGCATCTTGTGTCTAAATCACAGGTAAACATCAGCTATTATGTTCTGTATTGTTTCTTTTTTGAAAGGAGGGGGGGGGGGGGGGGTGCATCTATACTTTACATGACATTGATATTTTAATACATGTGTGGTAACAATAATAAGTATGATATCAATGGAGAAGAATGTTCTTTTTATACGACCAGATCCAGGTTTATCATCTCAAGGTTCCTCACCAACCTCCAGTGTAGAATCATTCACATCAGCCGACCAATCAGACAATGATGGTAGAAGGTAGGTTGTCCTCAATAAAGTGATTGAATTTCATTTGATTACATTTGATTTCATTTGATTACATTTTATATCATTTGATTTCATTTGATTTCATTTGATGATTTCATATGATTTCATATGATTTCATTTGATATCATATGATTTCATTTGATATCATATGATTTCATTTGATATATGATTTCATTTGATATCATATGATTTCATTTGATATCATATGATTTTATTAGATATCATATGATTTAATTTGATTTAATTTGAGCTCATTTGTTTTCATTTGGTTATGAAAACCACATTCAACATCAGTATCATTTTCTGAAAACAAGAAAGGCATTGTGAACATGATACAAATCAATATCTTTTTTGTTTTCAGCAGATTTCATGAATCCGCCATCTGGGGCCGTTTAATATTTCCTCCCATGTGTGTGTTGTATTCATTCATTCTCTTTTGCTTCTCTTATCATAAGTTTCTTGGCCCTGTCTTATAAAGGGTCGCAGTTGGTCAGAACCTGTCAGAACTCATCTTGAGTTTGCTATCAGTCATTCGCATAGAACATAGGTTACTTTAACTTTGCAATCGATGAGGAATGTTATAAGTTTCTTGGCACCGTCTTAAAGTGGGTTGCAGTTGGTCGGAACTCTTTACAGGACAGAGCCCTGAATGAATAGACAAGTTACAATCATCATCATACATTCAGCATTCATACATACTTCAGTTATGAGCTGTTATTTCATTTGATTTCAGGAGAGGTGTACTTCATATCATCGTGAGTAAGGTATCTGGTCTAGGTCTACACCTGTATGGAGGTAGTGATCATCAGGAAGGTCCAGGTATCTTTATAGATAGGGTCATGGAAGGAGGAGACTGCTATAGGGTAAGCTCACAATATCTGTTGAACTACTTAAGGCTTAATAATGCTAAATATATTACTTGTTGACCATACATTGCGAGACAAACGAATGTCACTAGCGATATTATTTTTTATAATTAAGGCTTGTTCAGATATGGCATGGTAAACTGCCGTAAGATGCCGCGATGTTTATTTTTTTTACGTGTAAGTGAATGGCAACTACACACACAGCAAAGAACTTGCACGTATTCACTGAACTGACAAACTTTGAGTCTCCAAAGATGGTTCTGCAAACTAATATGAAGATAAGGTTGTGGATTTTGTTGGGATTCTTCATATTTATTGGTTTCTAGATGTCATTTAGGTAAGGATGGTGTTCACAATTAAGGGAGGGGGGGCTGGGTGCTAGGGTAGGGGAGATAGGAATAGATATGACGTAGAGAGGGATGGCAAAGAATAATATTGTTTTTCTGGTCAACTTAGATATCTTGTGAAATATGTAGTAGTGATTGTAGGAGTAGATATTTGAAATGCGGAAGATTGATTTAGATATTATAGTAGACTTTGGTGGTCAGGTTAAGTTACCATTGCAGTATTGAAAGTATAGGTAAACCGGAAAAAAAGAGGCATGTCTCGATTTTACTCATAATTTGCTGTGGATACATGATTAAGACTAAGAAGTTTATTCAATTTCTATGTGCAGGATGGTCGAGTTCGAGCCCAAGACCAATTGGTAGCTATCAACGACCACTCATTAACCGGAATGACATTGAAAGATGCCCAAGCTATTGTTACAAGAATCAGTCTTAGGTAAGTTTGCCACTGAGATAGGACGTGAAATGCTTTCAAGTAGGAATAGAGATTTACATGTAGTGCTTAAATTTTTTAATTAATGTTCAATTTCTTTCAAAGTATATCAATTTAGATCATCACTGAGATATTTGAGTAACATTGAATGTTTATGATAGCTTAAGTGCTTTCCAGGGGTTTAAAGAGAAATTGCATTTTAATTCGGAACTGAAGTTAATGCATTTCAGCGTAAAGTTGAAGCTTGAAAAGTTATATCCTTTGGCAAGATATTTACCTGCACTTGCTACTCTCCACCCATGTGTTAAATGGGTACCCGGTAGGATGCGAAAGTTCATGTGGTTGGACAAGCAAGTGTGCGCTTGTAAAATGGCGACTGGCTGGAATGCTCCCCAGGGAGTGGAGTACATACATCGTGTGTGGGTAAGCCTGAATCCGATGACCGGGGTAATAATATATCTATAAAGCGCTTAGGTACATCGTTGGATCGATGTATTGAGCGCTATATAAACACAGAATATTATTGTTATTACTATTTATGTATTTTGTTATATTGTTTTTTTGCAGGTCTGATTTGAATTCAGTGAGTTTGTCCTACATTCCCAGTAGTAGAACACCAGTGAACAAAGACCGGGACCACACCCCAAGCTCACACCCATCGGGTATCAGCCAGTCTCTCAGTTCCCCTTACCAGTCACCCCATCCCCATTCTCATCATTCATCCCCACAACTCAGTGGTATGATCCACAGTGATGCAAGAGGTCAAAGGTCACTGCCTCAACACCACTCTCCTTCTCACCACTCTCCACATGCCAGAGGGAATGGTGCTGCTAATAATGTCCCTCATCCTCACATGCAAGGTAACACCCCTATACCACAATCGAATCACCTGCAGCAGTCTAATACTACCAGTCACTCATCAGAATCTACCATGATGGGGGGAGGGGTGTTACCTGAGAGGAGATCCCCTGCTGTAGGGCAACCGGCCCCTAGCTTTCCTCCTACTCACATGGAAATGAATCCACACTTTCAAGGTTAGTCAAATAATGTATAGTTTATATTTTTGGAATTAATGTATCTTTAGTAACCAATTCCCCTGCCTTGTGAGTAATTTATTTCTTGCTGTAGGATTTGTGCTGGGAAAAAAAAGTATTGAAATATATGGTCATATTTCCAAATGATTTCAAAATGATTTTACATTCAGCCCTGAATGATTTAGTCCTCAAGCTCCCAATGTTACCGGTACTTGTATTTATTAGTATACTCCTGGATATGAGGCATGCTGTGCATCTCTTTGTTTTTTAATGAGTTTTAAAGAAATAGAGAGCAGTTAAAAATGAAATTTCTCATGACATTTTATTTAGGAAACACAGATAAAATCACCGTAGGTCTTGAATGACCACATATCATACAGACAAAGTCTTGTTCACAGTACCATGATGATTATCATTGTGAACAAGAAAAATAAGGGTGGCTGCTTATTATTCTTTGCCAGGTAACCAAGCCCAGATGTTTCTACCATCTGCCCTCCCTCCTCACCTTCAACCTGGTACATACATGGAACCTAAGATGACCTCTACACCAGAGGGAGTGACTACAAATGGTAAAACAGCAGCAGTGTTACCTTGAAACTCCTTGAATGCTTGAGCACCTTTTCATGGTAGCTCGGTTAAAGCCTGGTAATGATAAGATTGCAGGGCCCTCAGGGAGAACAGTATGAATACTGATGAGGCTACCCTGGGTAAACAAGGCATTTTATTATTATTACCTGTAGATGTTTCATGATTTAATGGAGAAAAAGAAGGAAATTGTTCTTCATCTCCACCCTCCTAAAACTAAAAAATAGTTATTAGATTTCTAGAACCAAAGATATGCAGCTTGTTATGGATATGAAATCTCTAAGTTTTAGTTTTTGTTTACATGGTTAATTGTAGCATTATTATTTGAAGATGATACCTTTTTTCCTGATGTCCATAGTTGTGTATAAGTTTCTGTTACTTTCGATGTGTAAACATATACAAACTGTAATTTATATATATCGAGTATGAAATGATGACTTGTTTTTATTAGAATGATAAACATGGCTACATGTTATAAATTTTGGTTCATCAGTCAGAAATCCTATAAAACATGACTCTGAATATACCTTCAACTTTTTTTTTGTCAGGTGTCTCTGACAGGAGATCATCGGTGCCCTTACCCCCAGGAGGTGACCCCTCCCCAGTGCTTCCTCCATACAACCTTAGCCATTATACCAACCAACCAATCAGCTTCTCTGCATCCTCATCCCCCACCCATAGTCCGGTGCCCCGCCCCCATAGCAGACGACTATCTATTGATCCACAAGTCAGGCTCAAGATTGATAAGCTTCAGGTGGTAAGTGATACCTTGTCATATCTTTCTCTCTAGATCCAGGGGGTGTTTCACAAAGACTAAGATCGACTTTAAGTTAGACTTAACTATGGCAGGCCGTTCATGCCACTATTTTCTCTCATCATTTACTGGCATTGGTTTCTCAAGGGACGTACCAATCGTGGTCACAAATCTACAGAATTTACATTTTTTGATAGTCCATTATTATAGGAAAAAATATTATCTAAAGATCATAATTGAGAGACCAATGACGAGAGCAACTAGTGGCATGAACGGCCTGCCATAGTAAGTCCAACTCAAAGTCAATCTTAGTCTTTGTGAAACACCCCCCAGGTCATGGCATTTGTTCTCTCCAGATTGAGATTTGATGCGGACAATAACTTTAGATCTATTCTTGTGACTGTGTGTACTTATGCGTTTACAACTATATTATAAAGTACACTTTTAGATCTTGAATAAAACAAGTATTGTTCCACTATGGATACCAGACAAAATTAGGATGTTCATGTTCAGGAAATAATAGTTTTCTACTTCTTCCAGGGCTTCAGATAAATGTACTCCTGATTTGTTATTACGTTTAAAATGTCTGCTTTTTCATGGTTTTAGTGCATCAGATAGATTGTCAACATGTTGAAACACGGCTACACAAACCAGGTCCTCATTTATTTCGTTATCCGGGAGATATATATTTGAATTCTCATTTATATAAATGAGAATAGTAAAGTTACATTAACCAAATGTTAAAATTTTTCTAAAAAGATAAGTCGAAGATCTGGTTTGAAGTTTGAAGCCACCTGACTTATGGTAGATATATTTCAATCTAGTGAACACAAGTACATATTTCGTCTCTACAAATCTCACACATTGTTTTCTTTAATACTCAAGACATTATCTTAATACCGGTTATGAAATTGTTTTTGTCCAGGCCCTGGAATATCTTGGGATCCATCCTAGTCCTAGTGAGAACCAGGAACTATTGAGAAGACTGAGTATAGATCAGAGCGGCATGGTCCCATATGGAGGTAAGAATCTTCTTTCAATATGTATACATCAGCGGGAAAAAAATACATGGAAGCGGTGAGCAATTTAGCTTGAAAAATGCTCCAAGTAAGCAACTTTTCCTTTTTAATTTCTTGCTCATCAAAACAAGTTGTCCCTGTACATGTATTAAACCTATGTGGAACGTGACAACTTAGTTGTCAGCGGACTAAAAAAAAATCTCTTTCACTTCTCTTTGTGACAGAGTTTGTAGCTGTTGCTAAGCAACTGTTTAACATGAAGCTTGATGATAGTAACATAGGACCAGGATCACTGAGTCCCGGAGGGTATGATGTCACTGATTTTTCTGCTCCTCCTCCATTCCAACATAGAAAGGTAAGGACTCACCTACCCCTGGGGAGTGTTTCACAAAGACTAAGATCGACTTTATGTTGGACTTAACTATGGCAGGCCATTCTGATTCATGCCACTGGTTGCTCTCACCACTATGATCTTTAGATGATATTTTTTCCTTTGATAATGAATTATCAACAAATGTAAATTCTGTAGATTTGTGACCATGATTTGTACGTCACTTGATAGACCAATGCCAGTTAATGGTGAGAGCAAACAGTGACATGAACGGCCTGCCATAGTTAAGTCCAACTTAAAGTTGATCTTAGTCTTTGTGAACCACTCCCCAGGCGTCTGTCACTCTTTGGTCCTCTGTCAAGGCCAGGTCCAGAGCCATTTATACAGAGAGTTTGGCCGACCTGGTTCTAGTTGGGCACAAAATGGCGAATATTGCTTTGTTCACCGCGTATGAAACAAAAGAATATATGCCATGTTGAATCCAACTGAAATCAAGTTGGCAAAACTATCTGTATAGATGACTCTGGGTACTTCCATACACCAGAGCCCTCTGTAATTCTTCCTCCATTCTTCTCTATCTTTAGCCTTTTACTTATATGATCTGCACCTATCAAGTCTGACACCATCCCAGTTCTTAGTCCTCTTCTTCTATGTTTACCATCCATCTGTCCCTTCCAAGGTGTACAAGTCAAGTATTCCACAAATTTATTGGAGGTACTATAATGGCACAAATTCTGTATGTTCACAATGGAGGATGTAGCAGACATGCTATTCTTGTTTAGTCATCAATTATGACCCACACCCCTTGTGATGCACCTGGGAGTGGTGCACAATTGGGGCTAAAATAGTACCTTTAATGATAATAGTGGAAGCGGGGATACTGTTATTAAAATTCTTATCTCTACCTTCATTTGGATGTATTTCTCATTTCTAAATCCAAGGAGCATTACCAATATATTTGTGGAAAGATTATGTGAATAGATACATGCTTTTTAACGTATATATGTGCCTCTACTATGTTAATGTGAAATGATTAATGATCAAAAAGAAGAAAAAAAAACTAGTGCTGTGAATATAGATTTTAATTTCATAGGTGCAGATGCACATCATTGTTAACAAAATATGAAACATGCACATAAATTGTATATCACATAAGAGATAACTTTGATGTACAATTTCATAACACAAAACGTAATATTTAGGAGAATGATATGAAATTTCTTGTGTGTAAGAAACACATTGATTGACAGCTACTACATCTGTTTTTCTTCCTTCAGCTCCCCAGCCCCCCTCCTCCCATACCTCCTCCAGTGGTAGCTCCAGCTCCTGGTTACTATGCTGAGATGGAGAATCTTAGGAAACAGAGAGATGATGCCATAATAGAGGCAGAGAAACTCCAGGTTAGTAGAACATAGGATTTATCATTTGAATAAAGAACACTTGTTTTTAATCGTACCTTGTACACAAACCATTCTCATCAAAACTAGTTGTCACTGATGTCTTTATTTGGTTTGTGCTTTTGACAACAACAAAAAATCCTTGTTTAGGGAGTAATGAATCAGGCTGGAATTTTATACAATTTTAATGAGTCAATAGTAGATTTTCAAGATATTAATAAAGTGTGTTTCATTCTTGTCACGAGGAGTCGACTCTTAGACAATTATTAAAAGAATTATAAGTAGGATGTTTGAAAGAATTTCTGTATTTAATTTGTTGAGTTTCAAGCATCAGATAACTATGGCTGGAACCTTTAGGAAGTGCATGTTGAGTGAAAGTGAAATCATTTCTACTGAGTTAAAATCTCACTTTAATGTCAACCTTATAGACAGGCATAATCCACTCCTATGTATACTTGAAAATGAGAAATAAAATAAGCAGATTCTGTTGTTAGGTGAACTTATAGTGCATGTATATATGTGTAAACAAAACTGTCAAATATTTATCATCTTATTCTTTCGAATTCAAAGCTTCTAGTACTGGAGAGAGAACGATCGTTTTCTGCCGTAGAAGATGAACTGCAGAGAATAAGGAAGGTATGTTGGATCATGAAAAGTCTTCTGATCTTGAGGTCCGTCTGTCCCTAATTAGTAAATTTACTCTTAGCTGAACATTGCCTTCACCGTGTGTCCGTAATCTGTCTTCATATCATGATGGCGATGTCTATTACCGTTTGTTTGTACAAGAGTTCTGATATACTTCATCTCATATAATAGCAATTTTTGTAACTACTTTTGTTTTGTTATAGAGTATATTAAAGTATTAAAGTATTAAGTTTTGATACTTGGGCTTTAATATATTACTGTTACAAAAATAAACACTTCATCTTTGTGCAGTTTTAATGATTTCATGAGGAAATTTGCAATTTTTCAGTCCTTTACCTCCATGTAGTTTTAGTGAGGGCTATTAACCTAAAACAAAATTGAGCTTAAAAATTAGAAAATGATTTCGCAAAGTAAAAGAGATCAGTGAGAGCTCTTCATGCTTTCGAGTAATAGCAATTACAATTGATTTTGTCACCCCTGACCAGCAGATTGTATCCTTCTCTCTCTCCTCTCCACTTTCATAAAACTGTTTGCATGCATTATGAAATGTCTATGTATTATCTGATTGTTATACTCATTGTATGATTTCCGATTGGTCAAATAAATAATAATAACAAAAAAGAGCAAAACCTATGTCTCTGTGAGGTATTCTTACATTAGTTTGAGTCCTTCTACCACTAACCTGGTACTCGTACTTATATCCTTCTGCAGCAAGCTCAGGGTGCTATCCATGAGAGCAAAGCCTTGAAGTCTAGGGTTCATCTGGCGGAGGTCGCCCAGCAGGAAGCTAGGAACATGGAGCTAGACTATGAAGAGGTCGTTGTCATGCTGGAAGATGAACTCAACAAGCTTAGGTCAAAAGTCAAGAAAATGCCCAGGAACACGCGTCCAGAACCAGTGGTAAATTGTAAAGATTTATGAAGATTTATTCAAATCTTGACTGTTAGTGACTTCATCATAGGCCTACTTTTTCATTTTTCCTGGACTTTGACAATTTCTGGATCTCATCTGTGTCAAACATACCTTGTACCTTGTGTTGATCACTTCCGAATGGTCCGCTGGGAACTATGGCTGAAAGAATAACTTGGGGCTCGATGATAGTTTTGTCCTGTAGCTAATTATAAACACAAATTAAAGGAAGCAGTTCCTTTGCTTTCCACTTAAAAAGGTTTTGAAACAGAGATGCAGTCACTCTTGAATGTTGGATCATGATTTGATTTGTTCTTCCAAATGAGAAAAGACAAAGCAGAAATCACAATCAAATAGTGCATTCAAATCCTTCTTATCTAACATTGTGTCTTAGCCTGATGGTCCCAATGTGAGAGAGCTTCAGAACCGCTTAGCTGTGATGGGCTGTGAGCTGAGGAAGACACAAGCCAGCAAGAGAACCTATGAAGTAGCAACAGAAAAACTCCTCCACTTTGCTGAAGTAAGTCAGTTTAAGTTGACTATAAACAGAGTAATGTATTAATCTACTTTTCTTCTTTGTGCATATAAGAGATAAGACAAGGGCAGTTATTAATTTGTCTTCTGATAATTTTGGAGGCCATCTTTTATTAATTCATACAGCAAAGTGAACATTTGATTACTGCAAACCCTTATCAAAATTTCTAATGACTTTTGATAAAAAATATATTCCTCCGTTCTTCACATCTCATTACAGACTGTACATGAAGATCTCACTGAGGGGCCAAATGGAACTCTCAGGTAAGAAGGAAGATATGACAATAATTATACTATTCCTATCTGTATCATTGCTTTGACTTATAGTATCCCCCTTCCCCACAAATATCTGATAAGAAATACATGCATTTAAAACAGCAGGGCATGGGTATATCTTGATCACTTATTGAACATCTAACATATTGTCCGTTCATGACATGTTAACTGTTTGGAGCCAGAAGGGCATTAACTCATATACTTTTAGAGCATTCACGCCCTTCTGGCTATAAACAGACAATATATATATACAAAATGTGTCATTCAAAAGCAAGTATTACAAGCTTCTGTTCTACATTGATTGACTGGTGTATTACCATCAATCATTTTATTTCAGCCATTATAAAAGTGACCAAATGACTATTATTCATATGGTCTAGTGGATATGTCACCTAAGTGGGGATCACGGTTCGCGTCCCATCAAGGCACTAATGTGCTTTGGCAAGACAATAATCTACATTCGCCACACTCTACCCAGGTGATGTGGAAGAAATTCCTCAAATGCCAGAGCGCCTTATCAGGGTAGCTCGACTAATGCCGAGGTTAAATGATAGTGGAGCACTTGAAAACATTAGAATTATTAAAGCGCTATGTAAATGTTACTTTTATTATGATGATGATTTTGCAGTAACCGTCATAACAAGGGAGAGAATGCAAGACGAGGAACCAATGGATTCAGACCGCCTGGCTACCTTGGTAAACATAAAGGACCTATTGACCTTGCTACAGAGGCTAAGGAGACTGTAAAAGCTATCAAGCAACTAGTGGAATCTGAACGTAAGTCAAGGAGATGCATCTCATTCTTATAAGTCACATTTCAATTGAGTTCAAATTTATATGAGTCTATTACATTCACCTGTTATATATTGCTGCATTTTAAAAGTCGGAATATGAATTACATAAATTCGTTGTTGCTAGGTAAAGCAAACATTATGGCTTGCCTTCGGCCACACTATCACTCTCACTACATACATGTATCTCTCTATTCATACATCTATCTTAACCCTTTTCTTTCCTGTCTGTTTTACACCTCTCTCTCCTCTTTTTCTAAATCTGTCAAAAGATTGCCTTCTCTCTCTTTCGTCAATAACCCTTTTAATCTACTGCTCTCATTCTTAAATTAAACAATATCTTTAAAAATCATAGTGAACTTTTTCAAATGTTTGGATGTGTTCGTTGGTATCAACATTTTTTGGGGGTGTTGGGGGCTATCTTCAGAAAGCCTGATACCTCACAAGCTATTGCTTTGAGCTCAATTTGATTGTAATCATTGTTTCTGTGCTTTGTTTTGCTCTATAGCTTTACCACATGGATGGGAGGAGACCTACACACTAGATGGGACAAAGTACTACTTAAAGTGAGTCCAAGTTCCATTGCTTACTACTTCATTAATTAATTAATTTCATACATTAATGTTTTAACAGTAATTTGGATAGTTTTGACTTACTGTCGTGACTAAAAGCATGACGTCAATAATAATTTGTTGCGTTTGACCAACTCCAAGCTTTCTCATTTCTTGTGTAATGGTGATATAAATATCTGTAGACAAAGGAGATATGAGATTGACATTTTGTCCTTACCTTTTATTTGCAGTCATGTTACTCAGTGCACAACATGGATACACCCATTGTCTGGTGTCAACCATCTTCCTAGTATACACGAGAGAGATGATCTACCAGAGACAAGGACTTGAAACCAAACATCAGATTACCATCTACATCCATTGTCTGGTGTTAACCATCTTCCTAGTATACACGAGAAAGATGATCTACAAGAGACAAGGACTTGACACCAAACATCAGATTACGATCTACACCTATTGTCTGGTGTCAACCATCTTCCTAGTATACACGAGAGAGATGATCTACCAGAGACAAGGACTTGAAACCAAACATCAGATTACCATCTACATCCATTGCCTTATGTGTTAACCATCTTCCTAGTATACATGAGAGAGATGATCTACCAGAGACAAGGACTTGAAACCAAACATCAGATCATCATGTACATCCATTGTCTATTGTTAACAATCTTACTAGTTTACACGAGAGAGATGATCTACCAGAGACAAGGACTTGACACCAATCAACAGATCACCATCTACACCTATTGCCTGGTGTTAACCATCTTCCTAGTATACACAAGAGAGATGATCTATCAGAGACAAGGACTTGACACCAATGAACAGATCATCATCTACACCTATTGCCTGGTGTTAACCACCTTCCTGGTATACATGAGAGAGATGATCTACCAGAGACAAGGACTTAACACCAATCAGCAGATCTCCATCTACGGTACATCCATTGTATGGTGTTAACCATCTTTTTAGTACCGGTATACATGCAAGTGACGATCTACCAGAGACAAAGACCGGACACCAAATATGGTCTAAACCCACTGTCTGGTGTTAACCATCTTGGTAGGATTTAATGTACAAATGTACACTTTTTTCTATTTATAGATCATATACATGCTAATATGAATACCAATGTGACTCTAATGAGTCCAAATTATGGAAAACTAGAGAAAAAGAGGATCAAAGGATCACTGTGAAGCATCCTGATTATTGTTTGTAATGATAAATATGTTTATCCACTTCACTAGTATTTATGGATATCTTGTATTCAATTTTAATTTGATTCTGTGATAGGAGTATTAATATACTGTAAAGTGCTTTTGATCAGATAATTGCAGCTGGGAAGGTGCTATACCGACCTTCAAAAAAGATAATATACCGGTAATCATTAAAATCACGTTATTCAAAGTATTCCCTCTGGCTCTTAAGAGATAGTCTTGACAACTGATTTGAATTTCTATATTGTAAACCTTTGGATCTGTGTACTATTGAAAGCACATTGAAATGAAGGTACATGTAAACTATAATTCAAACTAAAAGGTTTATTGAAAGATGAAATTTTAGTCTTGAAAGATATTTTTGATCACCTTGAATTCTCCATGTACATCATCTTTAATTGTTAAAAGGCAATCCAACTAATGTAAATAAATTCATTAGTATGGAAGCAGAAAATAAGGGAAGCAGAAAAATAAGAGAAACAGAATGGTGAAAGTTTGAAATAAATCAGGCTGATAATAAAGGAGTAATGAATATTTGAAACATGAGATCATATGTATAGTGATAATATTAAATAACTTTCTTATTTTTTGGTCTGATTTCATTCAAACTTTCACCAGTCTGTTTCTCTGATCTTTCTGCTTTCTTTTAAAGTAGTTCTCTGTTAAGATTGGATCTCCCTTTATAAAAAAAACTTGGCCAGAGTAAGATATCTCAACTTTATTCAATGAATTGCCAATATTTTGTTTATTCCATAGTATGTGTACAGTTTAGAAATGTCAACTTCAAAGTTTACAGAATGAAGTATTTTGTTTATTCTCTGTATAAACATACATGTATGATATGATACACAACAAATTAATTATTACCATGGATTACTATTTTGTGAATTTGCAGTAATGGTACAGTGTACCTTGTCAAGCTCATGACACAACTTTCAAACTATACTTTGTAAAAAGGAAATAATACACAAAAATGCTTGGCAATTTATTTTATTTGATCAAAAATTTGAAGAAAAAAAGCTCTCGTGAATAAAAAAAGAAAGATGTATGACAGGCATATGTATCATTGAAATAAAACTTATTTATTAACATGGAAGCGCACAGTTTTCCTTCACTTATCTGTCCAAAACTTGGCATCTTTCTAAAAGCTTAATTTCTGTTTAATATAATTATACCTTACCATTACAGGTATTTTAGCTGCATGAAGATGGAAAGCTTTAATACAAAGTAGGATAGATGCTATCAAATGATCACTCTTATATGTGCCTTGACATAATAGATTCTGTGTATATATTCTCATAGTAACATTCATATATCAGTACTTAACACATGCTTTAATAAAGCACTTATAAATATGTACATGTAACATAATGGAAGTAGTGATTTTTAGAAAGAAAAAGTCGTGTAAATTATACCTTTGTATGTTTTTGAACAAATACAAATACAAATCAGTGCTATTACGAATAAACTCATCATTTCAAAAAGAAGTGTTACACATTATTTTGTTTTAAACATGTACTCTTGCTTTCAAAAAAAGGGAAAGGTATGATGAACTTTACAGAGGGTTTTCACTTTTCATTGTATCTATGAAGAATACTTGCAATTTCCTTGGTCCCACAGAGTTGTAATAAGGTTCCACTGTACTACCCATATCAGTTCCATTCAATGACCGAAGCAGATAAGGAATGAAATTTCCCTCAAAATTTTCTTCCAGGGAAACGAAATTTGGCACATGAATTAGCACAATCTCAAACTACACTTCATCTTACTAAACAAAGCACACTTATTTTAACTTTTTTCTTTTCAAAGTTTTAAAAAACAAACGCATACAAATTGACTAAAAAAATCTACAATCCTACATAACTTTCTACCAAGTTATTCAACAAAAACAAAAAATCATCACTTAAAATGGTACTTGTGAACTAACATCAGGCTGGATATTTAGAAATACAGCTACATAGCCATACATGTACATGTTATAGTTGTACCGGCTCTTAAATGGGTTGCTTTTCATGACATGGCTAACAGACAAGACACATGAAAGAGGAATGTGGAACAGGATGGTTTACATAGAGATGAATTTCATCCCTCAATATACAAATCTAGGCCCAGTCTTAGTACGAGTTGTGTTTAATCTGGATTGACTGCAAGTCCTCCAAGCAATCACACAATTTCAAACTCTCTAATCCCTTGAGCACATAGGTGGTTTGATTAATATTGAGTTACCATCAATTTCAATCATCTACATCTATCTGTAAGACGGGTACCAGGTTCTCTACAATGGATTAATCAAAGATTACCATCCAATGGTACAAGACTATCAGGTATGGTCTCATCGCTACAGTCTCATCACTCTTTTTTCTACATAATGAAAAGATACATAATACATGAAAATACCATTTCTAATGGAAAAATCTTTACAGCACTTTATCTCTATTTTGGCCTCAATTCTCATGAACCATAAATAAGTGGATATTTGAGAACATACAAGTAGTTTGAATGTATCTCTTCTACAAGGTCCACATGACCTACAAACCTAGAAGGTTGAAAGATGGAAAAAAATTGTACGTACTTCCACGTAAATCCATGGGCTTTTGTACTCATTATTTTTACTACTGCTTCTTTGACATTGTTACAAACCTAACAGCCCCTTTGAGGCATCTATACACTAAGTGCACTACTTGATATTTAACAAAGTATCTTCAAATTATCTTCAAAAGGTATTTCCTTCTTACCCCTTATGGAGCCCAGACTGCTCTAAATCTACCATTCTCTAGTTGTCATCACACTAAATTGCCTGAAACTGCCCACACTTTTTACATGCTATGACAGTCTAATGAAGAGATCTTGTGCAATCACACTTGGCACAATCTTAGAATCTACGTTGATTCTGCATTCAAAAGGAATGTTACAATGAAAAGTTATTTCATTCAGTCTATAACAAGAAATTCTTCGTACTTTATGGAAGGATTTACTCGCAGAAAGCAGATTTTCATTTTATTGTTGGGTCAAGTAGCTAAACCGGCTGTGTTGCTTGCAGAGTGGCGATGTCATACTTCACGACAGTTGACTTGTAACTGAAATGAAAAAACAAATAATGCTATTCATCTAAGAGAATCATATTACTTTGACAGGAAGACACAGTAATATGGTCATCTGCATTATCTTGCAAAATATCTCCAAAGACCAAATAAGGGTACTGACAGCATTCAGATGAAAATTGCAAGTGTTCAAGTAAGATATTGGTTGCTTGACACTTGACAGAGTGTCTACTCTGATCTTCATGTTATAAATACAAAAGTTATAATACTTCAGAAGTAGAACACATAGAACAATACTTCCAAGCATAATTTCATGCATTTTAAAATATTGCAGTTTTTTTTCTTCACCTCTTCCTCATTTTGTTGGCTCAGTTTCATTTTGTTTCATTCCAAGGTCTATTACCCCCTGCATGAACTACAATGTATCCTTTTTGTCTTTGTAACAATCTAGATGCTATGTTAAATTATCCTAGTGTCACACAAGTGCATTCAAATTATCATATTGTAGAAAATTGAGTCCCATTTTCATCTTGCAAGGCAATACATCCAACAGACTTCCAAGTCATCTCAAATGAAGCAACAAAGGATATTATATCTCTTATCGTAAGATTGTTGCATTAGGAGTGTACACAACAAGAAAAAGAATAGTTTTACTAGAAAAGACATTTCCTGCCGAATAGTTCATTTTTTATTGCTGCCGTTACGAATAGTTCACCTTTTCTCAGTAAAAAGTGAACTATTCATTTCCCCGCCCCCACCCCCCCAAAAAATGGTAAAAGTCAGCGAGAGTACAGGAGTTCAAATGCCTCCGCATGGGCAACTCCCGCGGTGTCACAGTGCTCAAGCCATGCAATTTACACTGTTGAAGTAACTGCAGTACCTATTTAGTACCAGCTAAACATATTTACATCGTTCAATGTTTCACTTGAGCTGTGCAATTTTCTTTTACTTCTTTTCTGAATGTGATTTGTATGTGGGTATGGTACATGGTATTACAGAAGTGTACAAGGAATGATACAGATGGAAGGGATATAAATCAAATATACGATGACTCATTCTCGGAACAAGCTAAAACTATTCACACTCAGGAACATCATAAGTACTATTCTCCCGATGTTCCTTCGCTGCGAATAGTTTCAGCTAGATCCTTGAGTGTCATTGTATATTTAGCTCAATGTTCAGAATACGTACTCGTTATTTTTGGTGACTCGATAGTAATTATCAGTGTAGTCTGAGTGACCAAGCAGCTCAACAAACTCTTCATCGTGAGTGATGATCAGCAGCTGGAAGTTCCTTTGGTTCTCTCGACTCTTCAAGATGCTGCAAGGCAAGAAGGCATGAAATATAGAGAACAATAAGCCAATTCAGATGAGCAGATAAAGGTCATTGCAGTCCAAATTGTGAAATACACAGAGAAAAAATACTGGATATGTGCTCATGAAAGTTATGTAATCATAATTCAAGTATGCACAAGCGGTGCAATGCATGATTCACAGGTGGGAGCATTCTTTGAAAAGGGGGAAACAAAAGCTTTTTATGTAACATTCTCATCGCTGTAGGAGTGATTATTTCAAAATGTACAAAGTGGGACGTCTTCATGTTTTAAAGATGTGTGGATTTTCAGGGTCATTTGGGACATATGCTAACCGTGAACTGGTCTAATGATAAACTTTTGAAGGCATGAAACAAACACAAGAGGCAGAAAACTAGTTTAATATGCATATGGCACACAAGGGCTTAGAAGACTGATATTTGGCAAACCCTAAGGTTTTTAAATGAACTGCAGGGCCTCAAATTTCACTGAAGCTTATTCATGTATACTGTTTAATTATTCATCTTAAACTTCTTAAGACAGAATACCACACTTATGAACTCCATCGGGTCATATACCTACATTTTAAAACCCAGGACTGGTATTAGGTTAAAAGCAGATTGCATAAAAAGTAAAATTTAGTCAAACAGTGTAAAAATGATTGTAGAAAGAGACAGATCAACGAGAGGACAAAGACTTACTCTACAAGTGCATGTGCCAAGCTCTCAATGTTGTCTCTATCAAGGTTTGTAGTGGGTTCATCTAGCGCTAAGATTCCACAACTCAAACAGAACGTCTCTGCTAGGGCAAGCCGTATCAAGAGAGAAGCGAGCACCTGTGGTAGGAGGTAAAAACAATTTTATAATTCATGCCAATTTCAAATACAGTCAAACCTGTCTATGAAGGCCACCAAGTGGAAACAAAGAAAGTGACCACTCTTTACAGTTGGCCTTTGTAGACAGGTTCTTCAACAAAATTGTCCTACTAGAGGGAGGAAATATATGTGACCACTACAGACAGGTGGCCTAAGCCACTAAGACAGTTTTGACTGTACTGGAAAACAGTGACTGAAACAAATATGATCAAACAAATTATCAAAACAAAAATTTCAGCAGATATAGGAGTAAAACTTAACATGGGATATTGATAAATATAATTTTACATGCATGGAAAATCATGCATCAGATTAATTGCCATGTTTATTTACAAGGTACAGTACACACATATATGTAGGTGTATATATTGAAACATAGATGACCTCATTGTCTTTTGGAATGTGTAATAAAACTGCAAACAAGAATAATAAGAACAATTTCTCTGTTTCTCATATCATCCCTTCCAATTATTTTGACCAGGACCCTGTCTGACAAAGAGTTGTGATTGATCTGTTTTAATTGCAAGAGCTATCTAATAAATCGTAAACTTCCAAACTCTTATCTCTTTAGTACAGAGTTGTAACTGATATCAAGTTTGAGATAGAATTGGGGGTTGATTAAAACTGTTTATTAGACAGGGCTGATATCAAGTTTGTGACAGATTTGAATTGATCGCAACTGTTTATTACACAGGGCTGATATCAAGTTTGTGACAGATTTGATTTGATTGCAACTGTTTATTAGACAGGGCTGATATCAAGTTTGTGACAGATTTGATTTGATTGCAACTGTTTATTACACAGGGCTGATATCAAGTTTGTGACAGATTTGAATTGATCGCAACTGTTTATTAGACAGGGCTGACATCAAGTTTGTGACAGATTTGAATTGATCGCAACTGTTTATTAGACAGGGCTGATATCAAGTTTGTGATAGATTTGAATTGATTGCAACTGTTTATTAGACAGGGCTGATATCAAGTTTGTGATAGATTTGAATAGATCGCAACTGTTTATTAGACAGGGCTGATATCAAGTTTGGGATAGATTTGAATAGATCGCAACTGTTTATTAGACAGGGCATAGAAGAAACATTTGAATGACCTTTTGACCTGCACTGCATCTTCCTCTCATATCCAGAGCTGTGTCTCCTTTCACCATGACAACCTAATAATATAAAAACAAATAATATCATTATTCCTAACAATTTTACTACATAGTAGACAAAAAGAAAAACTATGGATCCCCTCCTTCCCCCAAGATGGTCGATAAAAAGGGTAATAATGCATGTACCGTATATCTTTAAAGCACTTAGAGACATGAAAGAGGTATTTTCAATTGCTATACAAATGTAGAATATTATTATCAATAAGAAAGACTTTGGATTCCTATCTACATGTACACTATTCAAGTAGTGTACTTCAAGTTGTTACAGTAGGATGGGGAATAGGTGTCAGCCATTCAAAGTGAAACATGAAAATCATACTTAAATCAGGCTAAAATTGTATAAAAAATTGTTGCTATAGATAGAGCACAAAGCAGATAGTCTGCCACGCACCGGTAAAATGGCAAAGTAAGTTATGAACATGTGAACATACTACGATGACTGTTATCAAATTCATGCGCTACATATATAGGGACAAGGCGACGTGACCTTGTAGATATACTAACCCTGTAATTGTACTGCCTCCGTTGAGTGGTAGAAGCTCCCGTCTCATCATCAGCGCATATCTCAATGAAGTCAATATCTAGCAGAGAAAGGAACAGAGAATGGTAACCAGTGGGGTGTTTCATCAAGACTATTACAGATCCACCTAAGTTGGACTTGAACTATGGCAGGCCGTTCATGCCACAAGTTCCTCTAAACATTCCTGGCATTGGTTTCTCAATGGACGTACAAATCATGGTCACAAATCTACAGAATTTACCTTTTTTGATAGTTCATTATTGAAGGAAAAAATATTATCTAAAGATCATAATCGGGAGACCAATGGTGAGAGTAACCAGTGGCATGAATGGCCTGCCATACATTTAGTTCAAGCATCATGCAAACAAGCAGGTGCATCAAAGAATGAGATTGTACATTGTAATGTTATATGAAAAAGGTTTAAGTCATTGATGCTTGCACTTGCAAAAAACGAATATTTTTTCCATACAAATTGAAAACTATTTTGCAGCAAGATGTAATATTTTTACGAATAGTTTAACTGTAGATTAAATGACTTTTCATTGTAGAAATGTAGTCAGGTTAGTATTTTCAAACATTTTAATCTAATGTAGGTGCACTATTAACTAAACAATGAATTCATAAGAAGTAGAAATCAAATTTTGTTGGCTGAACTTAGTTTTGCTGGTGAAATGCTGTAATGCAATGTCGTACCAATTAAGCCTCATTAAGATCTGATGCGGTAAACTGCTGTTTTTTTAATGATCAGATGACGTGAAGTGTAATAAGCTACACATTTCTGTATCTTATAACAGAGAGCTCAGATGAATATGCATAGGAACTTTGCTGCATGTACAGGTGTACATGTAGTTGCCTTTTATTTACATGCTTTAAAAAAAAGCCATAGCTTAATGATTCATATCTGAAAGCCTATATCTTCACTTTACAAACAAACTCCAAGAAGCCCTCAAGTTCTTACCGCTTCCCTTGTATGTCATGCGCCACAGATCTCGTACAATCTTGTTGATCTCTGACATCTTCTGACTGTGATAAGTGTTGATAGCACTGCACGAAAAACAAACAAACATAACATAACTACACCATGTGAAAATGGCACAACTATTACTCTTATTTTCCATAAATTGTTCACATTTAAGTTTCACATTGGACAGACCACAATAGAGTCATTCCTTCCAATGCATTCTCTTGTTTCCATAGCCGGGCTTAATACAGAATCCACACACTAGCAACGGCTTAAAAGCTCAGAGATGGACAGGTACTCAAAGGATTGGTCAATTGTGTTTCCATCTGATATAAGAATAATTTACATTTACTTCTTTACTTTGCTAGATATTTGTAATACATACAGGGCCATGTCACATAAAAAATGATGATTAATTATTCATGCATCTCCTTCAATCAAATGTAACATTACAATAAAAACAGTAACATAAGATTAATTTGATCTTATAGATACAATGCACTTTAAGATATAATAAATCGCAGCAATATTGGAGATATATTTTTGTTTGTTTGACTGATTGTAAGTTGATTTTTATATTACAGAGCAGTGATCTAATCCTCAATCTATCCTTTATCCTAAATAAAGTCTTTAATTTACTTCATTTCCATCTCATTTTCTTCTAAGTTCTTATTACCTATTTAGAGCATTGTAGTATTTGTCCAAATCCTTGTTGGCAATCTCTGTTGTCTGTAAGAATCAAAAAACAAAATCATTCATTGAAATTAATTAAATTGAAAATACAGTGACACTTGTTTGTACATAAAGAAAATAAATGCTTAACATTACAAACTTCTTAGTCAATATTACAATCACAAACTTGTTTGTAATGGTAAAGATTTTTTAACAGGGTTCACAAACACACCCCAAAAATGTATTATTTCTTCTCGTCTAAATCAGGTTTCATTAAATTAGTGACTAACTTGATTTAAATTGTAATAAAAAATTTAAAAAAACAATTTAAAGACCCCTACAATGTGTATTGTGACAGCAATAATCTCAAATGCAGTAAACATTCATTATAGCTATCCTAAACTACTCCAAACTAACAGCACATGATAATCCACTCACCCTACATTTGATCATCATATCATTGTAGTTTTTCTCGGCATTCTTGTACGAGTCGCTCTCTAGCTCCCTCTCTTGTCTCGTGACCTCCTTCCTCAACTCCGTAGATCTCCCATCAAGCTGATTTTTCTAGTAAAACAGAAGAAAGAAAGAAAATTAAATAAAAGAAGAAACACAATGGAGTCTGTGAAGAGAGCTTGTACAGTTCCCTGGGATCAATACCAATGAAGATTTCTACGTGATAGCGAAGAGATGTTTTTTAAAATAATCATAGATTGTTTCCTGAGGTTAAAAATGAACATGTCAGTGTGAAAAATGAAAATAAAGAAAGGCAATTCCCTTTCAAATTAGGAAATTAAAAAAAGGGGAGAAAAAAAAAACATAGAAAAAATAAACAAAAGGACTGTGTGAAGAGAAGTATCTAAGACAATATCAATGAATATTTGTACTTGATACTGTTACTCATCAGAGAGATTTTTGAAAATGGGCATTAACAGGGCATAGACGGTTTGCTATCTGAGATTCATTTTAGGTCAGTCACCCATGTGACCTCACACCAAAATGGTCTTACTTATTGGTTTGTAACTTAACCTTATAGTATTTACCTCAGAGCGCAACTTTCCCCTTTTTGCAACTGCACAAAGCTGCATGTTTTTAAACGTGATTGAAAACAAAATTCAACTTGTTTTTAATGAACGGTAATGAGCAATAATGTCAACAACAAAAAGAGAGGGATTGATAATGCAGTGTTTTTTGCCAAGAAGAAATTTGATACGCCTTGTCATGTGAGTGACCTTTGAGTCATCATGGCCATACTCCTATTGGTCCGAGACAGAGGCAAAAAAAGGTTTGAGGGACAAGAATGCAGGAGTGTTGTGGCCGAGTGGTTTAAGGCGCTTGACTGGAGATGCGAAGGTCAAGGGTTAAAATCCAGACACGGCGCTAATATCCTTTGGCAAGATATTAACCTGCACTTGCTGCTCTCCACCCAGGTGTTAAATGGGTACCTGGTACGATGCGACCGTCATTGTTGGTCAAACAGTTTTTGAGCATCAATTAACACCTGGGTGGAATGCTCCCCAGGGAGTGGAGATTGTGCACACAGCATGTGCAGGCAAGTATTGAATCCATTGACCAGGGTAATAGTATATCTACAAAGCGCTTTGAGACATCGTAGATGTATTAAGTGCTATATAAAAACGGGATATTATTATTATTTACCTCTCTATTAAGAGAAGCTTTCTTCTTCTCCATCTCTGTCTTCTCTCTCTCGATAGTGATCAGATTATAACCACCTAGTTTCTCCTGAAGCTTCTCTATCTCACCGCTCTTCTTCTCAACCTCTTGCTGGTACTTTTTCAGGCGCATGTTGTTCCCTAACTCCATCTCTTTCACCTGCAGGGAGACAAGACATGGTCATGATATGCACTTACCCCACATTCCATAAGATCAGTGTCTTGAAGTGTCTTGAAGACTCCCAAATTAACAGGTCCCATAATCATAAAACCTTACTGCGCTAGTTGTCAATTAATTACATAGGCTATAGTACGTACTTGGCTTACTAAGGTTTCATGAATATGGGCCCTTGTTCAAAAATCCTACCCATTGATAAAAGCTCGTATTATGGGAAACAAAAACAAAAGTTGCCAAACATCCCCATATGACATATCTTGATGAAGAAATTAAAGCAATAACTGAGGTAAATGGTTACCACTATAACAATATGCACAAGATCTTGAATTAAGTAGTATACTGTTATCTAAAGAGGTACTAACAAACCAACCCACAAACCCAAAGTGTAGAGACCATCACCCTACATAATATGGTAAACACAGGTCACAGGAAATCTTTACATGATTTTGTCTGCACACTTTAACAAAAACGGTATACCGGTATGTATTGTTTGTTTGTTTTTCGTCTTTGTTTTCATTTTCGTAACAGTTTTTTTTTAATTGTTTTTATTTTGTGGACCCCTTTGAAAACCAACTTCTGTTGAAGGGGCTCATCTGCCCCATGTGTTGAAATGAATAAAAACACTCATGGATTACAAATCTTATTTTGGTCCATACATCATTCATATAGAGATGATTAACTGCAAATAAAAGAAGCTAAACCAAGTAGTATTCTGGGGATTGGCTCAGATTAGATTGAGGCTGAAGAAATTAAATTAATCTACATGAATTGAAAATGAATAAAGTAGCATACCTTCTGATTACTGATGTCATCTTTGAGTTGTTCAATAGTAGCTGTCATTAGACTTAGATCCTCACCCAATTTAGTAAGCTTCTCATTAAGGTCCATGATCTTCACCTCTACATCATCCAATTTAGACTCCTTCCCATCCGTCACATACCTGATAATACAACACAAATACAGAGAGATTATGAACAGCAAAAAAAGAAGAAAAACACAGGAGTGGTGTGTGATTTAGCTCTTAAAAGCTCCAAAAGTGTTCTGGTAAATTTAACAGAGCTCTAGTAAAAGAAACATTGAAAAAGGATATCTCTGTGAGAAAAAGTGTGATTATACAACATATCTTAACCCTTACTGTACTGGACCTTCCAGGCCCCCCCCCTCGACATTTTCAGAGATTGTGCCGTAACCGCTTGGAATTTTGAATTGTTGTTTCATGACTTTTTCCCCTCAAGTCTTACGCACATTTTGATACCATTTTCGTCTAAATCAGATATACCTGTAAGGTGTTACATAACAATTAGTATGCGCATGTCATCAAAAAATGCTATAATTGCATTTACATTTGTATTCATGTTCAAGCAGAAATGTGAATACAGGTTTAAATGTATTTCTTCCTAAGAGGGAGATATGAATTGATATCAAATTGCTTTTATATGTTTCTCAAAGTAACTTGATGTATTCCAGAACAAAAGAATATATTAGAAATAAAACAATATATATAATAAGAAATAAAAAACAATAAAATACATAAGAAAATGAATATTCGAAAATTGCATAAAATTTGCATAAATATCATTATTAAATACATAAAAATAACTATTTTGTGTTAGAAAAGAAGTTTCATATGAATAATGAGTTTCAACATTCAAAAAGTGGAGTCTGACAATTTTTGTAATGATTCTAGTTCCCTGTATAGTTCCAGATTTGATATTCATGAATGCTTAATTTGCGTATTCATAATTTATACAAATTAACCTATGCATTTTCAATAAATCATAAAAATAATGAAACCTCATGAATTTGAGATGAAGGAAACATTTATTCAATACATTTTCAAGATTCTTCACAAGTCTACAGCCAAATATGTAGAGTTTTCTGTAAAATGCATAAACTTCGCATTTTGCATAATTAATTAGGCTGTAACGACAAAAATTTGCATATTAGGAAAACACTAATTATACCATCTTGTTCCTTACGTAAATATCTACAAACATGCACATTTTCGTGTTCAGCTCATGTGAGCTCAAAATAGCCCAGTACAGTAAGGGTTAAAAGAACTCCAAGGAATAGATAGAGTACTACTGGAAGTGATTAATATCCCTGGCGGAATGATCAAAGATAACATACATTTTCCAAGGAAATGATACGCCCAATATATACGTTATGAGGTGGGTATAATGATCATGCCAAAATCTAGACAATAACATCTATTTCGAGGTGCCTTTGATGACCAAATTCTAAATCTAATTTCACCAACAATCAATGAAGGAAGACTGTGCTAGAAGTGTAGAAAGTTTTCAGAAAGTCTCTCTAAAAACAAACATGACATTAGAAATGAAAGGCCCCTAAAGAGAGGTAAGTAGAAGATGGACTTACTTTGCAATGTTTGATGTCCCTGCACGGATATCTCTCAGCTGCTGCTGGACCTCATCAATCTGAAAGAAACATATAGGTCATTCCATGAGGTTGGGGCAAAAACTATGATGATGTCCACATAAACATTGGTATGAGATCTTCTAGTACATACGGAAGATGAAATCATCTGTTGAAGATTTTAATGCAATGAATTTATATAGTAGTGTCTTGCCAGAATCATTCCTGTTTCAGTTGCTTCTCTTCAAAATCTTTGCTTAATATGCACTTTAAAAAAAAAACAGTGTTACACAGCTTCACATTTATATAACATCACATAAACTTTGGGTTTATAAAATTGATTCACCAAGAAGCTTGAGTACCGTTACTTCTAAACATAATTGGCAATGATTTCTATGCTAAACTCAATTTGAGCACTTTGTTATGGTTGATCGGACCAACAAAGGTCCTATGTATATTTATTGAGCTCTTTGTTATAAGAAACTGAATTGTGAAGCATATTACACTCACATCATCCTAAAATAAAAACCGCTGTGGTTAACTGCATCATATCTGAACAAGGCGTAAGAAAAGTGCTCCAGACTTGATAATCAAATTAAATGAAATGTATGATCCTATTTTGATGTATGTCCTCCCCTTTATAATACATACCTTCTCTCTGATTTCTTTGATTTCACTCTCTTTCTTCTGAGTGATAGCAACTTTATCTTGAGCTAACTTCTGAAGCTTGTCCTACCAGAAGAAGAAAAATAAACAAGCGTCAAGTATGGAACATTGTCAAGAAAAATCTAAACAACAACTATAAACAATGAAAACAAAAAAGATTTTCTAAACATTTCAAAACATCAGAGATTATTGACTTTCTGATGACATATGTATATCTCCTGGTGTAGTGAAGATAAACAAGAGAATCTGCTTAAACTTTTTTTTATTACAACGTCCAGAGAACTGGGTCAGTTAAAAATAACAATAATTTTGTGTATCCTGGGAAGCCTCATCAGCATCAATAATGTTCTTCCCGAGGGCTCTACAATTATTATTACCCCAGCAATTGCTAGATACATATTTACACCTGGGTGGAGAGTAGCAAATGTAGATTAATGTCTTGCCAAAGGACGTTAGTGCCAGACTGGGGTTCAAACCCTTGGCCTTTGGTGTTTAAGAGTCAAGTGAATGAACCACTATACCATGATATCTCCACATAGGTGATACACCTGTCGCTAGAAACACTACAAAGAGCTTATCACATCTTGCTTCTATCCAATCAGAAACTTAGGATGTGATAATCAAGATACCCAAGTAAATCAAACCAGTTTAATCATCCTTCTGACCAACGTCATTCTATTCAACATTTCAACTATTGCTGGGTTGGGTTTGCTTCACACATAAATATATGCAATTTTCCTCTTTGCCTACTAGTATATCTGATCATCGCATTGCCATTACCATCATTCTGGTGGTTTTTAACTTTTGTATTCCTGTAATTTCATTCTTGGGTGCCATTATAGTCAGATATGTGTGCTTTACAAATCTTAAATTATTATTATTACTATCATTCATTACACACAACAGTTTGACCAGATATCCAGCTTTAATACAAACTAATTATACAGAGTTATACACAGTGCGTAATGTGCCTAGACACACTACCAGTATGTAATTACCTTGATCGGTCTCTGTTCTTGTCTGGAATCCTGTTATGAGAGGGAAAAGGGCAAGAAAGAAAACGGAAGGGTAAACAAAAACATGTAATAATAAAAGGCTATAAACGTGGTTACTGGTACATCTAATTCTCTACTGTCTGCAAAGTAATGAATTATTATTCAAATAATGCTCAATTGTGACTTCTAAGTTTGTTAAGAAATATAAATAGAACGTAGCTGAAGGTATATAGTTAATCACCACCATCATCTTCATAGGGTATCAATACCAATACTCTTACACTACCTCCATCATCACAATCAATTTAATCACTATCCTCATCATCCTTATCGCAACTACTACAACCACCATCACAATTACCACTTTACCATCATCATCATCCTCCTCTTCCTCCCCATCATCATCACCTCAGCCAACATCACCACCACCACTACCACCATCATCATCATCGTCCCCCTCCTCCCCACCATCATCACCACTAGCAGCACCAACAACATCATCCCCCTCCTCCTTATCATCATCACCACCATGACCACCCCCACCACTACAACCACCACCACCACCACCATCCTCATCACCAACCCCAGCATCACCACTACAACCACCACCACCACCAACAACATCATCATCGTCATCACCACTACCACCACTCCATATTTCATATCCTCCTACCTCTATTTCTCTTTGGAATGTTCTAGTGTTTGTACTCAGTTCTGCTTGCTCACTCTCTAGTTTCTCTCTCTTCTGAAGCTTAGCAGATAGACGAAGTGTCTCACTGGTGATGCTATTGATGCTGATTCTCATCATGTTTACATTGTCAACATGTTCCTGTCTCTGACGTTGCTTCAACTCTAGGGTACTCCTCACTGTATTCCTTAAAAAAATAAAAATAAAAAAAGAAGAAAATGACTCTCTATTCATCTACCGGTATTCATTCATTAATGTAACTTATGAAATTTAAGAATGACCTTCAATGCAACCAACATTTAAGTAAAAATAACCAATCTCCTTTGTACATCATGAAACAATTTATTACATGCCTGTGCATTAATGAGAAGGCACATAGCAATGCTAAGGACTTGTTGGTGTAATGTAGACAAAAAGGTTCAGAAGAGTTTGATGCAGATCATTTTAAAATGAATGAGCGCCTACCTGGCAGCCCGCCCCCCCCCCCAACTCAGTGTAATTTAGGGTATGTGAATGCATGTTCCTTCCCTTTAAAAGCACCCTCTATCTCTGATGCGTAAAGTCAGATTTTTGTGTACTGCGATCCGGACTTTGTTGCGTGAAAAGTACCCCTTTACCAGCGATTTTGGAACGCGAATGCAGTCCCTCCAACCCCGGAGGGGGGGGGGGGGGGGGGGGGGGGGGCTGGGGCTTGGCAGATACCGGTGCTATTATCAGAACAAAAAAAATGTGACTCACAACTTGATCTTGACTTCTGCTGTCTCGGTGTTGACTTGTTGAAGAGTTCTGCTTATATCTGAGAAGAGAGAAACACACATACACACACACATGAATAACAAAGGACAGATTAAACTAATGTCTCTCGCAACAAATCAGTAAAAAATCTTTGGCAGTCATCCTTCAAAAAAATACCTGACATATTTTTTCCAAGATTCCAAAAGTTACTACAATGTAATAAAAATTTAGTTACTTGGTTAAATAAATATTATTTTCTGAATATTTTCTTATGCCTATTTCAATGTAATACAAAAAGATACATGTACACAAATTAGTTACATAACACAGAAAAATGAACCATAGATAGTTTTAGAAAATTGTGACAAAATGCAAAATCTTAGACAAGGAATACTGTACATTATAGTTACAGAGACATTATGTCCATCTTATAATCATGATCAAATTCTCACACTAACCAACATGTACACTAACAGCACAGTAGGAAAAGGAATTTCCTAATCACATGAATGCTAATCTATCTATCTCATCGTACCAGTGATAATAATCACTGCCTTCTTTCAAAATGTCCAATACATTCACCAGGCAAAAGAAAGACAGCTAACAACATAATTATTCATACCTCTTGTAAATTTGATGTCTCTTGTGCTTTTCATAACTCAATAATGAAAGGTGGACTGGTTGAATTAGGGCCTTTGTTTAATACATTTAGATGTAAGCTTTAAAATAGATGTCACATTCTCGAGAAACATAAATACAAGACATATCTAAATATAAGACAGATACATTTTTCACATAATTAAACAAATTCAAAACTTGGTAAGAGTACAAATAATTTCTTTTTAACTGGAATTACATTCTTGTACGAATTGCCTATACAGAATTGTTTTTACCTGATCCTGAGAAGTACTTGGACTGTTCTCCAATCTTGCGTTCTAGGTCTCGGAGCTCTGTGAGGGTCTTCTCTAGTATCTGGATATCTGGTTTCATATCCCTCGCCATCGCTTCATCAACCTGCAACATACTGACGTTATCTTCAGCCTACGGGAAAGAAAGATCAAGGGATAAAAAGACAGACAGAATTAGAGCTCTGGTTCATATCCCTCGCCATCGCTTCATCTATGACGAAATCAATTGCAGTTGAGAGGCACAGGATCACTATCACCACTACCAATATGAAAACATGTCATGGTATAAAGGCTACATCATCTGATATGAATCAGTAAGGCTTGTTCATGTACATCGCCCTCAAAACACAAAACAAACACTTTTGAGTGTAAAGGAATACCAACTGCTTGCAACAAAGCTCCTGCGCATATTCACTAAGCTCTGTGTTATAAGATACAGAAACGTGATGCGTACTACTCCTTACATCATCATAGAACTTACCTCCATAACGGTTGCATTGAGTTTTTCAATATCAGCATTGACAGCAGATAACTTCAGTTTGAGGTCTGGGATCTCTCGCTCTGACAGCTTCTTTGCCTGGAGAGAGAGAGAGAGAGAGAGAGAGAGAGAGAGTAGCAAAGTGGATTCAGCTAATGGTTTCTTTTCATCATCAATAGTGATCTGTCAGTTTATGACAGGCTCAATGACCCAATCAGAATTCTATATCAAAACAATTACTATGAAAATGAAGAATTTTGTCAATAAGTATTTTGTATTATATACCACATACTAAGAATCTTGCTCTACGATTGGTCAAAAGTAAATCACGTGATGAAAGATAGTTCGCCTATCTTTGATGGGAGAAGAAAAGTTTGTTGCACTATGTAGATAGCAGTACTATCTACACAGTGCAACGCACTTTAATTGTATACGTTGCGTATTGCTCTCCTCTTTAAGCGCTTTTAGTGTAAGTACCCAAACTTTTGTGACGGGTGAACTGTGGCCACACCACCATACTGCATACACTGTAAGTTTCGTACACAGTTTGCTAGCTGTTAAATGATGACTCGTTGCTCTTAAATGACGGAAGAAGTGAAATGTTTCCGATGTGGAATATAAAGCAAATAATCACCTTTTGGTTTCAGGCGATGGCAAACTATCACTTCCTCGGCGATCTGAATGTATACGCTTGCCTCTGAAGTGATAGTTTGACCCATCACCTTCACCAACGGTAATTATTTGCTTTTTATCCTCATATGTTGATCACCATCTGAGCTATTAACCTGTTGACTATTAAATTCTCTCATTCCCAAGGACTTAACATAGGAACCACCCGGTTCCTGTAGCCAATGGGTTGAGAGCTACTTGTAGTTTTTAAGGGGAACAACTTACAGCATCCTTAATTGGTCTGAGTACCAACAGACGATCAGATTTTTCCCTCTGCTTCGTAATGGTACGTTCCTTTTCTGCTAGCTTGCTTGGAGCCAGGCGAAGTTTGTCTTGAAGCTGGAGGTGTAAAACAAATATAAAAAACTTTTACTTTTCAACAAATTACAAACAAATTTAGTAGAGTGGAGAGAGAGCAAGGTGGAAAACAAAACAAATACATCATTTATTCCCAAGATGGAATTAGTATAAAAATACATGTAAAAAGAATTTCCTTGAATGTGTATGTACATGCCTCTGTTTGTGCAAAAATTTGTCACTGACACTAGGATCAAACTGGGTCTAAACTAATAGCAAAATAATAAATAAAAAAAAACAAATAAACATGACCAAAAAACAAAACAATACTGACAGAGCCCTGAAATGTTGCTCTGTAAAACTTGATACAACTGTAACATTTGATATTTAATTTACATTTAATGGTTTTACATCTTGCCTTCCATACTCTATGATTTACATCTCTTTTGCATCTATTTCAACTCATGACCTCCATTCCCCTCTCCACCTTCACACATCACTCTCATTGCCATTGCTACACCTTATTACTTCTGTTCCATTTCCACCTCTAATGTTACCATTTTCATTCCATTTCCACTTCACATGGTTCTATTGTTTAGTTCTAATTTATATTCAGGACACCTCATGATCCTCCTTCCATACTGTCAATTGGTTATTCCTTCTCCCTGGGTTCTTCCATTATCTTGTTCTATTCCATTTTATGTTTCTGATTTGTTCTTTATTTATAAAGTCACTTATGTTCTGATCTGTTAAACTTGAGTTTCTTCTTGTAAAAACAGTGCAACTCTGGATCTGATCTAGTCGAGACATCATCTTATTTACATCTCTTTTTAATTAGACTAAGCGGTTTATTTCTGGAGTGCAAGAGTTTACAAGTTGATTTAAGCAGGAGAGTTAAAGAGAAAAAAATTCATGAATTTACACAACATGAGGTTAAACATTAAGGTTTAGACCGTACCTCTTGAACGAGTTCCTGGACCTCTACTCCTGAATCAAAGCCACGATGACAGAGAGGACAGAGTGCATCAGTTCGTTGCAAAGATTGGATGTATCGATCAAACAGATGCTTGCTACCTGTCAACGCTCCACGCTCACTGCAATCAACACAAAAACAGCAGAAATGTAATGTTGAAAGTATGTACAAGCGTGACGAGCCAAACAAATTACAAATTACAAAATTGATTTCTGGATTGTTTCCTGACGAGGTATATTTTGTTTTCTTCTTTTCACACATCGGTACACTCTCGAAGGACTAGGATAAATCTCCGTTTATGTCATCAGATACCAAGATCTATCAAATCAAAGATAGATTAACAAGATTCGATATCATGCCATTATCATGATAGTATAAACTCATCATTAAAATTTGAATCTGCTCTTTATTGGCAAAGTTTTATCCAATCATAATGGCGGTCATCACTAAATATCAGCAGCAGCACCAAAATCATTCAATTCCAGGTGTTCTAGTGGATGATGAAGATGGTAGCAATGAGACATATCTGTAAAGCACTCAGAGACATCGTAGATGTATTAAGCGCTATATAAAAAGCGGCATATTATATTATTGTTATCATTACTCACTTCTGAAGACTGTTGATAGATTGTGTGATTTGTTGAATAGATTCATCGATATCTTCACTTCCACAAGCCGACATCAGCTGATCTGTGTTGCTTCTCAGTTCATCTTCTTTCTTCTTCAATTGGTCCCTGAAAGACAGAAGAGTTAACAAATTGGATAACTTATAAAAAGAAATTGTTAACAAAGCAAATATAAAAGCACATAAAACAACAGAATAGCAGCAAAACACTGTAGCAGACTCAGGATTTCGATTGCTCTGTCTGGGGGGGGGGGGGGGGGGGGTGGTGGGGGGACTTTCGCAGTCCTTTTATACAACTACCATTTTTTAGAGTCTAAGCATTCATAACTGTGTGTTGCACCTTCTTGATATCCTTTAGTTAAGTAACTAATGATATGTCATGTTTGATATTTACGTATATGCTTTCTGGACCCCATGGAAGAGCAGTAGTGTCGTGCCTGGCACAGCTGAATGTGGGTTATCCAGCTGTTTCGTTGATACTTATGTACATACTTGTATTGTATGCTATTTTTAATCAAATGGAAAATAAATACTACTACTACTAATAGCAATAATCAAACCTCTTCAGTATTTGAAGAGCCACAATGATAGTTCTAAACTCTCAAATAAATATTTTGTTTTCATTTTATTCATTGGCATATGTATGCCTTCGACATCTTTGACAACATCCCTTACTAAAATAAAAGGTATCAAATGTACCCTTAGATATTCAAGAGAAAGATGAAATACTCACATGATTGTTTTCTTGTTGGCCTGCTTAGCTGAGAGATCCATCCTGGCATGCTGAAGTTTATTATTACATCTCTTCACCTCTTCTGTCTTCTCACTAGAGTTAATCAAATTCAATTCAAACCATCATTTCACTAGCTAAACTTTGCAGACTTTTGAAAGATAATTACTAGTAAAATCAAAGTTTGGCCATCATCCGTAACTTTCATACAACTGTAATAAGTATTAAGCAGCATGCTTTTGATCTTTGAAACAAGTCATTGGACTTCTCTCCTTTCTGTATAATCTATATTGGAGACAACTTTAAAGAGCACAATGGTGGCTTGATAAATGGGATGCACAAAAATAATTCAGATTTCAGATTCAGATTAATTTTTATTGGTCCAATAGATAAAGTAATCAACTACATGTAATCTTTACTTCCTCCAGTAGATAAAAGGATTGTACAAATTATGAATACTTTTTGTTGTTGGACAATCAATGCTTAAAGGGATCCGGTAACTTTGTCTTCGATCCTTTAAAAAAACCCTTGATGTAGCTCATGCTGCAATGATAATTATAAACCTTTAGGTCAGTCAGGAACCCCATGACCTTTACAAGCCAATCGCCTGTCTGATTATCAAGATATTTATGATTGAAAATCGAAATCAAATTTTGCGTTTGCCAAACGGTTTTCATAACACTACAGTCTATCGGGAAAAACGAGTATGGTAAAACCGATCACTTAAAGGTTTTTACTTTTTTTGAGGCACTTCTTGATCATTTTGAAGCACAATTTTTTTAAGGCTTCAACGTAACACCATATCACAGACACCGACAACACGTAGGGCCATGCATCTCAGATTTAACATTGCTAAACGATCTTTTTCACATGATTTCATAAACCATAGCATGAACATATTGTAAAATGAAAATACATCAGAAGCAGTATATTAAAAAAAAATCCACATTTAGTTCTGAGTGCTTTATTAAGTCAGTAGTCAAGCACATAATTATAAAGAAAACTAAACTAAATATCTTACACAAGGTAATTGGAGAGCTTGGTTCTAATGTTCTCTGATGGGAAGTGACCAAGAAGATGCAACATTTCTTCATCACGCTTTCCTCTCCTATCGGGTTACAAAAAAAGACATGAATTAAATGGTGTATTTTAATAAAGAATAACAACAACAGCTTTAAAACATTGCTATATAAGCAGTTAAATGACTGAATTGTTGAAAGTGTCACTGATAAGAATTTGAAATTACATTAGTCAGAGAATTAAAGAAGGAGAGAGAGAATACTGTAAAGAAGAGAGGGAGAAGTAATGGGAGGGGAAGGGATGGTGGGGGAGAGGGGGAGAGGGGGAGAGGGGGAGAGGGGGAGAGGGGGAGAGGGGGAGAGGGGGAGAGGGGGAGAGGGGGAGAGGGGGAGAGGGGGAGAGGGGGAGAGGGGGAGAGGGGGAGAGGGGGAGAGGGGGAGAGGGGGAGAGGGGGAGAGGGGGAGAGGGGGAGAGGGGGAGAGGGGGAGAGGGGGAGAGGGGGAGAGGGGGAGAGGGGGAGAGGGGGAGAGGGGAGAGGGGAGAGGGGAGAGGGGAGAGGGGAGAGGGGAGAGGGGAGAGGGAGAGGGAGAGAGAGGGAGAGGGAGAAAGGGGGGAGGGGCGGTGGTGAGGAAAGAAAGAGGAAGAGCCACACAGTATTAAAGGATTTATCAAATACATTTTGATTGATTTCACACATGATATATTTACATAACAAGGATCTATGAATCAATGCATTTTTCCTTTAATTAAATTTAGAAGAGAGAGGGAAAAAGAAAAAAATTAAAAGTTTTTAATAGCAAAAGTAATAATAGGTCTAGGGAAACTATGGGGCTGGAAGCCGATATTTAAAAACGATATTTACAGAAGCAAAATATGTCAGAAAACTTAATTGGTAAAATATCTTATATAGCTCGTAATTCTCTTGGTTGTAATAAAAATAATAAGCTTACAACTTACAGGCTTCTTATCTGATTCTCTTTGATAGTTTTCTCTTTCTGCATCATCTCAAGTTTAGCTCTAGCCTGTGACTGAGATGAGATGGTTGTCAACTCATTCCTGTGGGGAAATTAATCATAGCATTAGCATCATCTAGGAAGACATATAGCTGGTTATATAAAAACTATCACAGGGTATTTCGCTTAATTGCAACACCCAGGTATTAAATGGGTACCGTGAAGGATGCAAAGTCATTGTAGTTTACTCGGCAACGTTACACTGATACATTGTTCATGTTTTTTTAATACATCAGCAATGTCTATAACAATATTATTCTGAATTCAAGTAGCACGATATAAATCCAGAATATCATTATTATGGCAAATGTGTAACTTAAAGCCTATATGCACTAGTTTGGCCAGGAGGAATTAGACCTCCCTGCGTGGTCACTGGCAGGTGATTCTGTGATTGAGGGGCGGGTATCAAACCGACTTACATGTGTAGGTATGATGTATTGCAATGGGATGAAGTATTTTGGAGGCTATAGATGAAATGCTTTCAAAAATGTGCATTTACTATAAGAGCACAATAAATTTTTGTGGTCAAAGATGTCTCAATTATTGTGAGCCTTATCTAATATCTTTCTAGATTTAACTGGTCAATCTATTTTATCTATGCTCCGTTTTGAAGACATATGTGGATTCAATCAATGACAGTTGGAGATATTGGCTTGGTCTAAGGAGATATTGGCTTGGTCTAAGGAGATATTGGCTTGGTCTAAGGATATATTGGCTTGTTCTAAGGAGATATTGGCTTGTTCTAAGGTGATATTGGTTTGTTCTAAGGAGATATTGGCTTGGTCTAAGGAGATATTGGCTTGGTCTAAGGTGATATTGGCTTGTTCTAAGGTGATATTGGCTTGTTCTAAGGTGATATTGGTTTGTTCTAAGGAGATATTGGCTTGGTCTAAGGAGATATTGGCTTGGTCTAAGGTGATATTGGCTTGTTCTAAGGTGATATTGGCTAGTTCTCAGGAGATATTGGCTTGGCCTAAGGAGATATTGGCTTGTTCTAAGGAGATATTGGCTTGGTCTAAGGTGATATTGGCTTGTTCTAAGGTGATATTGTCTTGGTCTAAGGAGATATTGGCTTGGCCTAAGGAGATATTGGCTTGGTCTAAGGAGATATTGGCTTGGTCTAAGGAGATATTGGCTTGTTCTAAGGTGATATTGGTTTGTTCTAAGGTGATATTGGCTTGTTCTAAGGTGATATTGGCTTGTTTAAGGTGATATTGGCTTGTTCTAAGGTGATATTGGCTTGGTCTAAGGAGATATTGGCTTGGCCTAAGGAGATATTGGCTTGGTCTAAGGAGATATTGGCTTGGTCTAAGGTGATATTGGCATGGTCTAAGGAGATATTGGCATGGTCTAAGGTGATATTGGCTTGGTCTAAGGTGATATTCGCTTGGTTTAAGGAGATATTGGCTTGTCATAAGGCGACTTACGTGAGCTGAGACATCCTCTTATCATACTGCTTTGCTTCTCTCTGTAAAGAATCAATCTCTTGTTTGATGTCATCAACATTGAGACTGCCCTCTAACTGAGTGAGCTCACTCTCCTGAAAGATAAACATCACAAGATGCATACTTCTCAATCTTTGATGCTATCACCTGTAGCTCAATACATAAATAGATGACGGTGATTAATAATAAAACAATTTTTTTTTTAGAGCGTTATTCACAACTGAACAATAATCAAAATGTTTTAAGTATGAAGTATTATATACCTCACTTAAGAAATCCAGCCATCTGATTGGTCGAATTGCATTCATAAACTTCAACTGTTCCTGTAAAATTCCCGGTAACCATGCATAAAACATTTCAATATTTTTAATAACCATGGTTATTAAAAAAATAGGTCAGTCTCCATGGTTACCCCATAGGTTTACATGTTAAAAAATGGTTTGAGCGATGGAGGATACCATACGTGTGCGAATAATTGGTCGGCAATTTCAATACAATTGAATCTCGATCGATCTTACCGACAATTTTATCTTGCATTGTTGACATGAAGACGAAATTAACTCTCAAAAACAAAAAAACAACATCTGCCGATAGATCTTGATCTAAGTTCGTGCCAATATGCATTGCAAAAGTAAAAGAAGGGTCCGTTTCATGGAGCTTTTGCGAAGCATTCATCACACGCAAAGCCGGTTTCAATCCATTTTAATGTATATATAATACAAAACTGCCTAACACGTTAATAACGCGCGATGGCCGAGAGGTCTGAGGCGCTGACTTTATAAACATCACCTTTTGTACGCAAGAGTTCGAATCTCATCTTGGACCAAAAAAAAAAGTATTTTTTATTTTTTATTTTTTAGTCTATTTTTTTTCGGCATATAAAAGTATTAATGACTGCTTTAATATTCGAGAAATAGTTGTTTTCATACGCTCTCGGGAAGGTTACAATTGGGCTATTCCCCTCGGCAAGCCTCGGGGAATAGCACAATTCTAACCTTCCCTTGAGCGTAATAAAACAACTATTTCTCTCAAAGCAGTCATTAATACTATACTGTATCATGTAGAATATACTGAAAATTACAAGTGAAAATAATAAACTCAGAAAAATATGCTAGTTATAAGTTGGACAAAACAAAAATTAATTTAATAAAGTCTCCATCTTTATTTGCATTTTCCCCTAACTATTGGTATATAAAGTACAAACCACAAACACATAATAATCTTTAATCTATGTATTAAAAAAAATACCCCCCCCCCCCCCCCAAAAAAAAAAAAAAAAAACAGGTAAAGACTTAAACAGGTACTTGACAATCATAAATGAGCAAGTGGACTTACAGCTGTTTTCTTCTCATTCTCTAGCTCCTTGAGTCTCTGTGAACTCTCTCCCATCGTGCTTAGCTCTCCCTTGATCTCTCGCAGCTTAGAGGTATTATCATTCTGCCGTCATGGAAAGAACAAAAGGTGTAATGGAAAATAGTTCAACCATTATCAGTTCAGTTCAGTTTAGTTTATTAAAAAACACCAGGCATAGCAATCATGAAGAACAAACATCATCCAAATTGAGACCCCCAAAAGCTATGCTTGTGACTGACCCCTGACATAGGCTTGTGATGTAATGAAATACTTTTCGACTGTTGTCATGAAAGTTGAACTAAAAGCTTGCAGTTCTTCTTAGGGATGGTTTGTTGCATACCAAATGTCTTTGTAGAACTTTCCTGTATCATAAGAAATGAAGTACAGTTGATGGGTAACAGTAATTTCATACACAACTGAGCATACAAAATAAACAAAGGGTACTTAGCTAGCTACTGCATTTGGATAGTAACCAATATGGACATTAACCAGAGAAAAAGAAAAAGAGAGATGGGCAGATGGAGTAGAGAAAGAGAGAGAGAGAGAGAGAGAAAGAAAGAAAGAAGGAGGGAAGGATAGATTGAGTAGAGAAAGAGAGAGAGAGAGAGAAATAGAGAAAGGAGGAGGGAGGGACAGATCGAGTAGAGAAAGAGAGAGAGATAGGAGGGAGGAGTAGATGGAGTAGAGAGAGAGAGAAAGAACTCACAATGGTAGCCATCTTCATCTTAATGGTTGTCTCTAGACCTGTGTAGGTAGCTCTGAGATCCTGTGACTGTTTGTCAACCCCCTTCTCCTTCTCTTCATGCTGAATCTTGATTCTCTCTGCTTCTCCCCTCTGAGCCTCCGTCCATTCCTTCACCTCCTCCATGAAATCACCCGCCCTGCTGGAGGTAAACTCTCCCGTCTCACTGTAACCAAGGAGATGAAGCTGGGTCGCTAGGCCACGCATCCTATGGTCTCGTCGACGGATCGTCTCTTGTTGTTGCTGCAAAGCAGGAATGAAAAGAAACTTGTAATTCCAAGTGATATTAAATAACAAGTCTATAAAGACTTTGCCTGACATGTCCGCAAGAAGTTCTTCTTCTGAACATATGTTCAGAAGATAGCCGCACCTGTACAATTGAATACAGATCAGAATATATAATTAACAAAAAACAAAAAAACAAAAAAACAAAAAACAAAAAACAAAAAAACAAACAAACAAAAAACAAACAAATGAACATTTCTAAATATATGAATTACCTGAGCTTCTTGTTGAAGGACTCCTTGAATGACGAGTAGCTTGGATTTCTCACTTGATGTCCTCTGCGCTGACTCCTGAAGTATCCTCTTCTTACCCTCATTCTGTGGAAAGAGGAGAGAGATCTCTTTAATCATCTTCCATTCTAAATTTTCCTTTTCCGTCTGTATGTTCAAGTCTGTACATAATCATAAGCTATGCACTTAGACGAAGAGAAGCATCATGCTATCAAAAAAGATCTTCTATGCTTTTATATCTTAGAGAATTCTGTTAATCTCTTCCGTGCCACTGGCAGCTAATCCTGCCCTAATTCATTTGTTGTTGTTGTTGATGAGTATGTCTGGACTTTAATAAATTGTCAACATTTTTATTCCTCAATCACAATCAGGTCGCTTCAATTGTGCAGTTTATATCCATGACAAGACACTGAATTTTAAAATTATCATGGAAACAAAGCATTGTAAGTCAAAATGTCACTCTAGAAAGATCATTTATGACATATATCCAAAATCTGTTGGAACCTACATGTATGTGGTCAAAGACGCATAGGGAATTAAACACTATTCGTTGTTCACTTGTTCAGATGCAACGTGGTAAACTATCGCAAAAACAAAACAAAACAAAATAGCTAAGGTCTTTTTTCTTTTCATGTTATTGAATGGCACAACTGCGGGCAACAAAGTTCCTGCATCTATTCACTCAGCTCCGTGTTGTAAGAAAGGAAACGTGAAGCGTATCATACACTTTACGTCATCATAAAAAAAATGCCATGGTTTCACTGCGTCATACCAGAGCCAGCCTTTAGAAAGGAACATTTCAATTATTACTTTGTAAATGTATACAGTATGCTCTATTCATTATATGTAAGATTTGAGCCTTACCTCTTGAAGTTGATGTTCTTTCTCAGTAATCTTACTCTGATGAGCGCTGTAGATCCTTCTTAATTCATCAACAGACCCTATCAATAAAATACACACATATATCAATGATCCAGAAGTATTCATTTCATTGCAATAAAAATGCAAAATGTCAACAAGAGCCGTACAAAACTTCTATTTACTGGTTGTCAAATTAGAACTATTTCTAAAAGTTCCGATGATCTATTCAAGTATCTCACACAGTTCCTGAGTAAATATTTTTGTATTGACAAACAAAAACATGAGCACAACAAATATACGCTCCAAACTGATTATAATATCCTTCATTATTGAATGATATTTTAAAACTGTTGAGGTGATGGGAGGGCTCACGGTCAATTGGGCAAAAAGAATTTCCGTTTCGGTTTAATAAAATTTGGAGTGGACTATTAGGCTATCATTATTATTATTATTATTATTATTATTATTATTATTACAAGAATGATGACTGTTTCCATGGTTACCTTGGAAGATGATTTCCAGCTGGTCTTCCACACTCTTCATGCCCTTTATCAGCTGGTCCTTCTCTCCTTCGTTTTTAGCTGGTGAGAAAGAGATCACAAAGGGAAACAAACACTCAGAACTATCTCTTTCAGATTTTAATTTTGCCTGATAGTCAAGCTTCTTACTAATACAATCATCTTCTTACAGTGAAAGCCTAAATGTTGGAATAGAAACAAAAAAGAAAATTGATCAGGACAGAGCAACTTGTTGGAATCAGAGGCTGTTTAAAAAAATATAATTTGACCTACTCTTCTCAAATTCGACAACTGGTCAGAGGACATTTTCCTTCTGCATATCATCTCCATACCATTGCTCCGCTGAAAGACTAAACTTTAATTTCCAATCCCTCTGATATTGTCTTTCTGTGTATTATATCATCTTGACAGCAGAATGCATCACGATAACAATATAATAGTAACATTTATACAGTGTTTAATACTAATGTGTCTGATGCTGCTTGTAAGTGTCGGCTTGCATGGTGCAGGGGTGATAGTGAGCACTAAAAAAAAAAAAAAGGTTTTTTGTTTTCCCCTCAACCACGTCCCCCTTAAGTAAAAAAAAAGAAGAGGATTCGCGGGGAAAAATGGCATCTAACAACATTCCTCCCTTTCGAGTAAGAAAATTTGGAAAAAAATAGGGCATAATAGGGCAGAATAGAGAAAATAAGGGGGGAATTGGGAAAATCAGGATAAAATAGGGAAGGAAAAAAAATCTTGGAAAAAAAAACAACAATCTGGATTGTTTTTTTTTAAAATGTTCTAATCGGGATGAAGAAAAAAGAAAACCGGGAAAAATTTAAAAAAATTGGGAACCGATTTAAATCAGATTTTTATCAGGCCTGATGGTGATGTAGATATAGAGTAGGCTTGCGGGTGCACCATGTGAGAGAGAGAGAGAAGATTGAGGAGTCCTGAAAAAGAGTCTGACTCGGTAATCAATGAACAAGCCGACCATCCATGTCCACTTCCCGATGACTCAAGCCCACACGGTCACCTATTTTTCTCTGACGTCCGCACCCCGGTGACTTAAGCTCACGCACGCCAGCTATTCTCCACTCCTGACGACGGATAGTCAACCTGTTTGAAACATTGAGCTACTCATCCTCTTCAAGCGCTATAGTTCTCCTTAGAACTTATAAGCTAAGAAAAATAACAAACAGTCCTTTTCAGGACTACACACCCCCAAGAAATATTACCAAGTCAGAGTCCTTTTCAGGACTCCTCAATCCTCTCTCTCTCTCTCACATGGTGCACCCGCAAAAGCCTACTCTATACTAATGTGTCTATTGCTGTATAGGAGAATGAGCTATTAACAACAACTTCTGTCTTCTTGCTAATCTCCCAACACTTCATATTAAGTTGTTGCTGTTGATGTTTATTTCCTAGTTGCTATTGTAATTGGATATGTTTCTGTATGTTTTGACATCCTTGCATATTGCAAATGTGTTAATTACAAGAACTGAACTGAACTAAGCTGTACTTTTATTACCCCAATATTAGCAGAGCTACCATATTACCTGATACGTTAGATTGATTACGAACATAAGATTAACACTTTGTTGACACTCTTACCGACTTCGTTTGCCAGCTTTGTAATCTGATAGGATTTCCTTACAAGGTCATCATATTGTTCCTAGAAGGAGTGAAAAGAGATAATAGTAGTAGGTTCTTGTACAGCTTTCAAATTTGACACTCCAGGGAAGTGTTTCACAAAGACTAAGATCCCCAGGTTTCATTTTGTCCGCCTTTGTGAATATGAACCATAGTAAACAGAGTACGGCTGTATAAGTTATAATAATAAATAATATTCATAATAGTAACATTCATAAAACGCTGACTACAAATGTTTCTAAGCTCTGTACCATAATTATCCAGCCTTAGCCGAGCTACACCGACTGATGAGGCTCTTTGGCATTCAAAGAACTTCTTCCTACCAGGTACCCATTTACATCACCTGGGTGGAGAGTGGCAAGTGTAGATTAAAGTCTTGCCAAAGGACATTAGTACCATTAAAAGGATGGATAAGATTATAGTACCTCGACTGGTTTTAGCTGATCATTGATTTTTGTGACTGATCCTTCGGCTGCTTCCAATCTTGCCTTCTTGTCATCTAATTCTCTGGATAGCTTCAAAACAGAAGAAAGAAAAAAAAAATCATAAATTTTACAAAAGACTGTAAAATACACCCCTACAGACATCCATACCTAATCAATATACTCACACAAAACAGTAACAACTGAACAATCTTTATATCTGTCATTACATGCTTTCATCATTTCATTTCTTTTATGACTTTAAATTGTTTGGTAAAAACCCATGGAATATAATGCTTCAGTATGTAAATCGCAGCTCAACTTTCACATTATTTTGTTTAATTTTCCTTAATTTGTTATGTATTTTATTCTGAATTTTAATGGAAAATAAATGAAATGAAATTATTTCAAAACAAATCTAAGTCCAATAACTAATGATTAACTCAATGGAGATGACATGAGATGAAACTTGGTGAAATGAATAAACAAAATCCATCTTACATATAAAATAGAAAATCAAATGAATCACCTGCTTAGCCTTTTCTCTCCAGTCTTTCAGATGTCTCGTCTCTAGTATGTACTCCCGGATTTGACCGCTCTGAATGAAACAAGGGGGCAATGACAAAGTTATCAAGAGCATATCGTCAAGTCTGAACTCAATCAAGTATATATCATCTTGAACAAAACAATCTAATGGCTTAATAAGAGGCACTTTGGAAGAGGGTTGAAATTACATTCACTTGTGACCCTAAAATTAACAGAAGATGGAAAAAATGGGAGAAAAGTAAGCAATCATTAAGAGAGGAATAAAAGAGCAATATAGGGAGAGACTGACAAAAAAGAGAGAAGATGAAGAGAGAGAGAGAGTGAGAGAGAGTGAGAGAGAGAGAGAGAGCGTGAGAGAAAGAGAGAGAGAGAGAGAGACAGACAGACAGAAAGAGAGGGGGAGAGAGAAGGGTGGAGGGGGCAAGAGGTAAAGAGAAAGGATCAGATGAAGATTTAGAAATGCTTATTACCTGCTCTGTCCTTAACTTTCTGATTGTTTCGAGAGCCTTGATGTACCTATGGATACAAATTTAACAGAAACACAATTAGTTTCCCTCAACCAAAGACAAAAAACTCTCAATAAAATGCAGATTTCTTGTCAGATAACCAACACAAACATAATACAGTGTACTATGAAAATTACATTTTTTGAAAAGGGGTTTAACCATACATATCAAAATGTGATATCAAAAATATAAACCACTAAACTGTGGTCGGAGCACAAATACATTTTGTTAAATTTTTCTATTTCTAAATTGTCTCCATGCTGTGGGCAGAAAATCCCCCTAAGGATTCTGGTGGTGAACTACATGTACATGTCAAGAAACAAATTAATTATCCAGTATACTCTTTCAGGAACAAACACTAGTAAATATATTTTAGCCAATTTATTTTAGACAAAAGGCCTTGTGTCAAAGACTAAGCATCTTGATAGGACTGCATTGACAACATTTTGATTGAGTTAACAATACAATCCACTTACCACCATGCCATAATACAAAATAATGTAAATTGAAGAGCAGTAATGCCTAAAATTGAAGTTACTCAATTGAAGTAACATTTAAAAAAAAAATTGTTACCTGGTGGCAGCAAATATCTCATCAAACTTTCCTTTGAGTGTCTTCCCATCACTGAGAGGCCTAAACAAGAAGAAGTGAGAAATTTAAAGGAAAACAAAAATTGTCGGAAGTCAGAAATCATGTCTTATACTTATTTCAGATAAAATACTTAAAGTTTTTAAATGTAGAACATATGGATACCTCCTTCATGTGACAAGATTTTATTTTTCTTTTATTTTGTGTTGGTATCAGTTTGTTCCTTTGTATTACCTGTTCTGTAATCATTTAGTCATTCTGAGATGCAGTGAACCACTTGATTGGCCCACCGGAGCTCTCACTGAGAGTCTGTTTTATCAGCATATTTTGGACTATGTTTGGTGATGCTCTAGCTCACATTTTGCAACTTAAATGTATACAAACAAAAAATCATCACATTGAAGTAATCAATCACAGTTCCTTTGCAGTAATGGTGTTTCTCTGTGAGGTGCTATAACAAAAGTTCTGATGAGCATAGCATCTTCTTTACCAATGTACAAGCTGTTGAATCTTTTCAAAACAGATATATGGTGCCATATACGGTAAATGGTGTGAATTGTCTGTATCATCACCTTGCATCAGCTTCTGTTAAAATTCACACAAATCTATGCTTGTCTGATTTATAATAACATACTGGTAGTTACATTAAAATAGCATGTAATAATGTTTCTAAGCAACAAAGTTATTCAAGTCAGTGGATTTCCAGCCACAAAACACCTGTGAACAATATTTCCCGCAAAAGATTCCTACCATATTTCCACCGTTGACATGCATGCATGAATGCAACACAACAGCAAACTGGCAACCAACTTATATTTTTAATCATTCGGAAGCTCCCAATCCGTGATGAGACATTTGTTTCTGCAACTTACTACAAGCAAACCTATAGGGTTAGGGTTTGGATTACAATTGCGCTTACGACAAGGTTTAGGGTTAGGGTTAGGATTAGTATTGGTTATAGTGTTGGATCCCAGCTTGAAGTTAGTTAGTGTAGGAAATTGCCATGGAGCAAATGATGCAGGATCATTGGCAAAATAGAGAGATATGTCCCCTTAAATGAGGAAAGTGTCATGGTCGGGATTTGACCATATAATTTGTGACTAATCCAAGGGACCACAACACATAGTGGAAGAAAGATAATCTTACCAGTTAGCGTCTTCCTGATGGCAGAAGATGACATTGCTAAGAACTGGTTTGGACACACCAAGACTCTCCACCATCTAGACAAATATCATCAAAAAGATGGTGTCATAATGATGTCTTTTACATGAATGAAATCAATAGATATTATAACAAAACAATCAAATCCTTCACTGCTAAGCAACAAAAATAAACTCCCCAAACCAAAGAGGAATGAAGAGAAAGAAGAAGAAAAAGAAAAAGCAGAAGAAAAGGAAGAGGAAGAGGAAGGAGGAGGAGGAGGAGGAGGAAGAGGAGGAGGAGGGGGAGGGGAGGAGGGGAGGAGGAGGAGGAGGAGGAGGAGGAGGAGGAGGAGGAGGAGGAGGAGGAGGAGGAGGAGGAGGAGGATGAGGAGGAGAAGAAGAAGAAGAAATAAGATGAGGAAGAAAATGAGGAAGAAAAAGAGGAAGAAAGAGGAATGAATGGAAGGCAAAGAAGAAGAAGAAGAAGGGGACTGAGGAGGAGGAGGAAGAGTAGGAGGAGGAGCAGGAGGAGCAGGAGGAGGAGAAGGAAGAGAAGGATGAGGAGGAGGAGGCAAAGGAGCAGGAGGAGGAGAAAGAGGAGGAGCAGGATGAGCAAGAGGAGGAGCAAGAGGAGGAAGAGGAGGAGGAGGAGGAGGAGGAGGAGGAGGAGGAGGAGGAGGACGGTGACAAAGAAAAAACCCAGTGTGTATCAACTTACATGGAAAGACATAAAGACAAAAGTATGGTAGTATATACATGTATCATCATGAACAACGACAGTATCATAAAAATGGGCAGAAAAATATGAAATATTATTACCTCTCGATCTATTTCTGCACATCTTGAACTGATGCTGTGTTTCTGGAAATGAAAATTGAGTATACAAGGAGAAACAATTAATGCTGAATTTGTTGATATATTTTGATTTGTATGATTTGATGCAAATAAGTAGCTCTTACAATGATTATATTCCTTGGGTAACAGATAACCAATTACTGGACAGTACCATCTCACCTATCTGTACCCTTCAACTATTTTCATGAAATGACTGGTAATCCTATACATGAAAATAAAGAATGGAATGGCATTAAAAGAGAAATTACACAAGATATATTTTCATTGCAACATAGATGTACTTTCAATAAATCTTCACAGAAAAATGACAGGTTAAGCATTTGCCTCACGTATTGAAACAAATCTCAAGAAATCTACTATCATCCAAATAGATATTGCTTTGTTAGGCAATTCTTCAATATGTTTCTATACATATATATTATTAAATATCTTACCTCTCCAAAGTTGTCCACTCTCAGAATAGTTCCTTCCAAAGATTTGAATTCAATTTTCTTTATCTACAATCAAAGAAGAAGAATGGCATAACGGTATAAGGCCTACAATGAATGCCTTTCTGGGAATGACATAAACGTTCATGACATGTAGATTCCAAATACATTGAGAAGAAACACATCATTTTCAGTCTACTTCAGTTATAAAGCAATCACTACTTGATATCAACCCTTAAAACTGTCAGCATAGGCTTAATCAAAAAGTTGTTTCAGCAAAACATCAAGTGCGATGAATGAACTCATCAATATCCTACAAATGTCATAAGTTTTTAATGAATTTGCCAAATTGTTAATACTGTCTTCGCATTGGAAGATAAAGGTGATTTGTATAAAACTGTAAAACCCATCAAGACAAGTGCTGGATACGTGTTCATGAAAGTTATGTAATCATAACTACTTTCTGCACCGATGGTACATTCTGTGATACAAAGATGGAAGTATTCTTTTCAAGAAGTCAAACAAAAGGTATTTACGAAGCACCTCTATCACTTTGGCAGTGATTATTCTAAAATGCATGAAGTGGGAGTTCTCAACGTTTAACAGATCTGTGGATATTTAGGGTCCTTTGAATCATATCCCATCTCCAAACTGGTCTGTTACATAGTGATATGGCATTCACCTTTTGAGTAGCTACCAAACTTCTGGTAACAACGACATCCTTCCCCGCCTTGTCCTTGAAACGCAACTTGACCTGAGCTTTGACCTCCGTCTCATGAGCCACCTGATCATGTGATAAAGAATGACAGAGAAATCATAAAAAGCTATAGCAAGCAGGTTATCGCCGGAATCTTACATCTAATTATGGAGGGGGGGGGGGATAAAACTTGTTAGTTAATCTTAATATTTCTAGAAAAATAACACGTTAAAATAAAATTGGCCTACATACATGTACATATAATATGGCCTCTAAAGTTATAGACAATGTCAGGTTTCAAGATTAATAGTACACTCATGTCTGGCTGAAGGAGCTCTTTGTTGAATATGTTCAACTTGAATACCTGCAGGCTGCATCTACATGTATTAAAATGATGTATGTGCAGTTACAGTACATGAGTACATTGACCTTTGTTTCAATATCATTTTTATTAACAATCATTATTATCAACAAAGGAAGAACATGTAATAGTATCTGCAGTTGTACATATACTATTTTTTTTTTAAAGTAGAAAAGAGAAAAAGCAGGGCTAATACTTCATATTATGGAATACTATGCTACTACATATACATGTAGGTTATACATTTTCAGACTGGTTATCAGCAATATACCAGGTATTGAATGGCTGAAGAAAAAAAAATCTAAATAAATTATTTTCTCTTGACAATGTTTTTCCTAAGCACTGTACATTTTGAAGAAAATAGAAATATATTTATCCTGTAACACATAGTCCCTCATTGACAGATCCCTGTAATCAAGCACCCCAGAATTCTAGACATTTAATAACCAAGAATATTTTTAAACACCAGTACATGAACCTTAAATGCTATTAGAAGTGTAATACTTTACCTTAGGGTCATGTATGAAAGCTGCTCCCTTGCTCCCTGGAGGGAATTCACCTGAACAGATGTATTTCAGGCATTCAATAATCGTCTGTCAAGATTGATAAGAATAGTTTATTTCATCATTACTTGTAAGTACATCATCAAATTATTATAACAGACCCAAGCTCAGTATAATAATCATTATCACCTGTAGTGTTAATTAAAGGGGAAGACCACTCTGATATTACGTTGGTTTTTATAGATGCAGAACAAAGAGAGGAACTGGTCAGTGAGAGTGAGCAAAATCCGATGACAAATATAAAAGGTATGAATTGCCAATTTGTGTTTCACTGATGACAACTTCAAAAATTCATGACTTTCCTATTTTAAATCGGATATGACTCAAACTTTCACGTATTTCTTTCTCTTGTTTTTTTTATTTTCTTAATAGGTGTACCAGCTAATTATTAGGTTGGACTTCCCCTTCAAGTATTCTTCAAGTCTGCACATGCCACACAGTGTTGACCAACTCCTATGGGAGCGTATGCATTCTAAAAAAGCATTTGTTGTTGTTGTTGCTGATTCAGCATAAACAAGAAGTGACCAGGGGCCATATTCTGAACCCTGTATTAAGCAAATATTAAACGACTACGAGGGTAATGGTACAAACTATCATTGCCGAGGTGATCTCGGGGGCCTACTATCATCCCCAGCCGCAAGGCGAGGGATGATGGTAGCCCCAAGATCACCGAGGCGATGATAGTTTGTATCCATTGCCCGAGTAAACAGGGCTCGAAATTAGCGGTTGCCCGGGTGCCATTGACCACCTAAAACGGCACCGGGCAACCTAAAACTCCCGTCTTGGCTGCCCGGCTGGCAACCAAAAAATTAAGCCCAAATTCCGATTACTGGGATGGGGCGACATCAAGAAATGAAATGATCTCAAATCGCCCCCGTAAAATAACGGTTACGAGCGGACGCTCTCTACTACTAAACTTTGTATTCATTGTGTGCATTTCTTGGTCGGCGCATATGCGCGCGTTGAATCTCTGTATCAAACTGTATACACAAATGTGGTCGTAAAAAACTTGATTCACCTGGCTTACCAAGTCGCATGCACATGTACGCGAAAACACGTAAAGTTTCGCGGTTGCGAGACGGAGCGTAGGGATCAAGTTTTTGGTGGTCGATTTTGTTTTGACAGATCATATTAGCGGAATTAACCTAGACCATTTGCTAAACATTGCTACACATCGCGAAACTGCAATCAATTTCCACCATGATTGCTGCAATTTTATATAGTTTTCGTGAATAGAGGTATGAAATCAAAGCTTATTTTGTGATTATTCTCGCCATTTTAACGGATTTTGATAATCACCTTTCAAAGTAAAGTTTTCACAAGAAAATCAGAGAAAATCATTGAGTCCACACACATACAGTGCAGTGCAGCTGCTGTGTGTGTGAGCTGAGCTGAGCTAGCTATAGCGCTAGACTAGAGTCGAAGAGACTTGACAATCGACAACACACTATCTGTTTGCATCATTATTGCCGCGATTTCAATATAGTTTTGTGAATAGAGGTATGAAACCCTGAGTTTAGAACTAGTAAAAGTATTTCTAATGTCTTTGTTTTAAAAGACTGTCTGATTTTTTTGTGAAATTTTACTTTGAAAAATGATTATCGAAATTCAGTAGACTTTCTAGATCTAGATCTAGAATCTAGATCTAGAACTTCTAGATATGGCCAGAATAATCATAATCTATTATTAGACCTAGATCTAGGTCTATGTAAGAATATTATTCTTGCATCAATTATGCATTAAAACTTAGTTTTTTTAACTAGATAAATGCTTTCTAAATGGGTAATTATGAAGCAGGAAGCCCGAAACCTTAGCCTACTACAAAAATCTCAACAAACTATCCTTTTATGAATTAATGAAAAAGTAGCCATAGAAAAAGAGCCCTCGAAATGTAAAAAATGCCCCCAGAAGTTGAAAAAGTAGCCCCCCAAAATTTAAAATGGAGCCCCCGAAATGAAAAACTTAATTGTTTCCCTGACTGGTGTACCGGGCACTGAGTTAATTATGATTTTTTTATAGTTTATTTTAATTCAAGATTTCAGGTAGCGCCCCTTATAAAAAAGTACCATGGTAACCATGGATTTTTTGTGGTCCAAATTACCATCTACCATGGTTACCATGGTATCAAACAATGATAAACATAGGGTCATCAAACAATGTATTTTATTGTTTGGTACCATGGTTACCATGGTGAATGGTAATTTGGACCGCGCGACGGACCCGATGGCAGATTTATGCACCTACACAAACCTCTTTAAACGTATTCACTGTGACCACCTAAACTGCCATTTGGCAACCTAAAAAACTGTACAGGATGCCCGGCTGGCAACCAAAAAAAAAAGTTAAGTGAGAGCCCTGGAAAGGAGGTTAATATTTGCTTTATATCCCACATCGGCAATAAGGTCTATTTAAAGTGAATTTTACACAAGAACTGCAGACAGTTTCGCTTCAGCTAGATTTTACAGAGCGCAACATGCATACAATGTAACAAAGTCGATGCGCGCTCATTTGACATTGACATTGACATTTCGCGTAACCTACTTTGCTACACGTATTCAATGGCAAGTGGGGCAGCAGTAAAAAGTTCCCTTACAAAAGACCTATCTCAGGTAGATAGTACTTATCTATCTTTTATCACGTGACCTCGTTTAGACCTAGACCAATCAGATTGCAAGATTCTTAGCATGCGGGATATAAGAACTATTATCTCTAATATTGTTGTAGCTTTGGAGATAAGTTAAAGTTGGACAAATGACAGTTTTATTAAAGAAATCAGCATTTCAGACGGTTATTTCTGTCGAATTGTCATGAGGCCCTAATTAGGCTTGCTTAGCCTAGGCTAGGGAGCTCAGTTCCGAAGCGAAGCGAAGACGGCGGCGGCGGAGCTGAGCCCCTGGCCTGATATGGGCTGAAGATAGACCTCACACTCACAGACACAGTGACAGTCACAACCACGGCGCGTCCGACCCACACCATACAAAATATACATACGGGCACGCGGCTGGGGTGAACTTACCGTTTTCCCCGCTCCATTTTGACCCACGATGAGTGTTAGAGGATGGAAGAACTGGATGACTTGACGGTCACCATCATCTTGCCCAAAACTCCTGATTCCTTGAATGCTCAATTTCTCAACAGACGACATATTTCTGACAAATCGACTTCCTTCGCTCACACCGCGACGACCTATCCGCGGAGCATGCACGTATTTCGCATTGCGCGGGTATAAGTTTTTTTTATGCACTTAAGTTTAATTTATTTTCAGACTCTTACGCTCTAATTTTTACTTAAAATGTAGGTTTAATCAACTAAATTCAATAATATTAGACTTTATATTCCTATTAAAGTATAGAAAATATAAAAACCTTATATAAAAAATAATATCACAAAAGAAAATTAGATTTTACACTTCCAACATTTCTTTTTATCATCAATATCACCTTGATAGAGACTGTATAGATGGGGAATCCCCACCACTAGCATGATCTCTACAGAAAACACCAAAAAACTTCGTAGCTCTGGATTACCCGTCAGCTCTTGTACAAAATAACTATCGTGATTTATTAGGCAGCTGATCCGATCGTACCGCGCTGATCTGGCAGGAAGTAGCGATGAGGGGTTTTCATGGATCAGTAGATCATATCAGTAGATTATATCATAAAAAAACTATGTTTTTTGAAGAGTACGAATTAATAAATAGTAAAAAAAAACGAAAAAAAAAAAAAACGATCCGTTTTAGACAGGACACGCACGTCCCCCGACAATTCAGAGATCATCACCCACCCCTGGTAATAATCAATTGAGGCAAGTTCTCGACAATCACTATTTAATATCAGCAGGCCTATTATCGCTATAAAGCCTGGTGTAATAATTAAAATGGGGAAAATGTAAGACAGGCTAGAATGCCAGCGTTTGCAAAGCTTTACAATAAAACATTCAGGATCGGCAATCTCATTGTGGATTCACAATTAACAGGAAAATCAAGGGGCCCCCTGAAAAATGTAAAAATAGCCCAAACTTAAAATAAAGGTTTATTCAAGGTATATTCAACAGGATGAAAAAAGAAAAGAAAATGGATACAAAATTGATCAGCAAGGGACACCCCTAGAAAAGGAGGTGTCAAACCTTCAAGGGTGTCTATTAGATGTCCTGAGAGAGAGTCCTGGCCGCCATTGTCCTCGAACTATAGTATAGTAGTATAGTATTTATTTTCCGTTTTAAAAACAAACATATAATACAAGTATATACATAGTGTAAATAAAACGGCTGGATAGCCCATATTCAGCTGTGCCAGGCACGACACTGCTGGTCTTCCATGGGGTCCAGGAATCATATACATAAATATAAAATATGACGTACAATTATTTACTAAATTAAACTGATGTACACATTAACCCATGCATCCTTGCACCTTTAATACCATGTAAAATACTTAGTTGCTGGGAATCTTATCAAGGAGTTCAATTTAAATTCGTATAGAATAAAGAAACTAATGATTGTCTGAAAGGACCAGTCCACTGTGTCTTTATATATCTGATTTTTGATTTATTGATTCCTGTATTATCTTTTCAAACCTATATACATATTTATGCGCATTAATGTAACTTTAAAATTTGCTAATTTCCATTTAATATATATTTTTCCACCACAACACATGACATTTTATAAAAAAGGAGGAAATTTAGTTACACGCTTAAAATGCATAATTAAAGATGGGTATAGCGTACACTTGTAGCTTGATGCGATTGCAGCCACCCCCTTATTTTTTACTAAAAAGTTGTAGAAGTACATATTTTGTAGAAAATGTTTACTTCCTGTTTTCTTCCTGTATAGAAGCTCGTAAAGTACTCACAAAAATTACATAGGCCTAAATGGGAAATGATCTTATCATTACATAACGCTACATTAGCATTTGTTTTAAACCTAGCTTCATTTATTTTATTCATACGAGTCTTCTCTTTTTAAAGATTTATTATATATAACCTTACATACACACACATCAATATGACAATATTCTACAAAAGAAACTTACATTACCTACTCTTTACAATCATAAAAAAAGAAAAGGAATCTCCAATATCAATAGTCGATCAAAATTTCATTGTGGCCATATATAATATTTATGTTAAAAAAAAAAAACATTATAGTAAAAGAAACATAGGTGGACGAATCCACAAAACAATGCAATTACTCATGATCATATATACTGAAAGATTTCCTTAGTAATCTACCTCCACTCGTAATCGTACTATCATGACTATACAAACAAAACATAGGCCTATAAATAATCATTAATGCGCCATATGAATGCAGACACTATGATATATAAATCTATACAGGTACATACAACTCTTTTCTACTGTCCTTTCATAAAAGTAATATAAATTGCATGCACAAATCCTTGTCATTCACACAACACAGTGGCTGACATGTAAGACTATTATGTAGTAATATATCAAAAATAGCTCACTTTATATTCGTATCAAACTGTTTGATGAACCCCAGAGTCAATTCGCTTAGCAAGTAACTTGAATATGTTCACTTTTTTGTTTGTTTTTTGAAACGTTATTCATTTTTATTGTTTATTTTTGTATTTTCATCTGTTTATTCATATTTATTTTAATGTACCATCTACTCTCTAAAAAAATCGAGTGATCACGGACGTCAATCCTCTGGAGAGTGAAAATGTAGTGAAAATAGAGTGAACATTTACTCTTTTCTTCTAGAGAGCACTCTAAAATCAATCGATTTTCACTTCTAAACAAATGATCACGGACGTCACTCCCAAGAAAGTGAAAATAGAGTGAAAATTCACTCTTTTTTTAAAGAGAGTACGGACATGCTGAAAACAGCTATGCCAAGCTATTGAAATCTCTTTTAATCACCGTATTTAAATAAATAAACAAACAAACAAAAGACTACACGGTCTCCTTAGTTTGCAGGCACACACCCTTGTCATTCGTTGTACGTAACAGTGTCTGCAAAATGAAACTACAGTAGGCCTTGTACTGACAAAAACGGACATATAGGCTCTGCTCGAGGCTTTGTATGGAAATTGTGGAAATTGTCAAAATAAGGTTCGTGTCTTCAGACTATACGAAAGGTAGCAATAAATGTGATGAATGAATGATTATCTACATGCAATGTCAATAATAAATTAAAATCATTTATATGTCATCAATATGGATGTTCAGCTCTTTGTAACTAATCAACATGTGAAATCTGCCATCTTTAAAAATATAATGTCATTGTTTGAAGTGACAATTCAAAACGTAATCCTTACCACGCCCTCAAGCTTAGCTTATGTGGCAATCCTTTGTGATTATTTTATTTTAGTATTACAATGTAAATATTTCATATTGATTATGTTGTAATTAGTTTGTAACTTTGGTAAAAGACGATGAGAAAATTAAAACGAGTTAAAAAAATTATCTATATATTATTAAATCGTATGTAATTCATTCTAGATAAACATCAGATAACACATGTATGAATATAATTGCACTGACACACTACACTATGGCTATCAAAATCAAAATCAAATCGATTATATATAGGATCTAAATTTGACCTTCTTTCACTTCCGAAACTTCATAGTCCAAATGACTCACATGAATTCGATTTAAAGCTATGTTATTACATACTCCATAATGCACATCATTATTGACAATTATAAGGGGACCTGATCTCCATATATTTATCCTTTAAGATGTTGTTATAAAACAAATAAATTGCATCGATATCAGGTTTATTCGGCCGCTCACGAATTGCCATTTTGAAATTTAACAATAAAGCAGACAATATGGATTTTATGGAACAGATTTGATTAAAGATATGTTTCAAAGTTATTGTCATTATTATCATATAGGCTTTCGTTAAAAAAAGTTTATACTTTGTTAAGAATCACTCTGCTCGGTCGCTGTATGGCCTCGCTCTTCACACAATAATGGATAGGAGGAAAGGGAAATGGTAGGTATGTTTTTTTTTTAATTAAAAGGGGGGAGGTAAAATAGTAAAGGTCTCACACAGTTTTTTTCAGGTTTGATAATCCATCTCCTATTAGGAATATTCATCACATCCTGTTGATGAAATGCACTTAGCAACCTTCACTCTTGAAATATACAATCACAATAATTGTGCATTGATTGTTATACCCATGCATCTTATGTGGATTTGCTATTAAATATATTAATATTTTTAATGTCGCTTAACGAATCTTTTTGAAATATTATGGATTCGTACTTAACAGCTCTAGCTAGTTTTGCCGATGAAACTCGGTCCATAACTTCTTGCAGGAGACGATCACGATCATCTCCATCGACACAGGTGTCATGTTCTGCAGATGGGTTTCCTTGATGCGAGTTTCCTCGAGGTGGGTTTCCTGAAGTCGAGTTTAGTCGAATGTTGTCATTTTTACGTAGTTTACATCCAGCTACAATGATTATAACCATAAGCACGAACCCACCAGCTACGATGCCAGCAATCATTGCCACAGTAAGCGCCTTTACATGAACAGGGTATACGAACGCTTGTGTACCATCCGAAGAACGACAGGTGTAATTACCAGATAGCTCAGGAGTGGTCTTCCATACAACCAATGAGTCGCTGTTGGTCAAGCAAAATGCATCTTCACAATCACCATGTTCCTGGAGGCTACGTCCATCTGGAGTCACCCAGGAAGCACCAGCAAAGGGACATGTAAGTTTCAATTGCTGTCCTTGCTCCACTGACCAAATTGTGTTGTTTGGTTGGCACTGTGGAAGACCATCTTTGTAAACGTGTTCAAGGGTTAGGTTAAATAACTTACTAGGCGTGCGGCAACGCCCTTCGCATATTTTACCACGATCCAACCATGATGAAATCCAATTCAGATGACAGTCGCATCGCAGTAGATTGTTATCAAGATGAATGTTCTTGTGTTGAACATCAGACCCCCTAAGAGATCCAGGGGAGAACACAGGTTGAGGCATTCCTTTGATTCTGTTGCCCTCTAAATCAAGTGTGACCAAGCTCTTCAAACCATTAAACGCATATCGATGAATTTCTGTAATCAGATTTTTTGACATATTTATTTTCGTCAACAATGGTGCATGGATGAAAGTATCTGCTTTGATTTGAGTCAATCTGTTACTGGAAAGATCAAGGACATACAGGTGATCCAGGTCGAGGAAACTTTCCTTAAAAATTTCTGTGATGACATTGCCTTTCAAAGAAAGATACTTTAAATTTTTCAAACCAGAGAATGTCCCATTTTCGAGTGCATGGATCTTGTTTTTAGCTGTGCCTTCGAGCGTAAGATTTGTCAAGTTATGTAGACTAGAGAACATATATGTTTCCAGGACACGCATAAAATTATCGTACAAAACCAATTTGTGAAGCGTTTCTAGTCCCTTAAATCCACCACTTTTAACGGACTGCATGCCAGATATTTTCAAATGTTTTAGCTGTTGAAATTTCTGGATAGCCGCAGCAGCTCTAAGAACGACTGGTTGAGAGTAATTCAGCTCAAGATGCACAATATACTGGAGTATGTGGACTGGAATTATCCCATATTCTGGACAGGTACATCTTTCAGGCAATGTCATTGGTACACAAGTGCAGTTTTGTGGACACGATGTACAAGCGGTACAAACGTACGGGCACACAAGGAGGGCTACAAATAAACCTACTAAACATCCCATCGGGTGATATTTGTTGATGTTACCTGCCATCCTTAACTCCAATGATATCATTTCATCAAACAGATCTCTCACTGACACCTACTCAATGAACGTGAGTAATGTCGGGCTGAAAATATAAACAGACAAACAAAACACTTGAGGAATAATATATTGGTATGGCTGCTCGACTAAATCAATAAAAATCACTGAATTCTAATCCAGAATTATAACTTCAGAGTCAGTAGTAGTTATTGGGCTCCATATTAATACGTACAACTTGATTCCTTTGATGCCGTTGAACGGGGTGCAGGGGCGGATCCATGAAAATCTATTCAGATTCATACAACTGTAGAGTCGAGTAACCAGAGTTACATATTGTACGATGATAGCAAGGTGTTTCGTAGACACTATAAATCAGGCACGTACGCAGGGTTTATTCAAGGGGGGGGGGGGGGTAAAATTTGAAGATCACGTCGAAAATTTCGCAACGACTCAGCCGGGGGCGAGGGAGGAGGAGAAGGCGGGGGTAAGAGGACTTTTTTTTTTGTGTGTGTCTCAAAATTTGAAAATTTAGTCGATCAATATTTCGTTTCTTCGGGGGGGGGGGGGGGAGAGGGTAAGGTCGGCTTTTTGGGTCACCCATTATCATTATTTTTTTTTATTATTATTATTGTATTTTTTACAACAAAAAAAAAGGGGGGGGGTTCCTCCAAAACCCACACATAAACAATTTAAGGGGGGGGGGGGTTCAACCCCAACACCCCCTCCCTGCGTACGCGCCTGCTATAAATAGGAGCCTAAATAAAAACCAAAGCTTCTACAAAATCAGGTTCCTTTGAAGAGTAATATTATATAGTCTGAATATTCAGTAACAGGTTAAACGGTAAAGTAGTACCAAATTTAAGAAACGTAAAAGGAGAACAATTAAACATCCGAGTAAGGAAAGAAATGAGGAAGAAGGAGAAAAGGAGGAGGAGGGAGGAGGAGGAGGGAGGAGGAGGAGGGAGGAGGAGGAGGAGGAGGAGGAAGACTAATAATAAGTAGTATAGTATAGTACGTAGTATTATTAGTAGTAGAAAGAAGAAAAATTAATTCATGTAGTCATTTGACTGAGCAAACTCACCCTGGAGTCGAAGTGAATAGAAACTTCTTCTTTTTTTTTTCTTTTTTTTCTTTATAGAAATACAGGTATTTTTAATTGGACTATACTTGTGTACATCCTCAAATTTATATGATCATTCTTCCTCAGGAATAACATACGTAGTATACGTAGTGAGGTTTTGATGTTAGGGCAAACGTTTCAGACGTCATCTCAAGTTTGAATCATAATTGTTTCAGGATATCATATGCTATTTCACATGGAAGTATAATATGTAAACTGCTTTCCAACTTGTTAGTTATGGTTGTAGTGCAATTATTAATAATGAAAATTTTCATCCTTTTTTATGGTAATAAAAAAGAGTAAACTTATGCGACTGACTGCAACGACGTTTATTTCTTATTTCTTGGAACTACTTTCAAATATAAAACAAACACACACGCACAAGCCCACTCGCACAACCCACAAACACACTCACACACCCTCTCAAAACGAACTTTCAAAAACGATCCACTGGAACCAGACACGTAGCCACGGGGGGGGGGGGGGGGGGCACGTGCCCCCAATTTTTTTCTCCAAGATCCGTTGAACTTTTTAAGACCCCTCCCCAGGACGTCGATCGATTACATGTATGTGCCCCCCCCGAAGTGCTACGGCACTGACTGGGACAACATTCACATTGAAAATAACACATACACACAACATACAATGCGAAAGGAAATGAGAGAAGCAATGATTGCGTAGCTTAAATTAAAGCCGTATAGGTTATTTCATTACATTTATACACGAACACACACGCAGGCACACACACGCACACTCATCCACAATACACAAATACCTAATAATTTTTATCATAGTTTACGTTTTGGTTTGTTATGAGCAGTGTCATTAAACAAATATCATATATAGATCTATGTATATATATATATATATATATATATATATATATATATATATATATGTAGGGCCTAAATATAAAAGTATGTATATGTATGTGTTTTCTTTCTATTTAAGTTGATGAGCAGGGACAATTACAAGAAAACATCTTATTGAGCAAAAGCCTACTATAAATAGTTTCAATGTGCGCTGTATAAATATCCAATGTTATTATTATTATTATTATTATTAACAACAACAACTCACCAATCACGTAAGAGAGTCTGCCAATGTCTTCATGTCAACAGTCCTGTTTGGGTGCTGAAGATGCGGATGCATATTTACATGTAATGGTCTCTGCATGTTTGGAATCATATACGCGAAAACACAGTCATGAACTTGCCAGTGGGTTTTCCCAATTCCGGATACCCGGGTCGGGCACTAACCGTTATCCAGAAAGAAACTATCCGTTGACGGAGTTTAATATAGGCCTACTTAAAGTTTATTACTCCAATGTGTTGTTGGTGATCATGTAATTAAGTCGATTCAAATCATAAATTGCGTGCTCTCACCCATTCCCTAGAGAATGCATATTATAATGATGACTAAAGTTAAAGTGACTGGACAGCAATCTATCAAGTAATTCCTGCCTAAAACGAAGAGGATGGGTGCGAATGGGTACTATACAAGGCAGGATTACAAATAGGGAGGTTTAGGATACTCTTACCCTGACAATCTTCAAGAGACTCTTGAAAACACACTTCTTCCAGTCATCTTCATTCAATTCAATATGTTTGTACTGGTCTAGTCAATGGCGTAGTGCATAGGTTCAGTCGATCGAGGGGGGGGGGGGCACCAGTCTTTAGTCTACTTGAAGCGTTTTGCAACCCCCTGTTGTTGTTGTTTTTTTAGTCACGGCACCCTTTTAGGAGTTGAAAAGTTTCGCGTCACCAAAATCCCAAATTCCTGAAAAGAAGATTGTTTCCCATCCCTCGTATACATAGAGTGCGTTTATGCTCAATTTTGAAGGCAGAATGAGCGATTTGAAATGCTCATCGTAAATGCTCATCGAAATCGCAGTTCCACGGTGTACTGTTTATGCTCACTTCTCTGGCTCCTCCATGATTCTGGCTCTGCAGCTGGATTCGCAAACCTGCACTGCGCATGCAAAGGACGCAACCGTGTTTTGAACTAAACGCGTAACAAATGCCTCATTCTGGCCAGAAAAAGTTGAGCATAAACGTACCCATAGACGTACGGCACGGGCTAGCAGCGAATATTTTTGCACTATCATTGTGGGAAAAAATGTTATTTAGTCACTAGATAAAATGTAAGGTTATATATTCGATCATCTCGTTGCCAGGAATCATCCTGAGTTTTCAATTTTGTGAGAAGTGAAGAGAACGAGGGTAAACACATACTTTGTTGCGGTATAAATTTCATTTCTATAAATAAAATACAATTTTCATACAATACCATGCTGCCCGAATCATAAGAAGTTACAGGTAGCAATGTGCTCAAATATCATAACATAGGGATGTTCATGGATTTCGCTGCCTGAAACTATCCCGTTTCTAAATTTGGCGAGATAGCGGCGCGAGCTAAAAAAAAAAACACTTTACGATCGCTCAAATGTTATATTTCTTCATCAAAATATCCAGCGAGAATTTTATATATATTTGGGCATTTTGCAGTTTCTGAAGTTGACGTTATTATAAATATATGTTTGATATAAGTAAAATACTCACGCGTCAAAATCAAAATCAAATGAAGCACATAATTGTATATACGAAACCAATCACTCTTGATCCTACATTTTCTTCCGGGGGAAAGGGGAGGGGTGGGGGGGGGGGGGGGTGGAACCAATCTTTGTTTCCATTTCCTTTGTGAAATTGCAATTTTTTCACGTCGCCTCATCGGCTGAAAAAGAGAAGTATGTATTGTGTTAGATGTTTAATGGGATAAAAATGGCTGCTATGAATTATATACCCTTGCAATTTATATTGGCGTACCCTATATTCTGTGTCATTCCAAATCGTTGGTACAATTATGTCGGTTTTCCTTTCCAAATACAGCTAATTAAACCGAAAGTTCAGTATGATGGCATGTTTATTGTTTATGCAACGCTTCCCTAATAACTTCCTGAATTTCAAAGTCCAACGGACATCATAGAAAAACACGATGGCAGATCTGTTTCTGGTGGTATTGTATGCACGTATTGATTACGTGGAATATAATATTAGGCCTGCACATCAGTCTGTTTTCAGAAGTACTTAAGTATTCCTGCAAATACGAATCACATTTGTGACACAAATTACTTCACTCATCTGTTACGACTAATTTAATTTTAATAGTTAGAATGCGAATTGCACAAATTGCGTGAAGGTAGGACAAGCCATAATGTTTGTCGAATCCGGGCTAACTCGGCTCCAAGACAACTCGGCCCAGCTGCAAAAACGGTCAGTTTTCGTCATTTTACCCTAACCCTAACTCTAACCCTAACCCTAAACCTAACCCTAACCCTAAACGTAATCCTAAACCCTAAACCTAACCCTAATCCTAAACTTAATCCTAAACCTGCAGAAACTGACCGTTTTTGCAGCTGGGATGAGTTGCCTTGGAGCCGAGTTAGCCCGACTCCTGTTTGTCGTACCTACCAACAAGTAATGTATGCAATTTGCAATCTGACTATATTCGTAACAGGTGAATAAAGTAATTTGTAAAATGGCACTTAAATATAAGCTTTAGTTCTGGTAATGATAGAAAATCAATTCTCACAGAATCCAACAAAACTTACACTGAACGCTCAAGATTACGAATAAATGACATGTGCCAAACGATTTTGGTAGAAAATGTTTGGGGCTGAGTAATGAGCATAAAAGAAAACGAAATCAAGGTAAGTAGGCCCGACACCTTGTGCTTCACATAGATCACTATGTGCAAATGAGAGTTGTGGGTTTTATTGAAGATGATTTCCAGCAAGTTTTTTTGTGAGTTTCTTTTTATTTACTGGTTCAAACAATCAATCTACTGCTAAAGATTTGAGGAAATGCTCGGCTGACTGTGAGCCGTCATGATGTCAGACAGGTCGTGGGAATGCCTACAGATTTATAGCCGATTGGGTTACTTAATTATCCCGTTGCAAGACTATGAAAAATACCAGTCAATTTTCATAATGATATTCATGAAACTACTCGAGATGTCAACCAGCAAATCATGAATGTATCATATCCCCCTCAATTTTGTAAGCTCCAAAGGATTTACCTCTCACAAATTGGAAGGCTAATTCCTGCGCAACCTAATGTTCCCCCCATAATCATATATTTTGTATTCGGCAGCCATTTCAAAAGTGTATAGTTTGTTTGGGGGGACGCACGGTACAATGTGAGGAGCTTAAATAAAAAGCAAAGCTTCTACAAAATCAGACTAGGCGCTGTGGCGTGCGCCTGTAATCCAGCTCACAGTGGAAGTTATACACTGATTCAGGCGAGGACGCAGGTTCGAAACTGAGTCACTTCTTTCGGATGGTGACGTTTAAAGGTCGGTCCCCAGACGTAAATAATCATATCTGATTGATACACGTCTGTAAAAACCCAATACACACACACACACACACACACGCGCGCGCACACACACACACACAAATCAGATTCCTTTGAAGAGTAGTAATTATAAAGTCTGATTATTCAGTAACAGGCGAAACGGTAAAGTAGTACCAAATTTAAGAAACGTAAAAGGAGAACAAACATTCGAGTAAGGAAAGAAATGAAGAAGAAGGAGAAGAGGAGGAGGAGGAGGAGGAGGAGGAGGAGGAGAAGGAGGAGGAAGAATAATAATAAGTAGTATAGTATAGTAATTAGTAGTAGTAGAAAGAAGAAAATGAAGGGGAGGTAGAAAAACAACATCTGATAGTAAAGATAATAGCAGGACATGCATGTATAATATGAAAAGTCTATAATGACTGCGACCACCTGTAGGATCCAGTTTCACAATGTCCATGCATGTTACATGTGTGTATCCATTGATTTGAAAATTGAAAATTGAAAATTTCATAGATATTAGATTTAATTCATGTAGTCATTTGACTGAGCAAACTCACCCTGGTGTCGACGTGAATAGAAAATGTTTTTTTATTATATAGAAATACAGGTGTTTTTAATTGGACTATACTGTGTACATCCTCACATTTATATGATCATTCTTCCTCAGGAATAATATACAAGTACGTAGTGAGGTTTTGATGTTAGGGCAAACGTTTCAGACCTCATCTCAAGTTTGAAACATATTTGTTTCAGGGTATCATATCCTATTTCACATGGAAGTATATGTAAACTGCTTTCCAACTTGTTAGTCATGATTGTGGTGCAATTATTAAAATGTATATTTGAAGAAGAAAAAAAAGTACTTTGTTCCTATTCATCCTTTTTTGGTAATAAAAAATAGTAAACTGATGCGACTGACTGCAACGACATTTATTTCTTATTTCTTGGAACTACTTTCACATATAAAACAAACACACACGCACAAGCCCACACGCACAACCCACAAACACACTCACTTACCCTCTCAAAACGAACTATCAACAACGATCCACTGGGACAACATTCACATTAAAAAAAACACACACACACACACACACACGCACATACAATGCGAAATGAAATGATAGAAGTAATGATTGCGTAGCTTAAATTAAGGCCGTATATGGTATTTCATTACATTTATACACAAACACACACGCACGCACACACACACACACACACTCATCCACACCACACAAATACCTAATATCATAGTTTACGTTTTGGTTTGTTATGAGCAGTGTCATTAAACACATATCATATATATATGTATATATGTATGTAGGGCCTAAATATAAAAGTATGTATGTGTATGTGTTTTCTTTCTACTTAAGTTGATAAGCATGGACAATTACAAGAAAACATCTTATTGAGCAAAAGTCTACTATAATTAGTTTCAATGTGCGCTATATAAATATCCAATATTATTATTATTATTATTATTATTAACTCACCAATCACGATGTCTTTATGTCGACAGTCCTGTTTGAGTGCTGAAGACGCGGATGCAAATTTACATGTATTGGTCTCTGCATGTTTTGAATCATATATACGAAACAACACAGTCATGAACTTGGCAGTGGGTTTTCCCAATCCGGATATCCGTGTCGGGCACTAACCGTTATCCAGAGAGCAACTATCCGTTGACAGTGTTTAATATAGCCTACTAATTCAATTCAATTCAATTCAATTCATTTATTTTTTCCTTTTTCAATCGTTCATATTTACAATGATGGTATATTTTAACATAT